TGAAAGACGACAAAATAATATACGAACAGCCTGATGGTAATTAATCAATAATTCATTTTATGGACTTCTGTAACATTAAGAGGTCTACCATGACATGAAATTCTAAATTTTCGAACTCAATCTCAAATTTTTGTTCATATCGAAATCGACCCAGTAAACGGAGCTTAACATTTCGTTCGTCAAAAAATAAAAGTCCAAAAGAACGATATTTTAGCATTTTTTATATTTTTAAACGTTACGCACGTTTAAAATATTAAAAATGCTAAAATATCGTTCTTAGTATTATATTTCGTTCGGATCTAAATTTTTGGAAAACATTTTATAGTAAACTATACAAAATTAATTATTACTCACGTGTCGCCGACCTTTTTGACATAAACATATTGAGTCACAATACTAAGAAAATACATTATATACTCGTAGTATAATGAATCAATATTCGGATGCTTTCAGAGTATTTCATACTCGGTTAAATAGGAAACTGTTGTTGTGATTAAGTAGGTATATTTATATATATCATAACGTTTATAATTATGTACGACCGTTTACTTGTAAAGAAAATATGTATATACTTATTTTCATTTTTGGTATGGCACTGAAAATGGCATAAATGTACAAGTAGTAAATGTTTGTTAGTCGATCACTTTTAAACAGCTGTTATGATTGAATTACAAATTTACAAGTAAAACTTATCTGCCATGTTATTTATAATTTGCTACAAATGGTGATCATAATTAGAATAAGAATGGTTTTTATTGGTATTAACGCAAACAAAGCCACAGGACGTAGTTACTATAAAATATATTTAACGCCAAAAACTGAAAAAAATTATAAATATTCTTTTTTAATCAATCACGATGAACTCTCAGACTATTAGCCAAATATTTCATTAACTACGCAGTTGAAACTATTACCTAGAACTGGTTTTTAAATGATTTATATGATGGTAAATTATTATTCCAGTGATATCTATGCATAAATTTCTGATAGTAATATCGTGTGATTCGCCTGAATGAAATATTTACTTACCAGTTTTTTTTAACGTGGGAAATCCCTCATGGTGACCCACATGTAACGTGGGATACTAATAAGTATTCCGCCAAACTCCTACCATCTACAACCAAACGAAGATCCACCGTTGTGGGCATGGTGGGCATGTCCATAACCCTAACAAACTCGTGACGTCACACGTCATTCTAATGAGGTCGATAAAGCGATGATATCATTTCTAATGCTTACTAATACTTTTGTAACTTTCGTAAGCAAATTAACATTTTACAAGTTTATTAATTTATTAATGTACGCACTACAGCTTTGCTCACTTGGAAATACACCTGTACAACATTTTGGTCGGGGCGTCATATCTCATATCATACATCTCCTTTGTGAGGGGAGAAGGGATTGTTAGTAATGGGAATTAGCAACCCCATTGCTAGCAAAAAACCTATCAGGTCGACCTCCACGCGGTTGTACCTGGAAACCATCATGATTGATTTGTGACAATGGACTAACTAACCTGCTTCATCCTCACCTGTCTTCGCTCGCTGGTGCTCCGCCAGCGTATACCGATAGCGCAGGCGGGGTTACCATTCCATTATTATCCATTAAAATAAAAACATCTCCTTTTTAGGAATGCACCATATCGATCATGAGTGAGTTCATACTCCAACTCACACTTAACCTATTTTCGGGTGGGTCTGACCACAATCTTTTGTAATGGTTAAATTCGCGCCTATCTACAACGTTGTTCCGGCTCTTATACTGTACTTATGAGTTCACTTTTACATTCAACTGCATCTCCGAATGACACCTTTTCCAACTAGTAATGTCTTATGAGATGGGATATACAAATGCTAATAGTGACAGACCTGTGTAGCTTAGACTTCCTCACTCTTGATGTACGATGAAGAAGAAAAAGTAAAATAGCCAGTAGGAACTTTGGTACAAAAGGTATATCACACAGTAATACCACAGTCTAACGAAATCTTAACTTTTTAACTTGTAGACTTTCGCGCTGCATGTTTTATGGTTTATAAGAAAGGGGAAAATATGATAATTTACGTAATTTTCCCTACCGGTTATCCAACGAACAAGTGTAAACAGCGCAAGACCAAAATAATTAGACGGCTGGTTTTTTTACACTGTGATAGCGTATGCCATGATTGATCATGTTTTTGCCCTGTTTCGACCCTTAATTGCTTATCTGGTAAAACATTACCTAAAGGGGCACTATACGCTAACAATTTCAGTGTCATCCTGTATATTGAGAGATTGTTATACATTATGCATAATGTCCAATATATATACGTCATTGGGATACCCAAGTTAGCGCGTCGTGTCTCGCATAGCATAATGAATGAGCAATGCAATCTCGCGAGGCTACGAATCCAGTACAATGGGACTTTACCAAGAGACACATCAATTTTATTTTTTACATTTATTTAATGTTATTTCAAGGTAATTTATATTGTGTTATAGTAGACTGTAATTATGTTCACAAATGTTCAAATTAGCATAATGGAATATTTTAACTTTTTTGTGTAATATATTTATTAATCTTTACTTAATAGAAATATTAAGGGGTCCGTAAACGGTCAAACTTCATGCATATATATTCATAGTCATAATCATATTGCCGCTTGTAAGGCCTAGATGGAAATTTTTAATCTTTTCTGTATCTAGTAACGACAACAGTGATTGAGTCAAGCATTATTGCCGCTTTATAATCTACGGAACCCTTTTTACTTGTAGCTTACTTGTATGCTACGTACTGGGTATAATATTATATGTATTATTTGTGCGACTGGATACTGCATAGACGTAGTATAACGTAAGGCATATTATTATGGTGACTAAAGATCTTTCGTCTGATGTTTTGCTGTTGCAATGACCTCGTCAGATCTAAATCGATCCATTCATTTCCTTCATTAATTTTTTTTTCTAAATAAATATACTTAAATACTGCTCCCATAGAAATTTTATCAAAATCGGTTAAGTAGTTTAGATTTTAAATCAAAATATAAAACCGGTTTTGTCATAATCCAACAACCCAATCTTAAACTATTCAACCCATATTTCGTTGAGTTTTCAGTTTCACTGGTAGAATATTCTAAAGAAATGCTAAATATATACATTTAATACCTGCTCTATAGTGAAGTGCCATTCTTTTTATTTTACTAGCTAATTATAGGATTTTTGTCCGCTACTTTTCGAAATAAGAATACCAATAAAATAAAATAATTCTAAATAACCTACCAAGATAAAACATTTATCAGATTTGAAGAAGCGAGACCTTCGGGAATACAACTATGAGAATTGCATCCAATTTGATGCAATAGTTTTTGTGTGATGCCGAAATAAATATACCTACAGACAGAAAGAAAGACAAAATTTCTAAGAATTGTTATTTTGGCTTCTATTGCTCTTATTAAAACCCCTCATATAAATTTTTCTTAAATGTGCAAACATCGTATAATTACAAATATATTATATGAGTAAAATGTTCTCTATATACTCGAATCTACAGTAAATAATATAATAAATTTTAAAAGTATGATACATTTAAACGTAAATAAACAATAATTTTAATAATTTAATTATATAAATAAAAATATTCAACAAATGTTAAAGGTAAACTTTATTTCAGTTTATAATTTTCACTTAATTCTCTAGAAAATAATCTGTGTCACAGCTCTGAACTATGTTTCAAACAAAAAGTAACGGTATTTAAGCTGTTGTCTAGACAACATTGACAGAAATGTACGAGCTGTAGTGTTTATCACAGCAAAAAATATACATCAGTAGATTGCCGTTCGAATAAAACCCACTATTTATGTTTTAATCTTATTAATTTTAGTACCTTGGATTGTCCAAGTCTATAAATAGCGCAAAGTAGTTTCTTAAGGCGCAATACGATGTCAAAATCTCTCGTTAAAAATCTACTATCCAATTCAATTAATAGTCAATCATTATTCTCTTTTTTTTTTATTTGGGTCTAATTTTTATGACTAAAATATAAGTTTAAAATTTTTGGACACAAAATACGTTTAAAAATAATTAAAAATATAGGTATCGTTTGCAACAAGAGTCAGCGAATTCAATGCAAAAATAACGAGAGTATCGCATAATATACACATACATGCACAAATTCGAATTCACCGAATTGCGATTCTTCTCCTTTGTTAAGTTGATTTATTACGGTATTAACAATACCTATTAGGTATATAAGGTTTTTAATGAATGATAATAGAATGATAACCTCGCTTGAATTAACGGGGTACGCTAGTAAGACGCCAGGAAGGGATGATTTGTGAGGATGAAAAGACAGGTCAGTTATCCCATCGTGATGAATACATCTGGAATTCAACACGATGATTTTCAGGGGGAACCACGTGGAGTTCGTCGTGACGGGGTATATTGCTAACAATGGGACCATATTACAGTCCATATTACCAACAATCCCTTCCCCCCGTTATATGAGGTTAACGACAAATAGAAAACCTTATAATAATGTCTATATTATAAAAAAAAAAAAAAAAACTGCGTACAGCAGATATCGCGAAATTATTTCTTACCACATTTTAGGCTAAAAATGAGGATTCTATCATCGTTACAGGGAAGGTCTAATTTCAGTTATAAATTTTTGTGCAATTAGAAATTTTAAAATAGGCTTATGTTTATTAAACTTATTATTCTTATAGTCTCATATGCATAGACAAAATTATTTTGAATACTACATTGATATCAGAAATAATAAGAACAACGATCAGGTAAAACCCATAAAACGTTATTAATGTTTGTGCTACATGTCTATTAGCTAATAATCATGGTTATTCTCTCATAACCATGATTATTTATAGAAATAATGAATCATTTTGTACTTCTCCTTGTCCTATTAATAAGTAATACGGTTTTAGATATACGTAAAAGTGAAATTTATCGGTATAAATACGTTGGAATAAATTATATCCACGTATTTTACATAATGCCTTGAAGGACTACGAACGCCTGAGACCAGATACCTATACAAGCAAATATTATACATTTTCGCACAATTCATGCTCGTGTGGTACGTTCCAATAACGCCGGCGTCCTAGCTTGGCCTTAAGTGCAAAAAGCGTGAAGTTAACGCGACAGAAGCGGACTCCTTATTACGCGCACAGCTGTTTCCCCATAAACACATTTTTCACATACTGGAATTCTTACTATATATAATATAAACACTTCACCTGCAATTGTTACAAACATACACACAGTGCTAAGTACAAGATATTGTAATGATCGGATTACTCATTGCATTGTGTTTACCGGTAGTAGGAAAAACGGACACTTGGAATCCAGTTGTGTCATATATTGTGTTGACACGAAACAGTCAGCTCTCAGACTTCGACGGAGCACCGCGTCGTGTCCCCAACGAGCAATTGCAACTTTCACCGCCGCAGCCGTTTCATAATTCTGCACCTATCACCAATCACCGACCGGAATATCAAAGCGCCGAAGACGACGGACCTGATCACCCGGCACACCTGGCCGTGATAGAACACCAAACGAAAGGACAACTTTTTTTATCCCGTGTTGTAACTGAAAAAATGAGTCAACCGTTATACACTAATACTAATAAACCGGTAGTTAATAAAGAAGAACAAAATAACAGCAAAGTGGATGACCAAATACACTTTCCAGAGGATAAACCCGTGAACCCGGATCGTACACAAACTTCTAGTGAGGGTACAGTCCCATACTTTACTGAACGAGAGAGCGGAAGTACGACGCTGAAGCCCATAGATATCATCTTAAGCTCCGGTCCGAACGCTACGGAAATATCCGTGGATGATCGAGCCTCCTTCGACGGTGACCCTTGTCCGGCAGGCCAAATCAAAGTTAACGGCAAATGTGTGGATAAGGATTAAATTCGTCAGTGGATGCTAAAAATATTTGTGGACAATTACCAGTGGCAAGGTCTGTGTGTTATTACGTGTAATTATAAATTGTACCTACCTTTTTACGTACATTTGTGTTGTGTGCATTGATGTGGTTCGCCGTGACTAAATTATAATGACTTCCTTACATAGCTTTTTTTATGTATAGAAGTAAAATAAACGTTTAATTTATTTTACATTGTTTTGTTAGTAAGTACGTCCACAGAATAGACGTGGTACTCAAAACCTTGTAAATTAAGCTAAAAGCATTAGATTCCTTCTATATCTTAGCTAACTATTTTTCAATAGACGATAGTAAAATATCAACCTTCCTATATAATATCTCTCGACTGATGAGGTGATCATATGATAGATGAAAATGAAGCCAAATGAGTTAGCCCATTATAACAAATCCATTGAAAATTAGCCAAGAAAGTTGCAGGACGCCCGCATGAACGTCGACCTAACTAACAATCCTTTTCTCTTAGCTTAGCTAACTTGATAATTTTAAAGGGGAACCAGTGACCGATAATAGATGAGGAGAAAAATTTATTAAGAATGATACTAACTATGATATCTTGGAGGGGACCACGCAGAGATCGACCTGACAAAGTAAATTTTAGCAATAGTGACGCTAGTTTACTTTACTAACAATCCCTTCCCTCGCAACTTAGCTAACTTAAATCACAGATAAAATAATAATAGGTACTTAAACACTTAATATTAACAGATCACATTTCAATTTAGACCAAAATTTAAAGGAATCATTAAAACTAATTCATTACTTATGTATCTACATTACATTTTAATAACCGCGAGAACATCCTCAATGCATTGTAATGGGAAATATCCCATTACAAGGTATGAGTTTTTGTTTGACGTCACTGCGTGCTTTGATTAGCAAGCTTCTTTGCATACTTGCCTTACAATAATAACAATATATTACATAAACTAATTGTTTGTTTCCTGGTAGGTAATTATGAAACTTAAGTAATTACCAAACACAAGTTTTTTTTTTTTTTATACAACTTAGAATGGCAAATAAGTATTAGAGAGATTTCGTCCATATATAAAAAATACGAAAATAATACTCTAATTTAGTACTCAAAGGTATAATGTATTTTTATTTTTTGATGGGTGAAAATGGTATGGTAACCCCGCCTGCGCTAACGGGATACGCTGGCGGAGCACCAGTGAAGGGTGATCGATGAGAATGAAAACAGGCCAGTTAGCCCATCATGATGAATTCATCAGGAATTAACCATGATAGTTTCCAGGGGGAACCGCGAAGAGGTCGACCTGGTTGGGTATATTGCTAGCAATAGGATTCTCAGTCTCCATTACTAACAATCCCTTTCCCCCCAGTATAATGTATTGGTATATTGAATATAATACTACTACTTCACTTGAATTTGATAGATTGTTTGTAAATATGTAGATGCGAGTATAAGATAAAACCCTACTACGCTTTTGGTTTACTTTGCTGAAATACAGTGGTACGTATTTGTTGTATGCAGGTTTTTTATGCAACTTAGAATGGCAAACAAGCTGACGGTCCACCTGATGGAAACTGGTAACGGTCGCCTTAGACACGAGCAGACTATGGGCATGACAGAGTATAGTGTTTCGCCCATGATACCCCCCATACGTAGCCATTCCTTAGGACTCAGGTGTTATTCCTCTGTACTCTAGAAATTCACTGCTATATCCCACCATTCAAACCGAAACACAGTCATGCAAATACAACTGCTTCACGGTAGAAACACGAGTGACACAGAGGTGCACAAGCAAACGACTTTTGGACAAAGTCTCCCTCTGGTAAAAATTGCAGGTTATTTTGATTTCAATATAAAAACTACTAAACCGATTTTAATAAAACAATTCTATGGGACCAAACTGTAATAATATCCTTTCGAGACAAAAACAGTTTTCCAAGTCGATTTACAACAAACGGAATTATGAGGTAAGAAACATAAAAATATACAATCGAATTGATAAGCTCCTTTTTTGAAAAAGGTTAAAAATCAGTTAACCCACCACAACGAAATTACATCGGCATAAGTATACCACTGACATCACAATTCAAAACATATATATATTATTTTTATTCTATTTACCTTGTATACCATTTTTCCTGTACCTTTTCTGCACTAGGTTTCCCGCTAATTATTTTCTCTCTCACTTTTTTTTTTTATACATCTTAGAATGGCAAACAAACTGACGGCCCACCTGATGGAAAGTGGTAACCGTCGCCTATAGACATGAGCATTGGGTTGGCTGGAAGGAGTATATATATATATATATATATATATATATATATATATATATATATATATATATATATATTTCAAAAAAGCTTTTTATTTAAAAAGCTTTTCTTTAATAAATATTTCTTAACGGTTTCAAGAAAGAGAAAATTCTGAATCCAACTGAAAACTAAATCGATTTCGATGATTATTTTTTAAAGGAATGCGTTTAAAAATATTGTTATACCTTTTTAATTACGTAAAAAATTCCGAGATATTGCACTTATTTTATTAAGTTTTTTTTTTACTGATGTTAAGTTTTTGCGAAAATTATTTTTCTTGTTTGTTTTTCAAATGAACAAACTATATATAGATAGATACCTATGCTGTCTTTATAGATACATGTGATTCATATTGAGGATAAAATGCAAGTATTTCACAATGAAGTTTATGATTTCACCTAATGTGAGAAACATTTTATATGCTAATATAATATTACAACATCCAAATAATATGGAATAATTAATGTATAGACAAACAAACATAAAAATGTTAATTTCAGCATATCATTCAAATGTGTATATATAAAAGAGGATGCTGATAGACCGACTGACCAGTATATCGACGCACAGCCGAAACCGCTGAATCTAGAATCTAGAAACTATGCAAATAGGATTTTTATATAGTGTAGGTGAACAATAAGAAAGTAATTCTGAAAACTCAACCTCTAAGGGTCTAAAACTTCCAAAATCCTCTTGTACCAAGTCCAAAAGCTTTTAACTATATTATAGAGAAATTTCGTCAATATAAATAGCATTTAAATTAATTTTTAAAAGTTTACTCACTTTGTCAGAATTAGGAAGACAAAGATAATGGTTGGCCTACTTTGACCTTCTTTAATACAGATTTGTCCAGTTTTTTAATCTGCAAAAACGGATTATTATAAATACTTCTATTTGTCTAATTTGACTAAATCCAGTGACTAACACAGAAATCGAGCGCAGAAAAGATTTTATTATGATATATTAATAATAGGGATGCCATCCGCATTACTAATAAACAATGTACCTTGACAGGTCAACAACAACGCATTGTACATTTCTAGTAGATTAGACTCATTATTCATCCCCGACATCCTCCCGCCACCGTTAGCATAAGTTGCTGTACCATATCATATTCGTCTATTTGAAAAATAGAATTCGCACTACAAATAAACAATAAGTAGCATTCGAACTTATTCAACACTACCAATCTCTCTTTGCACGAGTGTAAATTATATTCAAACCAGTACAACGTCCTGCAAAAATACATCTGGATGTTAGTTTATAAAGAGTAATGTTAGAAACAGACAGACAGACACAGACCTTGTTTTATACTAGGTATTTAAAGAAGTGGGTAATGGAGCATTAGATCACAACTGCAATTATTTGGCATGTAGATGAGTTATTAATGCCACTAAAAACTCAATTAAGCATTCTATCTCTTAACATTTTCAATCGCATTATCATATGTTCTGATCTGAGACATTGTTTGAATTGTTTTAACTACTGAATTTCATCATCATACCACAAATTAAATTTTCTTCTCAATCATAAGAGACTTGTGACAATTATTCTTATGAAATCAACTCCCAAAGCAGTATTTCGAAACAGAAACGAATAGGTATTGAATTTTATACTCTATCTGGAATATAACGTAGTGATTACTTGATCTGTGATCCGGAGTAAACTATAATTTATTGCCATTAATTTAATTATCACATTGCAATCTATTTAGAAAATATGTGAATAGCATTTTACAATCTTAAAGTACGATAGGGGGAAGGAATTCTTAGTAATGGAAAGGTTAGTTGTTATATTGTATACCCTATCAGGTCGACCTCCTCGCGATTCCCCCTAAAAACCATAGTGACTAATTTATCGTTAAATGTGTCACGATGGGCTAATTGACTTGCCTGACTTCATTCTCACCAATCATCCCTCACTGGTACCCCACTAGCGTATATCAATAGCGCAAGCGGAGTTACCGTTCCATTATCATCAGTTAAAAAAAAAGTTAGACTACGATTCTTGAATTAAGTATAGACTATTACGTCAGTATACTCTGTGATGTACATGTTTATAGGCGACAGTTACTACTTTCCATCAAGTGGACGGTCAGCTTGTTTGCCATTCTAAGTTGCTTAAAAAATGGTATCATAACTTCTTCCTTTAGACTTAGATGTTGTATTTTATATTTCTTCATGTAATTTACTGACAGTAAATCTAATATACATTTACTGTCAGTCTATGTTGTCATTCCATCATCTGTCATTCGCGTTGCTTCTACTTCATCTGTCATACTGAATTTTTTTCATTCATATTCTTCAGAGAAGCCGGTATTCGTAGTTTATGCGGCCGTGCTTCTTTTTATCTTTAATAAAAAATACTTTTTAATTGTATTTTTGAGAAAGTATCTTTACATTACCTGTTAAACCAATTTTCCGAAAAATCTACGTTAAGTGAAACTATTTTAAGAATCATCTTCTTTCATATAAACTGAAGGACTGCTGAAGCTACCACGTGTCGCTTGCTACAAATTTTATTACTGAAGAATCCTGCCATAGACGTAATTTGTTTTAACAAATTTAAAAAAAATTGAACTCAAGATTGTCAGTTGCCTGTGTGCATATATACAATACTTGTTACCACGTGTCAGCTGTAATAATGTCCGTCACAGCTGAAGGAGACTTGCGGGATGGCCTTTCTGCAGCGGAAATATTCGCTAATAGTGAAGGCCTCACCTACAATGACTTTTTATTATTGCCGGGATACATTGATTTCACTGCTGAAGAAGTGGATCTAACATCACCGCTAACCAAAAAAATCCTTCTTAAGGCACCCCTAGTGTCTACTCCTATGGACACAGTAACAGAGGCCGACATGGCAATAGCGATGGCGCTTTGCGGTGGTATCGGAATCATTCACCACAACTGTACTCCTGAGTATCAAGCCAACGAAGTTCATAAAGTAAAAAAATATAAGCATGGATTTATCAGAGACCCAGTGTGCATGGGTCCAGAAAACACTGTTGCTGATGTTATAGAAGCAAAAAAGACCAATGGATTTACAGGATACCCCATTACAGAAAATGGTAAATTGGGCGGCAGACTCATAGGAATCGTCACCTCTAGAGATATAGACTTCAGGGAAGGAGATCCGCATCTCAGCCTCAAAGAGGTTATGACTCCAATAGACGAAATGATTACAGCCCAGTCAGGTGTCACTCTGCAAGACGCCAATTATATTTTAGAGAAGAGTAAGAAAGGAAAACTTCCAATTATAAATGGATCTGGTGAACTCGTAGCACTTATTGCTAGGACTGATCTGAAAAAAGCCCGCAGTTACCCAAATGCATCAAAGGATTCTAATAAACAATTACTTGTTGGTGCAGCTATTGGCACCCGTGAGGCTGACAGGGAACGTCTAAAGTTACTCGTTGCAAATGGTGTAGATGTCATCGTCCTTGACTCCTCTCAAGGTAACTCAATCTACCAAATAGAAATGATTAAATTTATAAAAAAAACATATCCCAATATCCAAGTTATTGGAGGCAATGTTGTAACCAGGATGCAGGCAAAGAATCTTATTGATGCTGGTGTGGATGCTTTGAGAGTTGGCATGGGTAGTGGTTCCATTTGTATCACACAAGAAGTAATGGCTTGTGGGTGCCCACAAGCTACTGCTGTCTACCAAGTTTCCTCATATGCTCGACAATTTAATGTACCTGTAATTGCTGATGGTGGCATTCAATCTGTAGGACATATTGTGAAATCATTGGCATTAGGAGCATCCTCAGTTATGATGGGATCACTTTTAGCTGGCACATCAGAAGCACCAGGTGAATATTTCTTTTCTGATGGAGTGAGACTGAAGAAATACAGAGGTATGGGTAGTTTGGAAGCCATGGAAAATAAAGAAGGCAAGGGTTCAGCCATGAGTAGATATTTCCATAAGGAAACTGATAAACACAGAGTTGCTCAAGGTGTTAGTGGAAGTATTGTAGACAAAGGATCTGTCTTAAGATTTCTTCCATATTTGCAAACTGGGATGCAACACAGTTGTCAGGATATTGGAGCTAGGTCAGTTGCTATTTTACGTGATATGAGCTATTCAGGTGATCTGAGATTCATGAAGAGGACATATTCTGCACAATTAGAAGGAAATGTACACGGTCTATTCTCCTATGAAAAACGCTTATTTTAATGTTTATATTATGTGATATTGTATACTTTTAGCTCAGTTCAATATAAATGTAATGAAAATATAATTTGTTTTGTAGAAAATATTATTTTTTGTATTTATATATGAAGATGTATTTGCCATAAGAGAAAGTAAATATTGTTAACAATGTACTTAATATATTCCATTTACATAAGTATCATTTTATAATTATGCAGTCAGTCAAAACCAATGTTATATATTGACAAAAAACCGGACATAGAAATGTACTTGATAATAAAGTGTGTAAACATACTAATTAATGTAATTTTTAATTTTTTTTATTCATTCCTAATATTATAGTTGCTTACTCCCTGAGTTTATAAATGAAATTGCTTTAAATAAATATTTAAGTTGCATATTTCGTAATTAAGAAGTATACATACATAATCTATTCTTTTTACAACATGGATTGACAAACCTGAAAACTGTTATTGTAGACTATATCATATTTTTCCTTAAGTATAATTTTCCTGATAAATTCAGAAAAAAAATTATTTGCCTACTACTAGACAGAATGTACCTACATATTTTAATACTTTGAATTCTGATTAGTCTACAATAGGACTTTGTCACTAAACCATAAGAATAAGATACCTTATTCTTAAATTTTGATTTGAGTATAAAAAATTAAAACATTGACTAGAGAATGCTAAAAAGTTACTTTATATGAATCATATCATTGTTCCATATACCTTTAAGAATATTATCAAATGGAATAACAGACTACTTGAAAAGAGTAAAACGGCCATTTTAATCTGACAGAATATGATCTCAATTTTAACCACGTATAAACTTCTATACCAACCAATAATTGAAGATGTACCTACAACAGATTGCCACAATAGTATATTATATACTACCTATAGTAGCTTCAGCAATAATAGGATTAAATTGATCAGTTCAATTGTCTGGCTTCTTACACCTTATGAATAATCAATATTCTCGTATTCTGCAACCAACCTTCATTGCAACTAAATACCTATATAAGTATCGATTATTTTTAGTATGTTTGTTTATATAAATGATAAAAACTATACGTAAACTTTAAATGATAAAAGGTCTATACAAGTAACGCATTATCTTACTTCCGACTAAAATTTAGTGTTACGCAATCAAGCGTGTATGACCGAACAGATTTAGATGAATCTTGGTATTAGTAATACATATACGTATAGTAGACACAGTTGTCCTGGGAGACCGAACAAGAAGGTATTATGTTCGGAACTTTGACCCTATACGTTTGCCTAAAACGACCAATAGAATGAGAGCCTTTGATTCATATTGTACATGATAACTTTATAGCGAAGGAAGGGATTGTGAGTAATGGAGACTGTGGGTCTTATTGCTAATAATATACCCAACCAGGTCTACCTTCTCGTGATCCCCCTGGAAACAATCGTGCTGAATTTCAAGTATATTTCATCACGATGAGCTAATTGACCTACCTTTTTCATTCTCATCTAGCATCCCTCACTAATGCCCCGCCAGCGTATACCATTAGCGCAGGTGGAATTACCATTCCATTATCGTCCATTAAAAAAAACAATTTATAGTGAGCATAAATACTTTTGGCATTTTACTACTATGTACAGTATGTATGATATGAATGGGTAAATAAAATCACAACTCACATAATTCTAATAATCACAATTTATTGGAATTATAAATGCACAAGCTGCGCAGGCATGATAATCATCATCTGACAATAAATATCATTTAAAAGTGCTAAGTTAAACAATAGTAAAAATAATAGTGCTACAATCTATGCCTTAGACTGGTGCGTCCAAAATGTACTACACATTTCAAAACTGCATCCTAGCTAACTATAAGTACCTACCTACCAACATTGCACGCGCCTCGTACACACTTGAATGTATTATTTATCTGGACTTATTAGGTAATCAATCTCGGCGTATCAGAACGCTTTAAAATTAACAAATTACTAAAATATAATATTCTTGTTAAATATTTATTATCCTTTATATTATAGTAGTTCATTCTTTAAACTATTTTAAAACAAATACTGCATTCGGGAATGCTAAATATTATTTTTATGTTATTATAATTTTGAGTACATATTTATTTTTAGATCTCACTTCTATATGGATATTCTCGCAAAAAGATCAAAATTGTTTACCTAATAGTACAAGTAAGGAAAAATAGATTGTAATACCTGTGATAATACTTTGGTTTCACTTCAAACACTGTGCCACCATAGGCTCGATAGAGAGCATGCCAGACACAAATTGTCCATTTTATAGTCTATACCTCATTTTGATAAATAAATAAATAACTCACAAAAATATATTAATAAAACATTTTAGCTTGCCTAAACCGTGATAATCGTAGGCTTGCCTCGTGATATTTTGATTATAGACATAATTTCGATCAATCAACATATCTCTTTGAATGCAACTCAATACATACTTTTACTAACATTGGCTATGAGTTTATCTTGCTCACTTTCATCAAGACAACCAAGCTAAGTTATTGAAGCCTCCGTCACATGTGGCGACCACAACATCAATTCGACCTGCTAAGTTTACTAAACTTAGACTATATTAATCATGATATTATCAATTATAAAAAAAATTGAGATTATGTTTATTATACTAACATAATATAGTAAACTCAGCAGACGATAATTTCGATGACCCCTACGAGTCTTGCACAACCGGAGTCGTCGTATAACGTGCACCAACCGCACGCACCAGTCGGAATGCACGAAGTCAAGCGACCAAAGCGTATAAATCTTACTGAGATTACACCTTAGTAACTATGCAGTACGTTTTGACCGTGTCTGTAATTATAACGCCACCACACCTAGAAATGTAAAGTCCGCGCTCGATATTAATAGCATCTGCAAGTGTTGCCACAGTGTAAATAATCGTATCTTACAAATATAATAGAAATCTGAATAGAGTACTAAACTGCTATATCACAGTCCAGTAATCTACAACAGCTTTACTCAGCCCCCCACTCCAAGATCAACCCATATCGCCAGTTGCATGGAACCAATGTAAAAGGAAGGGCATGTAGGTAGAAATAACAGTAAAGTGTACTAACTTACAGCTTTAACCATACCCAGTACTGTAATTTAATTAGAACAATTTTCTAAACTATTATATTTTGTTAGAATAAACAGTGTATCTTCAAATTAAAACGGTAAAGTAGACAGGATACTGGGATGTGGAAGACAAGTCATGTGGCGACTTGCCCCTAATTCTAGCTACTTTACTCTTCCAAATTCTAATACTCTACCAAAAGTCTATGTTGGTACAGTTAGTACTCTACTATGCGACTACACTGTTTGCTCTACCCGTGTACAAAGGGCTTTAGATTCTTTACACTGTGATATTGTGCAATGTAAACAAAAGCTACGTTACATAATGAGAGCTCCGTCATTTGTAGGATACGGTTAGGGTGGCACGTTCAAACGCACTGTTGGAATTGTTTCGCTAGAGGGCGGCACGCGACTACTCCTTGGGCGCGTCACCGTCCGCATCGTCATCCTCGCGCCGAAACTCCGGGCCGTGGGTGACGTCATCTTCAAACACGATCTCCTCTGGATCGGGGGCACGTGGCAGGAACTCCTCACCGGGACAGATTTGCTTGAAAATCTCTTCCGCCTGTAATATATTCACCATTTGTTATACTCTCCGTATTATCATCACAAAGCGCATTATTGTGGGGGGAAAGGGATTGTTAGCAATGGAGTTTGACAGCCCCATTGCTAGCAATATGCCCGAATAGGTCGACCTCCACGTGGTTCCCCTGGAAACCATCGTGAACAATTCTTGTTGAATTTATTTTTATTCGAAACTGTTGTATATCAATAATTCAATGTGTCCATGTTTTTCTAGAACCACCCTCACTGTTATAACTTTTTATGGAAAAAGCTATTATTATGTAGGGTACTAACACATAACCTATCATCAGTTGCAATATGCCATTCACAATAAAAAACCATGATTAATTTGTGTTGTCCATTATTTGATATATAATAAAAACGATATATTTTACTTACATATATATAAAAGATTGGTAGAATTTTTATCAAAATCGGTTCAGTAGTTTAATTCTTAAATTAAAATAACTGGTTATGACACCATTAAAATCGATTTTTTTTTAAAACTCAATCTTAATTTTTAAACATATTATTACAGATATAAGATAATTAATAACACATATCGATTATATATAGACACAACACTTTTGACCCTACAGTAGAATAACTCTTAGATGTCTAATATAACGTAACACTTGGTTAATTTGTTGTTAGTGTTATTAGAAGCCGACGACCGGCTACCTCGATGTCACGTAACAATAGAAGGTCACTTGTTTTAGCACCAAACTCAATTAATTATTTCGTCGCTTCGTGTACTGGTGTAATAAGCCTAAACGTTGATAACATCGACGGTAAACAATTTCCCTATATATAATGTTATCTGTGACGTAACTAAAATCTTGTTTACTTGTTTCACGCACGTTTGTTACAATTATATTCATTTCACAAAATATGTACATTTAGAAGCCTTTAATTATTCTCTCAACTGATATGCATCTCATATATCATAATACATATTACATTATTTATTCAATTTTAATTTTGTTATTATATTCATAACCAGAGCAAATTGTACAATAGTACCAACACCGTGGGATGAGGATCTGAGGGCCTCCCATGAAATGTTTTCCAAAATTTCGAAACCAAACGAAACAGAAATTTGATGTTAAAATTACATAATACATGCCATTTGGAAATATTAAAAATGTTAAAATATTGTTCCTTTGGACTTTTATGATAGGATGTATGACGAAAGAAATGTTAAACTCCATTTATTGATCCGATTTTGGTATTAACAAAAACACGAAATTGAGTCCGAAATTTCGGAATTTCATTTCATAGTAGACCCGCTGGTGATCTGTAACACAGGTTTATCCTACTTCAGACACCAGTTCTTCACAATACATTAACTTATGGAACCTCCAAAAATAAATATATTAGAATATTATAGATTACTAGTATTATGAAGAGAATAAACTTATTTGTAAACACAGTAAAGGTACACTTATATATTTTTGATTTAAAAAAAACAGGTTTTTAAGTGTTACGGATAGATATGGTGGTTTAAAAGCCAGGTAAAGTTATAAGCGAACGAGTAACCTGTGAGACGGCGCGGTCAAAGTCGAGGCCGGAGTCGGGCCCGGCGCATACGAACACGCCGTCCGCGCCGCTAGCCGCTCCGCTGCCCGCGCCGCCGCCGTCCGCCGCGTTGTAGAACAGCGACCACAGGCACTGAAACAAATATTCATTTATATTATAAACTGATCAATAGTAAAAAAAAATGGCGCAATTAGTGTCCAAAGGTGTAGCTCAATTATCAAAATCAATCTATCTAGTAACAAATGAATCCTTGATTATGTATCTCGCAAATGGTTAACGATAGTCGAAAATTGCACGATATTTGAATACAATTCAAATTTTTGACATGTTTTGTAATGTGTGATAGCAGTTTAAAAGATAGAGTAAGAAACAATGTGATTAGAGAGAAGTGTAGACTGAAAGACGATGTAGTGACAAAAATCGAAAAAGGAATGTTGCGTTGGTTTGGTCATTTGGAGAGGATGGATGAAAGAAGAATTACGATTGAGATTTATCGAGCAAGAATGAATGGAGATGTCGGTAGGGGCCGCCCTAGACGGACGTATGTCGACCAAATAGGCGACGTGCTAAATAAAGGCCAAATTAAAAGTACCCATAACCGGCGAGCGTGTATGAAAAGATTGATGAATGTAGAAGAAGCGAAAGAGGTTTGTCTGAATCGAAGCATTTGGCGTTCCATTGTTTCTGCCTACCCTAATGGGAGACAGGCGTGACAGATATGTATGTATGTATGTATGTATGATAGCAGTTATCGAGTAAATGTAGATTCTACCTTTAGAATTTACCTTAATTTAGTACTAAAATCACTTTTAGGTATGAATAATTTTATATATTGGCACTGAACCGTTAATAATGTCATTTAGGAGAGAAAAATGTACTGAATCCATCTAGCGATTAGGAAGCAATTATGTTACATTCTACCAGATTCTACCAGAGGGAGACTTTGTACAAAAGTCGTATGCTTGGCCACCTCCATCCCATTCGTATTTGGTAGGAAGGGTGGGATATAGCAGTGAATTAACAGGGTACAGAGGCATAACACCTAAGTTCTCACTAATAGCAGCATAGGGGGGGGGGGGGGATCATGGGCGAAAGCGTATACTCTGTTATGTCTATGGTAGTGCTCATGTCTATAGGCGACGGTAACCACTTTCCATCAGGTATCTAATGAAGTGTCAACCAATATTTATGCCTCTTTACTATAATTACAATAATTAAATATAGCGTCTTGTTAGGTCTTTTATAAAAAAGGCATTATCTTACTCAAAAAAAGCATTTTCAGTGTCAAGTATTACAATAGAAGTGTAAACTAACTAACCTTGGGTTTGTCAGACGTGACGGTCTGGTCGCCGCCGGACATGTCAAAGATTTTCTCAGCGTACGGCATCAGATCGCTCTCGGCATCCTTCACTTTGTTCGTTATGAAATACACCACAACTGTAACAACAATATTTATTATTTAATATATTAACAAATTAAAAAAAAATCACAATATATGAATCAAATAAGATATTAGTATCCTGTGAATTCTATTTACAATCTATTACAAAAGCAAAAAGTTACGAGAATGTGTGCATAGACGGACTCTCATGCAAAACATTATTGAACAAATTTCAATGAAATTTCGTATACGAATAGTTTATATCCTAACTTAGAATACAGGAATAACTTAGAAAACTTAGAATACAACATATAATATTTTACATAGTAATTAACGTAGGCGAAGATTACAATTCATCTGTTATTGATTTCAATTTATCAAAACTTTATTTTGTTGAAGAGTCCTACTATTGATCACGGTCTCACCTGATGGACAGTGATAATGTGATCTAAGATGGAGCTCGCAGGCCCACGAATAGCCCATTCACATTTGCCTTAAAACGGTGTAGATTATATATGGTTGAAAAAACATAAGCTGGAACGTGGCCGTACGCATAATGAAAGAAGATGCAAAACGCTTTGTGCGTTTAAATAGTATGTCTACAACGTAAAGATGGAAGTAAATTGAAAGTACTACTAAATAACGCTTAAAGTACTGAAAAGATTAAAATGAATTTTGATATACACATAATAGGATACTTTTTATTCCATTTAATGCGCCCTTACGTGATACAGTAAGTTCATTAATTGGCATCGTTTAATATATATATATATATATATATATATATATATATATATATATATATATATATATATATATATATATATATATATTTTATATAAGAAAACGACCAACTCGTCTAAGGGTAATTCCGGTAAGTCATCTCTGATGCGATTGTTACCATTTTCGTCAACAGAACTCACTGTGACACCCATGATACTGTTTATAGGTTGCATATCTTGAGGACTCTATTATATTAGTTATTTCTCTATTATATTAATCTAATAATACCTATCTATCTTGTCTTCACATATATTGTCCTTTAAGACGATAAGTATGGAATAAATTATGAAAATAAAGCAAAAGACATGTACAAGATTAGACGTATTTGTCACTCGGTTCTCTGCCTAGTCTGTGAGAAACCTAGCATGAAGCGTGTTTTCTATACAAATAACACGCATATAACTATCTTCCTTTACAAGCTGAGTACTAAGATATTCTGTTTAATTATGCTGTTAACACAAAGCATTCTCGTAAATACCATACTTTATTACCATAATCTATTTAAATGTGTATAATTATATGTTATATTTCAATTTAATATTAAAATCTGTAAATATGTACAAATTACATTTAACATAAATAAAAAAAAATAAACTTTTTATTCAAAAAGATTATTGACCTAGATTATTTTAATATTTCCTGACAATTATATTTCTGAAAAAATTCACGTACCAACTACAAGTGCAAATCGACCTAGACTTTCGAGGTCGTAACTATCGCAAATTACAGTGAAATGTGTATTAAATTCAAATATTATTTTAAATAGGCATAAAATATGTTTGGAGATGGTTTGGTGTGTTCATAGTATTAAAAATAATGCTGCGTTACATTTTCTGTATCCACATATTCGTTTATTCCACAGTACTCAGTAGTGGCAACACATGAAAGTACTGTAAACATTACAGCGTATTCTGTTATTTCCATAACGTCGAGTTAATGTCTACCACATTCTAATGAGGAGCGAAGAAAAATATTGCTAGTAGTAGAGTCTAACTGTCCCAATATTTGCAATATAGGGTATATTGTCAGGTTGACCTCCAAGTTGACCCCTTGAAAACCATCATGGTTAAATCTTGTTGAATTTATTACATCGATTAGCTTATAATCGACCTAACTTCATCCTCACCTATCATATCTAATATCCCACTAAAATATATTGGTATATTAGTAAAGAGATTGCCATTCCATTTTCAATCCAAAATGAATGATACAGATACTAAAAACTTCGGAATATAATTTATACATATAACAAATAATATTTACAGCTGTGTGTACACATGCAAATCAAACTTTTGTTTCATTTATAAATTATTGTTTCGTATCGAATAGTAACTGTAATAATAATAACACTTCAATAGCAAAACTGGTTTTATACATTATTGTAAGAAATTTTAAATAAATCCCTTTTCATAATTTATTAATCATTGACTTTGGTTTAAACGTGAACTTGCTACAGCAAAAACAACAAGACAACGATGGTAGCACTAAACCTAGCGAGCCATACCAATATTTGATTATAATTATATTAATGCATCCAACCACATATATATATATATATATATATATATATATATATATATCGATTTTAGGTTCAATACACTCATCGGTATTTGTACATTTTACCACCACCACATAAATACCATTACAATAGCGGTAAACATTCGACAATCAAGTATTAGTGAATGAGTCACACGTTATTCCTCTATAGATACAGTAAAAAGCCTTCGATAAAAAAAACCTACTGATTACCGAATGACGCGAACACGCAAAAAGTGGTGCAAAAAATTAAACGAATAGGTGACCCTGGCTGGTTTACTTATTACTTTCATGATATTTAGTCCCTCGTATCAAGTGCCTTAATAACAAATATATAATGCGAATCGTAATAGAATCGGCTCTTAAATATCTCTACAATCATATATTAATTATTCTAAAAAAAATCATAATCCTAAATTTTTTTTATATCACTGAGTTGGTAAACAAGTATACAGTCTATCTGACGGTAAGTGGTTACCGTAGCCAATGAACGCCTGCAATACCTATGCAATACAATAATTAATTTAGAGAATGGCGTCTCAGAATCGATCCCAATGGCTGGTACTTACATAATCCCTTCGGACAGGACCCAGTGGCTGGACCGACTTCTAGCACGGTGACAGCATTGTCTTCTTCAGTTAATGGAGGGAAGCGCAGTAGGCTGAGTGGCTCCTTCTCGCTCGGCAAGATCGTGCCATTTGTTATGAAAATGGCTTTCGATATATCACAGCTCTCTGCTGGCTCTGGTGAGAGAAGCTCTTTAGGACACTCGTTAATACCGATGACCAGGTGGTCGCAGTTCAGCGTCTTGGACTTGCTTTCAATTGTGACCATTGTTTTACCCTCGTCTACAGTTTTTGTCTCCACTTTATCGATCGGCCGGTTTAGGCAGTACACCCCGCCGAATACCGCGCAAAGCCTAGGTGAAAATTACAAATAGTACTTAATTACAGTAATAACAAATATAACAACAATTTGACACTGTATTTAGTTCAATTAATATTTTACTTCAATATAATAAATATATAATAATTTAGTTTTTAACAAATAAATAATATTTTAGTTCAATAAAATTAATAAATACGGTACAAATAGTCTACGATAAATGGTACGCTCCTTGAAAATCCAAAGAACTAAAACCAAGCAATAAAATTCTCGTTTCCTCACAAACAAACAGAGCACCACTGCTGGACATAGACCTCCTTAATAAGGGAAGTTTTGCCAGTAGTTGCCACGCTAGTTAGGCTTTCGTGACGTTTTAAGAGGGACGCTGTTGTCCATCGCTCGATTGTCAATCCCTCGACCATTAGTTCCTTTAGTCGCCTCTTACGACACCCAGGGGAAAAGAAGGGGTGGCCTATTCTATGCAGAGATTACAAGATGTTTATGAGATATTAAAGAAAAAATTATATAACAAGAGTAATTCTAGTGTTTGTTTCGGCATCACGTAAGAACTACTGCACCAAACTGGATACGGTTTTCATTGTGGGATTCCTAAAGATGAAACTTTATGTTTTATGTTGATACGTTATATAGAAATGGTTAAGTATTTCCAAAATCCACACTTGAAAATTTTCAGGGAAAAAGTAGTTAGTATAAAATAATTCTATGTGAATTATGAAAAGTAATTCCTGTGATAACCATTAACTTTTTTATGCCATAAAGATTTCACGGTTGATATTTTAACCCTTCTTTGCATAATGGTGGAAATTTCCATCATAACATTGAATGCCCAAAAATTATATAAAAAAAAACAATTTCACTTTAATTTGATCATGTCTAGATACTTTTTTAATGTCCATTGCAGAAAAAAAAACAGCTATCAAATTTATTTTTTTTAACAATTTTTCTTTTAATTTTAAACACAAATTATATCACCTTTACTTATTTCACCAATAAAGAAAAAACATGCAAAGAAGTGTTAATGAAATTGGGCAACAACCTGTCTGCGAAGAGTACCAATTTTACTTACACTTTAAATAGTCACGTAATATTAATATTGGTTAAAATGAGATACTGAAATACATGATTTTAACTTAATTCGACAATTTAATTTTTAATTATTTATTTTAATAATTTAATTCTACATTTCTAGCTAAGCAGAGTATAAGCATTTTTCTTATCTTTGTTGACAATAAATTAAAAAATATATATATTTAATACAATAAATATAAACTTTATTTATAAAATATCTCATTAGATCTGCAAACATCGTAATTTTAAAACATTAAAACGTGCGGCATGCAACATTAGAAAGTGTCTTCATTTTTGTTTGCGTTGATCAAGTTGATGCACATTTAGGTCATTGAACTACGTGCAAAGTAATACATTCATGGTGCATTTTTTGCATTGCAGCAATGAGGTGAATAATGAAAATGCAGCCGCAATATCATATTTATAAATAATAGTTAAAACCCCTTTTTAATAAATGCTTTTATTGAAAAACGTAACTTTTTTAGTTAGGATACGAACTGGTATCTTTCAACCGTATACATTCAAACAGATAAGCACTACATACTAATAGAGTCATAATTTTCATATTTAATTACTGAGATATCAATAAAGCTGTTTATGGATAGTAAACCTTCTACACTTCCGTAACTCTCACCCATAATGCTTTTTCTGTCAATATGTCTCTGAAATTGACCCGAATTTAGTAAAAAAATTAGCACACAAATTACATCGCAGTTGTGCCATCTATTAATTCTATATCTGTGGTCGAGAGGTATAATCGTATTACGATTCGTGTAACATGAATTTTTCAACCCGCCTGAACTGTCAGAGACTAACAACCATTATGTTACAAATAAATTTTCAGAGTACCTACTCAATTAATACAGACATATTTCGAAAGATCTTTCAAATTTGTAGATTTCATTATTTTTAATTTTAATTCTCTAACAAAAATAACTCCATTAACTACGTTATATAAGACATATCAAAATATATGAAATAGGTCTTACTAAAATATAGGTCATATGTAATTAATATTTTTTAAATTATCTTCAAATATTATAGGGGAATAAGTTTCACTATCATATTAATAAATTGGTTACCACTTTCGATCAGCTAGGCGTTAGCTTGTTTATTATTCTATATTACATAAAATCGCCGTGAATAGGTCATTCCTTCCGTTCCCGTAGGTGTCGTAAAAGACTAATAAGGGAGAGCAAAGGATGGGTAGCAGTGTTCCTCTTAAAACATATCTAAAGTGTAACTGCGGTTGCCAATCCGCCTGCCAAGCGTGGCATTTACTGGCAAAACCCCCCAAGGGCGAGACTTATGTTCAGCACTGGACAGTTAAAGGTTGATAAAATATTTTAATAACTTATTAACTATGTTTGTATCTCATAATCAACAAGTTACTGTAACATAATAAAAAAATATTTACTCACCTACAGAAACACTGAGGCAGCTCTCCACTTCCATACATGGGCCAAAGGAATGGAGTATTGCCATAACGACCGAGACTCATAAGGAATTTCTTGCATTCTTTCACACCCTCCAGGCACGGCATCTTATCAGTGCCGCCGGCAATTGCATACAGCACATAGTGAATCAGATTTGGAGTCAGCCCCTTGTGCGTGAGGTACTCTTTGAAGGTCTTGTCATTCCAATCTAATTTGAGAAAAAATTTACATTATCCATAAGATCCTGTTACATTTCATTAATATAATATGTCCAATAGTTATCGGATAAATGGTTTAAAACATTTAATAACTCTTGATACATATTAAATTTACTAAATTTCCCTTAATGGTAGATGTTAGACGACAATATAAATGAAACTGCCCTAGACTGTAAAAAATTTGGAAAATTCTTTCTGGTATAAGCAAGAATTTCGTGACTTTGACATGTCTTTTCAACCGACTTCAAAATCAATCAAAGGATCTCTATTTAGTATTTTGAAGTGATTTCGATTCTTCTTTTTACAATAGATAGTGTTTACTTCCGTACTGCTCTCATCTGTCAATTTAATGGTCACAATTAAAATCTGATTAATTGTCTGAACAACAAGTGTCAGAGGCCAGACATTTTACATCAAATTTTAATCTTTACTTATACTTCTCTATGCTAATCTTAACACTTACATCTCCACCTCTACCTAAACAAGAACTTACCTTTAAACTCATTGTTCATCTCCTCTTCATTATAACCAACAATGGAGGTGAGCATCTTCATAAGCATCCTTTTCTCGACAATGCTGACCGCCTCCGTTGCGAACACATCGGCTCGCGAGCACGGCACCGGCATCAGCCGGTCATTGAGCCAAGTAAGCACTCGGGTTACGCATCGGAACTCCGCGTAACGGGCGATATTTGAAGAGATCAACAGCTCCACGAGTGGGCCACGGGAGAATAATAACTGTGGAAGACGACTTTGTCACTATACATTTTAGAGCATGCATTTATATAACTTTCTAAAAATGACTACATATTGTACTTCAAATACGAAAGTGAATCAAAGACAGCTAAATCCAAGTCTGTCAAATGTTCAGGAAACTACAAAAACTAATATTTTGTCAAGTATATGGAACAATATTCTATATTTTAAACTAGATTGAAAAAAAATTGAATATTAGTAATAATTTGAATTGTAATTAATAGAACTCCAACTATATTTCAGTACAGAGTGAAAATGAAATCGCTTTTATGGCGTTTAGCTGCCTTTGATTTTATAGGCCTCATACTATTTTCTATTATTTGATAATGACTATAGAAAATTAACCAGATCCTGACATAGAATGGGCCACTCTTTCCTTTCCTTTGGGTGTCTTAATAGTCGAGGTATGGGCAGCAGCTTCCCTCTTAAAATATCACCAAAGCCTAACTGTGGTTGTCAACCCACCTGACAACAACTGACAAAACCATCCTTATGGGGGAGGCCTATGTTCAACAATGGACAGTTAATGGCTAATATAATATAATAAATATAAAATAAAAGATTTTCTATAAATTAACTTATTTTAACTAATCTTAATCATATGAATAAATTTGTTACCAAAATTCTATATGGTTGTTCTTCCTTCCATGTTGATGCCTATTCTCTCATACTAAAATGTGCCATTTATATTAAATTTAAATTAGAATAATTTGTAAGTACAACTGTAACAAATATTTTAAGAGTAAAAACTTACTTTTGGAGTCATATCAATATTAAATTTCCTATATTCAGATGTGAAGTTTGCTTGACTCCACACCTTCTTGGGAGGTTCAGCTTTGCTGTCTTCAGTCTTATCTTGTCCCTCTTCTTTTTTTTCTTCTTGTGGGGTCTCCCTAACAACATATGTTTTAATGTTATTGAAACTATAACCTCATCCCATTAACATGCCACTGCTCAGCTTAGCATGTCTCTCTCCATAACAGAAGAATATAAGCTTGCCATTATCATATTCATGCTGAGAAGCAGTTTTGTATAAGGTTTTATTTCAAGTTTTCCTAGCATTGGGGCATTGTGCTTTGCTCCCCTAATTGCCTTTTATGACACATTGAAAACAAAAAGAAGTGGCTGATACACTGTTTTCTTACTTCATTAACACACAATTATATTTCATTATAATGTCATATTTTAACAATAAGCAGGGCTCCATTTTGAGAGGAGACAAGACAAGCTAATTCTTTGCTAGAATAGGCATTTTTAACAATAGATTAGTAAATACTAACATTTCTATAATTTCTACACATGTAATATATTTATACAATAAATTTACATATTCACATTTATACTTACTTTTCTATATACCATTTTTCAGAAAGGTTATAAACTTGTTGCTGTCTTTTCGGATCAGAATTTACTTCTTTAATGAATTTCTGAAGGCCGTCAAAGTTGTAAGAAGCCCAGAGTCCTCCATAATGATCACTAGAGTCCAGATGCAGAACATTTTTCCCTATCCTACTACAGGCGGCAGCTACTATTGATTCCACCATTCCTTAACAACAATAGAAACACTAATAAGTCTTCACACATTTTCAAAAAGAGGGTGCTTTCATTTTGTAATATTTTTTTTTTTTTGTTATCTTCATGATATGTGTTTATACTATGAATTTTTTTTTTATGAAAATTAAAGAAGAATGTTACACTTTCAGACATTATAGAAGTTTATGATAAATAAAATATCACTGTCTATCTACAGGACAAGTTATTGTATGTTGGATTTCCATTATATATACTAAATGTGGGTGTGAAAATTTAGAAATATATTTCATTGTGTTTACCCTACATTAGTGTATATAGGATAAACCATAACCATAATGTACCTAATCTCATCTAATTATTATATGAAATTAATAAATATTAATTAATAATTATTATGTACATTCATTATTTGAACACCTGATCTGATTAAAGTAAGATACCCACTGTTATGAGAAATCATTCAAATACTATTATTACAATTATTATTCTAAATTACTTAAATTAAAGATGTGATAATATCATTTACTTTATTCCTTAGTGTTAAACAAAGGCATATTTAAGTGGGGGAATGGGTGGACTATGCCAAATTAGATACAAGTGAAGCTTTGCAAAGATATGTCTTAAAGTATATATACACCTTTTTTTACAGGGTAGACCCACATTGAAATAATCTTAAATATGCTAATGGTGATAGAGTATCAAATTCTGTATTTTATAATAACCAACCACCAATAATCCATATCTTTAATTTTTAGATTTTTTAAATAAAACTAGTGTTTTCAAAGATAATCTTTTTAACCTATTGAAATTAAACAAGAAATGTATTAAAAGTTTATTGACTTCTCAATATTCATTTCATTATCATGAGCTACAAAGTTATTGTGCAATCAGTAGTTGTCTCTTTCATATCTTCAGGTTTGCAGAAGCTTTATTCTCTATATCTTTTCAATACTTCGTAATAATCATAGACAGTAAAAAGGGATGGAACTGATTTAGAACTATCTATAATATTGTATATTCTAAATTCAAACAAAAAAAAATAAGTAGAAACAATGAATGAACTAGATTGTGGAGAATTGAGATTTACCTTACTTAAATAGGAATGTTCACTCAAAGGTAATCCTTTGGTCACACCAAAGGGTAATGTGATGAATTTCTTTTAAATTATATGAATAGAACAAAAGGCTAACTTAATTGGAGCTATTCTTCAAAATATAAAAGAGAGAGACCTATTGAATATGTAATTGTTTTGTCTTTCAAGAAAATGATCTCTTTTGTAAGGCTATTGCTCAATCTACTGTCCATGTCTGTCTATATAAGACACTTAAAAATAAAAATAATTAGAAAATTGGTAGTACTATTATCTAATATCATTTACGAAAAAATTTAAGTCAGGCAATGACTAACTACAGACACTCGACAAATATTTAATTAATGACTAAGCTAGGTTGTCATGAATTCAGGTCGGTGTTTCGCTTACAGACATCAAAAAGGCATACATATACATGAAGATTGGTGACGTGGTAAATTTAATAAAAGAAATATATACATAAGTAAAGTGAAACAACTTTAATGTAATGAATTTAACGACTAGGAGCATTGATGATGACCACACAATGGAAAAAAAAAATAAGATCGATAAGTAGGCTGCTATCGCCATCATTCTCAATAGAATTCCAGAAGAAATAAATAGACATACCTGTACCAACAACGATGACCTGAAAGTCGGTCGGTAAATCGTCGTCCATGTTTTATTCCTTTTGTTCAGAATTGGTGATATAAATGTGCAATTCACAATTAAAAATTCGCCTAAAAATTTTAACTTTCTTTCGCACGTCTTCGATTCGAGCAGTCAGGCAAGACTCCACAACTTGACATTGACAGTATAGAATAACAGTCAAACTGACCGCGACAGCTTGAGACGGCATTACCAAATACGATTATTACTTATTTCGCCCCAAATTTATTTTATTTTTCCATTTTCACACAAAAATAATTTGCTAAATTTTCAAAATAAATACTCAATCTAGCAACGTTGAACTGGGTTGAAGATGTTATATACTATTCTTAATCTATGCTCATTACTGTAAGAAAAAAATAATGATAAAAACTTTGATTATCGTAGTACATTATACTTGAATAATATATAATATAATAATATATATAATAATAACAATAATACTCGTTTCCAAAATACCGAAGCTAAAAAAGAATTAGTCGTTTCCTGTTTGTTAATAGGCTAACAGGCGGGGGGAAAGGGATTGTTAGTAATGGAGACTGAGAATCCCATTGCTAGCAATATACCCAACCAGTTCGACCTCCTCGCGGTTCTCCCTAGAAACTATCATGGTTAATTCCTGATGAATTCATCATGATGGGCTAATTGGCCTGTTTTCATTCTCATCTATCACCCTTCACTGGTACTCCGCCAGTGTATCCCGTTAGCGCAGGCGGGGTTAGCATACCATTTTAACCCATTAAAAAAAAATAGCCTAACAGGCAACACCTTGTTAAAAATAAATTAATTAAGTTTTTTTTAACAACACAGGAGGCAAACGAGCATGCGGCTCACATGATGGTAAGTGACTACCGCCACCCATGATCACCCAAAACACCAACGGCATTGCAGGTGTGCTGCCAGCCTTTTAAAAAGGAATATATTCTTTTCTTGAAGGTTATGATGTCGTATCGTTTCGGAAATACTGCTGCTAGAAGTTGATTCTAAAGGGTGGTTTTACGTGGAAGAAATTGCCTTGAAAAACGCACGGTGGAAGACCGCCACTCGTCCAGATAGTTGGGATGAAATTTTAATTCATGGAGAGTTGTATGGTGGTGAAAATCAGCAGCAGGTATCAATCCGATCAATTCCTCGGATCCTCATAAAGATCAAATTCTTTGTCTGTCTGTCACCCAGCCTTAACACTGTCGTAATCGCTTTAAATAAATTTTTCTTCAAATTATCTTTAAATATAAAATTATCAATAAACAAAACAAGACTCGATTTTAGCGTCACCTAGTATTGTAAATGTTAAGTAATTTTAAGGCTTTGAATCCGCTAGTGAAAGCTGGTAACACACGTCACCACAAATAATAATAATCTTATGTGTACGATGGCATAGATGGCGCCATCTCACTACGACCTTTTATCATTATTATGGGGTACCCCTTCCCATAATAGGTTCAAATAAATACACTCGGTGAAATGTAGGTATGTGTTGATTTTTCTAACATTAGATAGAGTAGATTTTAGGGTCTCGAATCTATGAATTCTGCGATATCAAGTTATAGTATTACGTTCACCACAAACATATCGTCATAGTCGTAGAATACTGACGGATCTGACAAATATTAAATATATATATCCGTCAGTATTTTACGACTATAACGTATTATATTTGATTACCCCATAAAAGGTTAAAGCCACAAATATTTTTTTTTACAAAATGTTATGACTTGTTTTGCTCCTGAATTTTGTACGTATTACATAATGCCATCTAATCCCAAACTAAGCAGAAGGAAAGAGATTGTTACTAATCGGGTATAACAGCTCCATTGCTAGCAATGTCAGGTTATAGGAGATACCTGATAGGAGATAGCCCAATCAGGTTGATCTCCACGCGGTTCCCCCTGGGTAACCATCGTCGTTAATTCTCATGGAATTCTTCGCGATGGGCTAACAGACCTTCTTTTATTCTCACCTATCACTTCTCTCTGGTGTCCGGCCAGCGTATGTCGATGGCGCAGACGGGGTTACCTTTCCATTTATACCCACTAAAAAATCACAAACTAAGCAAAGAAATACTTACTTTTCTCATATTAATATTAACATAATAAACACAAAGACCAATATAAACGGGCGTACTCGTGAATAGAATACAAATATTTGTATTGTGCAGGATTTCAACCTCCGACCGTTACACAGCCGAGGCCGTCACTGAAGAGGTTTTGTGACTGTCATGTCTACTATTCCTAATACTATTATAAACGCAAATTAGTAAGGATCTATTAATAGATGTTTGTTACTCTTTCACCCAAAAACTATTAACCGAAACTCGTCTTATAACAATTGTACACTGCAACGTTGGTCAAACACGCGTTACGCTGGCTCGTGGCGCTTAAACAATAGGACTACTCTGCTACTTTGCAGCATAACCACAAGTTAAAGACCTTCGTCTTCAAACTTGATGAAAAGATGTAGCGTAGTTTCCGAACGTTCCTAACGGTAGGAATATTCACATATATCTTTATAATCTATAATTATTTCATATTTTTTAAACAGAAACTTCGAAGATAAGAAGGGATGATTGTTTTCTTGTATTTTTTATCACAATTATAAAAACTACGCAACATAAAAATCTGTTTTAAAATATACAAATGAAGATCTTTCATATGATATTCCACTTGGACTAGAAGGTGAATTTTGAAATTTTGAGAATTCATTTTGAACAATAAACATATTTTTTCAATTATTTTAATTTGCAATATATGAAGGCCAATGATATCTAAAGCTATTCCAAATTTCAAATTAATAACATTAATAGTTGCTAAGAAATGCTGTGAAGGACGGATGGACAAAATCGCACCATAAGGGTTCCTTAGTCCCTTTTTGGTACAGAACCCTAAAAATAGGTAGATACCTACATATACAAACTAATAAATGTCTGTATCATTGGTTCCTTTTACATAACTATTAGAAAACTAGTCTGTAGTTAAGTTGGTAAACCACAACAAAACAAATGATAATTTAGTTTTGTTGTAGCCTTTAATCTTTGAAAATAAAATAATTAGATACAAATTTACTTCTCACGTTCCCAATCAAGTCGTAATAGATAGGTAGGTAATAGGGATAATATATGGGGGAAAAGGGATTGTTAGTAATGGAGACTGAGAATCCTATTGCTAGCAATATACCCAACCAGGTCGACCTTCTCGCGGTTCTCCCTGGAAACTATCTTGATTAATTCCTGATGAATTCATCATGATAGGCTAACTGGCCTGTTTTCATTCTCATCTATCTCCCTTCACTGGTGCTCCGCCAGTGTATCCCGTTAGCGCAGGCGAGGTTACCATACCATTTTCATCCATCAAAAAAAAAATAGGGATAATATATAGCAAAATCTATATATTTTAGTTACAATATCTATATACTGGTCGAATAATGAGTTTGTTAAGTTCAAAAAATAATACTGGATATCAAACTATATATTCGAAAATAGATATCCAAGAGATATCGAAATGGGTGATGACCATTTTTCAACTATCAATGTCCAAAAGTACCCAATATATAGATATCGAATTATTAACCATACTTAGTAGGTACCGACTTGGATAATCATTAGAAACGATTACACTATTTCAATGCAATCAAAATACGAGTTTATCCGATTTCAGAAGATGACGTACCAATAACAAATACCCCAACCACACGAGTCACGACCACGTCTATAACATGATATTATTTTAGTTTTATGTAGCAATAATAAACCAAGCAATGTTTATTTCGCTAACCAAAAAAATGTGATCATGAAAAATGAAACAACAGATATGTTGCGTTTTATATTTACAATTTTTTACATACATTTCAACGTTTTACAGACTACAGGGAGCTCTTTTTAATTCGAGCAACGAACATTACATAAACTAACACGTAAATCTAATCGCAATAAAAACGACTTATGTGAGTCAATCTGCTACTGGGTCCGCGTACCGCTGTGGCCCGCGGCGGAATCGGTACACTAGAATCAATAAAATTCTGGTGTCCTTAAAACAAGAACAGTGGCAGTTTTGTTGGAAAAGGACATTGGTACGAACAATGTTTACACCTTAGGCCGCTACCGACTTTATTTATTGTTCACAGGACGAATTGGTCTTATATGCCCTCCAATCATTTAAGGGTAGTTACTTGACTAATTATAATACATTTATTATGTTATCAAATTGACTTTGCACTGACGACTATCTACCCTAACAAGTAGGTAAGTACTATCTACAACACCATGTTGAATCGGCAAACTTCAGATTATTACCTCACTTTCAGTGGGGTTGGCAGTTAGCCCAGTATAGTTGAAAACTTTATAAACATAATGGCCGTTGTAAGAAGTTAAAAATTCTTCGAAAACTATTGAACTTGCCTATAAATAGTAAGTACATACATTTAATGCGCCTATAAAAGACTAATTCGGCAGATCTTTATTTCCTAATACTTTTACAAAGAACACTAAACGGTGAACATGTCACAAGAATAAATGGTAAATGGGTTCCCAGTCCGAGCGACATCACCATACTGATCAACTATAGGCTGTTAGCAAAAAACGAGCAATAATTTACATCCGGCTATAAATATACACGTAAATTACAGTTTATCGTAGATTGTGAACATCAACATTGCGAAACATCAATTTATTAACAAAAACAAACTATTTACATACTATTCCTAATTTTGAAAACATTAAAATATCGACTTTTCCCTTTTTCCCTTTCGATAATAATGTAAAAGAAGCAAATTTACGCGAGATCCTTAAAAGAGTTTAATTCTAAATCATTTAAGTCCTACACTTCATTTCCTGCACGTATATGCATTACGTTTCCATTTTTATTTCTCTCTGTACCTGACTGATGTCCCAACCTGTAACTTTAAATGATATGTTATTTTAAAGTTCAGTGTGATATGTTAAATGCCAATTCGAAATAAACAACAAATATAATAAGAAAAGTCGATACTTTCATGTACCAGTAACATATAACAGTCGACAACATGTGCCAGCGACTAGAACAATGTTTCTCGCGAATGCGAGGCACGATCTAACCTTAGCGGCAGCGGCATAGGTCGACTTGTTAACTCAGTACTTTCGCCGAGTGCCGCTGCTTCGCCGCCACCACTATCCGTCGAAAACTGCTCTACTTCATCATCCGTAGAGTCTGCTTCATCTTCAGCAAACACAGAGTCCGCACCCACAGATACTAATTCGCACTCTACCGCGTAAGACGGCCCTACACTTCCTACAGATGCGAGTGGTGCTAATCGCTCACTAGGGCATGGTGATAAACGACGCTCTGGTAAAGCGCACACCACTGACGAACCACGACGTTCCAAATACGAACTTCCAGAACTTGAACATGTCGCGGAACTTAACCGCCGATCTCGTGCTCCTCCTGAGGCACGTCTCTCTGCAAAACGTAGTGCAGATCCTGGTAGCGAATCCCCACGGAGAGTTGACAAACGACGAGGTGGAGCTAATAAACTGCCATAGCCACCTCCATATGACGCGAAGCGGGAAGTTCGAGGCCAAGGAGGCTCTTCACTTATAGAAGGCCGGGAACGTGCCCGTTCTGATAGAGCCTCTTCCAAAGCCGCCGTTAACTGTCGCTCTTCTTCTACTGCCTGTTCCTCCGCAACCACCGCCTCAGCTAGTTCTACTAACTTTGGATCGTTAAGAGCCTTCACCGATTTGCTTCGACTTTTATAAACAATCAAAAATACCATTAGCGCGAAAAAGCCGCCCAAAGTAGCGGCTATGCGCACACCGGTCATGACGTCATAAGTGGCATAAAATTCGATGCGCACCCGATCACGATCTGCTTGTAAGCGATCGGTACTGTTCTCGGCTGCACCCAAATCTCCGCCTCCCCATCCATCTCGATGCTCCATCGTAAGGTCAAGTGTTCATCGCCTGTAACAATGATATAACGAAGTCTTAAGATTTCTACTATGTTAAATAGGTAAAAGGGGATTTAGATTAAAAAACAAGTATAGAACAAGTGGTAGAGCATAGAGGTAAGTAGGTTGGGAATTAAGAATACACAATAATTATAATAAGTTGTTATTGTTGAGACTAAAAAAAAAAGAACACAAGAATATTGTACAAAATTGTTCATGAAAAAGTGAACAAAGAATACTCTTATTCGTCTGTTATAATGTATAGACTAAATAAATATTATTCGAGAAGAATAAGAATTAATTAGTTGTTCTTAAATTATTTTGTTTCACTTCCATTCCATTACCTTTAGTAAGTATGTGATTGCCAACAATCAAAGATTGACCGCCACTATTAGTACTAGACGTTTCGTAAACTTCCATATTAGTCATTAATCTCCAACTGCCATTTTGTTAACGCATAAGTACATTCCGACATGTGTTTAAACGAGGCATCTTCAGGCAAATTATTAGATTGCTGCTTAAAGCCTAGTGTTACTGCTTAGAGCCTAGTTAATCGTTTGGCACCCAAACTGCAAATAAATTCGTCTAGAGGCGAAACACGTATTGCAAAATGTGCGTGAACAAAATGGCAGTCAGAGAGTTTAGCAAAATTGAGAGCATTAGGTTGGCTGGAAGAGATCTCTTTTAGAGATAAACCCACCCTTGCTAACAAGTTGTTCAACTAATTGCTGTATCTTTTGTTCAAGTGCAATAAGATATATATATATATATATATATATATATATATATATATATATATATATATATATATATATATATATATATATATATAAGATTGTGAAAGTGGTAGTAATAGTGGTAATCAATCTTTGAGTGTTGGCAGTCACACATATGTGTAACAATTTAGTATATTATTATTTTAGTATATATGTACTAGTGATAGCGGAATTAAACAAAATAATTCCAATCAACCATTGATATGGACTTTCGAAAGATAACACCAAATTCAGTAAAATACGAGGATTATTGTACTTAATATAATTTTGGAAAATCCTTCTCAATACTTAATCCATCCAGGACTTAATATTTTGTTACAATTTTCTGCTAAAGCAAAGTACCTATGCAAAGACCAGACAATGTTGTCACGATTTCCGTTTGGGAGTTGCGGCGTAGCACCGACGTATCTAGGACACGCCTGGCCTATCGTATCTGCTTCACATAATAGTATATTCAAGTATTATCATAGGTTTGGGTAACAAAATTTCGTTTTTTACATACTCATAAAAGATAGTAATGTTATCTTTTTTATAATAATAAAATTATGGTATATAATTACTTTTTGCAGATTTATTAAGTTTTGTTTGTCATCAATTTCATTTGTGCTGAAAAATGGCATCAATATTTGTATAAGCTAGTAAACGAAGACTGTGTATGAATAAAATGAATATGTATATGCTTCTTCTTATTTCGAGCCAATAGGCCACCTGAATATATTTAGACCAGAACTTGGCAACTTTCACAACACATTTGGTTGCCTTATTCAGGTCCTCCTTCATACAAGAAAGAAGTCGCGGCGCACCTAGAAACAACATAACCTTCAAGAAAAGAGTATATTCCTTTTTAAAAGGCTGGCAGCACACCTGCAATGCCGCAGGTGTTGTGAGTGATCATGGGCGGCGGTAGTCACTTACCATCAGGTGAGCCGCATGCTCGTTTGCCCCCTGCGTTGTAAAAAAAAAAAGCTAGACACGGTAACGCAGTGACTAGGCTGATTTCTCAACACAATGGCAATATGTATGCTAAACAGGTAAAAGAAGTTGAATCCGATCACTTGGCATTCTTTATCTATCCAACAGCAAAGTATAAAAGTCGCCGGTTTGGATAGTCCTACTTATATTTCTGCTGATAAGTAACTGTGCTAATACGTTTTATTTTTCTTTTTGTTTAAAATGACCGTAAAATTTTAGGATAAGGAGGTCTTATTTCTTAACTCCTTATTCATAAAAACTAAAACCTCCTACAAACCCATTTGACCTACAAAAATACTTTGTCACTGTCTTTTAAATTAAGAATTTAGCGCAAATAAAAAGGACAAAATACTGCAATAGCTAAAATAAGTTTATAAAAGGTGTGACGTTTTTATAAATAAAGTTGTTGGTTCTCAGAAATGGCAATGCATGAACCGATTTTCACTATTCGAATAATAGGGCTAACTTGTCCACGTGTTGATCCAATATTATTTTGTGACGATTGAAGTTGCAGATTTATTTGTAGAATAAGAACCTGTTGTACAGCAAAATCTACATGTAGCTTCATACGGGTAGATAGATAGGTAGATATAGTCCCTAATATTTTTTTAAATATAATAAAAAATGGAGTCCCACAAAAACAGACTTCAATCGTGACAATCGTTATTTTGATTTAAAAACTAGATCACTGCACAGATTTTGATAAAATTTCTACGGGACCAATCTAGAGTTTCCTTTCAGATAAAAAAGAGTTTTCTTCAACAGTTTAGAATTGACGGAGTAATAACATAACAAACATAAAAAAACAGCCGAATTGAGAACCTCTTTCTTTTTGAAGTCCGTTGAAAATACATTCTAATATTACATGCTAATAATGTAGCTTTCTATGAGTGAAAGAATTTTTAAGTAATATTAGTTAAGGCAAGAAAGCGACAGGAAAATATTGTGGTATATCCCATATATCTTACTACAATACACTTTCAAGAATTTCTAATATCTAAAACGAAATCAAACATTTTAGATTCATATGTACAGTAGAGAAATATTGTAGCCGATTGCCAGCCAGTTAGAAAAAACAATTTAATCTAAATTCCAAACTAGCCCTTGTTCAAATTTCATAAATATCTAATATATAATGATATATATTATGAGAAATATTATTAATTATATTGCGGCGCAAGGCTATATTTTTTAGATAATGGTTACATGTTAAGTATACCCAAAGACTTTACACAACTATTGGCATGCAATGCTTATTTCTACAAACAAGCGATTTCTACTATTACTTAACAGATATTATTTAACTTAATATAGAAATAAATACAAATAGTTGAAATGCAGATATAAGATTATCAAGTTGAGAACATAGCAATCATTTAAAAGCGTAAACATTTCAGAAAATATTTTAGGAATCTAATAAATTAATACCAAGGGCAAACCTCATTGGTTGCCATGTTGTATAAAGGAACTACTTCAACACTGTATTTTCCATTAATCAATTCTCCGCTAGTCAATAAAGAGATCAAAATAAACCACACGATCAGTTCATGCCATAGATCACAGTTCCTACATATTTTTAAGGAGAAAGGGATTGTTAGTAATATTGGCGGATTTAAAAGTATTTTTAACCGACTACGAAAAGAAAGAGGTTCACAATTCGGTTGTATTTTTCTTAATGTTTGTCAACTCGTAATTCCATCCACTGTAAACCGATTTGGGGAACACTTTTTTATCTTGGTTATCAGTAGTTGCCACGCTTGGCAAGCGGGTTGGCATACGCAGTATGACTTTTGGTGATGTTAGAAGAGGGACGATGCTGCCCATCCTACCACCATAAACTTCCTTAGTCGCTTCTTACGACACCCACGAGAAAGGAAGGTGTGGCCTATTCTATGCCAGGACCTAGACGGCAAATATTAGAATATATAAATTAAATTACATAATATATTTAATAGCTTTTCCTACTTCTTAATTTCACGTGTCCGAAGTAGCAAAAAGCTAGTTCTACGAACGACAGTGACCACTTCCAATCACAGCTGAGCTGTCAGCTTGTTTGGCATTCTCATCTAAAAACAATATTGATTTCAAATTATAACCTGATAACTTAGAGTCTAGAATCTAAGTTGTACTCGACCATCTAGGCCCTAAATGGTCGCATACAACGCGGTTTCAGCGATGTTTTCTCTCACGAACGTTAAGGTTATGGAAGAGCTCCATATCGAGGTTTCTCTAAGAGACTACAGCATGGGGTTCTTCAAAAAAGGAGTAAAGAGAATTCTTCAGGGTCGGCAACGCACGCGTAATACCCCTGGTATTGCAGGCGTTCATAGGGTACGGTAATCACTTACCATCAGGTGAGCCGTATTATGAGATTTTTTACTTCTTTATGAATAACCAGAGAAAGACTTTGTACAAAAGCAGTTATGTTTGCATGGCTGTGCATTCGGTTTGAATATTAAGGCACGTGGCAGTGAATTTACAAGGTACAGAGGCATAACACCTTAGTCCTCAAGAATTGCAACGAATGGGGGGATATCATGGACAAAAAGTGAACTCTATTATGTCCATAGTACTGCTCATATCTATAGGCGATGGTTACCACTTTCCATCAGGTGGGCTTTCCATCACGTCAGCTTGTTTGCCATTTTAAGTTACATAAAAAATAAGGGAGTAAATTCCGTACAAGAATAATGAAAGATTGTGTAATAGTAATAAAAAGTATGAACACGATTTGTTTATCTGCATCAGAAGGAACATCGAATGCTCTAAATAAAATGCAGTTGATCGATATATCGCGTTCAACCAACAATGAGACTAAATATAGCGACGGAGGTGAAGTGCCTGTGTGTGTCGGGCGTTGATGACGGAGCACCAATTAAATGATTAGCTATGAAAAGCGATATAAATGCAGAAAGAGAGAGAGAGAAAGAGATTCTATATTTATTTATTTATCAAATGTTAACACACCTAGATAGTGTAAATGGCGGACTTAACATCATATGGAGTTATCTACCAATCTATCGTAGACAGGAATAACAGAAAATATAATTGACAGTGAATGAGCAAATAAATAGAAAAACATTAAATTAAAACAAAAATATAATATTCTCTAAAGTCTAATTTTAACATTTTTAAATCATTAAAAAAGTTCCATCTATACTATATTAATATTATTCTGAGAGATAGTTATTTTCTAAAAGTTTTGTCGCCTTAACGACACATCCAAATATCATGTAATTTTTGTACACATAGTTTTGACATAACAAAAAAAGGACAATCTACTTTTTTACTTTATTATAGGCTAAATCGCGGACTCAGCTAATTAAATAGTAATAAATTCACAGGAAAAGCATGTTCACTCTAAAATAGAATTGTATTATCGTAAGTCAATACACAGAGGTTTTTTTTTTTTTCAGGGAAATTAGCTAGGGATGAAATTGGTAATTTTAGAATTTGAGAAAATCAGGTATATAGGTACTGTTTTTTCTCTACAAAAGATGCGAGTACAACACATTAAACTTTAAAATTAACTATTTTATAATTCATATCTGTCATCGCAATCACAATTAAATGATATATTTTAGCCCAATTTATTAAACTGGTGAAAGTTTATTTATCAGACTTAGTCAAAAGATATATCATAAGATTGCTAGATTAATCTCTAGCCTTCTGTATAACTTAATATAATAATGGGGCGGGAGAGAAAAGTATGGTATATTACTAATTGAATAGTCATATTTATGAAGAAATAGTAACTAATTAGTAAATATAATAACAAGTTTTTAATAACTACTAATAAAATAATATATAATATATAAGTCACGAATACGCACTACAGCTACCATAAAATAAAATCACAATACTTCGTAGGTACATTAACTTTGAAATTTAGATGGGATCTTTGTTATCAGTTTCAGTATCGAATCGATTTATGTGACGCTCGTAGATAAATGTGTATTCAAATAAATGGAAAGATGTTTATACGTATGTTGTATATGTAGGTTTTGGATTGCTTTTAGTATATAAAATATAAGTTTATAAAAAATATTCCTAATTCAATTGCAAATGTTTTATACGCAATACTATTTATTTTCCCTTAAGTACTCATATTTTTTCTTAAGTAGTTTATTTAACAAATTGTATCGACTGTGCTTTTCTTAGTACATCCTATCTCCTATTGTAAATTATCTACGGTATACTTAAAGGCATATTCAAGGGCACTTCCGCGAAGCGAATGAATCCTATCCCATCACGATACCTACACACATACATATTGTACTCGTACATCATGTTCATCTCAGTATCCTAAACCATATAGCTATTGAGGTATTTTTGGCAACCGCTACTGGACAAAGGATCTCGATTGGTTTGTATAATGTATAACCTAACAAGCTTGGAACGTCAACATTAATTGTTCAATTTTATTGTGCGTCTATAAACCTCGTTGCGTGCTACCATATACCTGTTAAAATAATGTAATTCATTTTGTTGGTTATAAATTTATTTAGAAAGCATGTTATTAGATGATAAATAATTTGGTACTTTGGATTGTTCTGTTATATTTTATTTATTTTTTTCTTTTATTCATTGTTTTTATACTATTGTTTAATGGACAATATATTGATTAATTAATATATGTACATTATAATTTGTGAAGAATGGCAATAAATATTCAACTACTAAATTATATTCAAATATTCGAATTCAAATCATCTTTATTCAAATAGACTTTTGTACAAGCACTTTTAAATCGTATTTTTTTTAAATCTACTGCAGGGTTTAGAAAGTTGGTTCCTGTTGAGAAAAGTACAAGTCTATTTATTCAAATGTACTGTCTAAAACTACATGATAATTTAAAAACCCGTACATAATCGTCTAACATCGTAGATACAAAATATTCTTAGATATCTTATTATAACATTTAATGCACATTCTCATAAAAGACCTATTAACTTTTTCTAAACGATACTTCGGAACAGTACATTTTTATTTGTAAGTATCTATTGTTAAGATTATTGAGATCACTATACTCTCGCTCTCATATTATAGGGACTATGGGATTATATGGCCAGCTGGTATTTTCAGCTTGTACTGGAAGTACCAAATAATTTCTCTATACCTACCATCAATCAACTTGCCCCTCTCTTTACGAGTAGTTAAAAAACTACCATTTATAACACCATATACATCACGACTTATGGTTACGATTGTGACTGTTGATTGACATGCTTTAGTTTTTTTTTTTTTTTTTATTATTTTATTGACGATTTTAATGTATGACTGTAAAATAATTAATGTTACGTAATTAATCGTATTGTATACCCGATGTATGGGTAGGCTGTTTTTCTTTAAGACGTTAATAACATCTTACGAAAAATTAAAATGTACAGCTCACAATAAATATTTATTCTATTCTATTGTCTATTTTTTACAATTATTACAAAATTATATTTAAAATAAATTTACCATCATTCAGTATTGCAGACTACATTTTTTTATTCATTGCCTTGCCTTTGTTCCGTTAGTTCGAGTCGGCATAGTTTTTTTCTTACTGTTTCGCTGTTTCCTATTAGCCGTCATACCTGAGCATTCTCTTCTTATAAGCTATACATCTACCTTTACTCTGACAGTCTTTTTCCTTTATAACCATCCACATTCATATTCAACACCTTTAAAGCGTAATTTTCTAACTATTGCTAATCACATGACACTTGTACGGGACCAAGGTTGTTTTGCAGTTTCTTTTAAGTTTCAGAACTATATTAAATTGTTAATCGAATATCGATTTTTGAACGACGTTTTCCAATTTTTTTTATGAATATTTTTAAAGATATATGAATTTATAGATCGAGATCGATCTATCTCATTCTATACCGAATACCTACGTGTCATTTTTATTCTTTTTGTGATTTCCCTTTATTTGGAAAGTTTTGTATGTAGTTTTTTCGTCGTTAACTTAGATAACGTCGATTTTTTTGTAGGTTTCCGAATTTCAATCGATTGAAAAGATCGATATCTTTACTTAAGATAGTAAACTGTATGATAAAACGTGTTGTAGCATCATCTAGTGACGAGTAACAACAAAGTGCAAAATATTTTCTATGTCTGAATTGAGGTATAGGTATGTATCGTATAACTACTGGGATAAAAACCATTCTGTCGCCTAAATCTCTCAATCCTTTAAAGTAAATTTAGACTAAAAAAAATAAAAAAACACAGAACAAGAATTTAAATTCATCTAATTGAGAATTGAACCCACAACTTAATTTATTTAAATCACCTTGTTCATCATACACATCATTTAGATTCAGTCTAAGAATATATTGACATTTAACCACCAATACCTTCTGACATTTATAAAATAATTATATACATTTTTTCTAAACTATATATCTACTTTCTGTCTTATTTAGAGATATATTTTTTATTTTAATATATCGGGAATTTAGATTAAACCACTTTTACCACAATATTTGTAATAAATTCAGAAATAAGAATGAATTCTCCCTGTCTCTTGTACAATTTTATCCATATTTGTTTCGTTAACTGCCGATATCTCCTATTGGTGGTTAACCATAGATAAGTATGTAGTTTTCATACATTGGAGACAATTACTACAATTGTGATAGATTTTGTTTTATTAAATATGCTTTATTATTATTATTAAAAATATTAGCACAGATAATAATGTACAGAGTAAATGTTTTTATAGAAATATTCTATAATTAAAATTTGTATATTTTTAAAAAATATATGGACTACCTGATGTATTATTATAATTATTAAAAACAAATAAGTATGTAAATACATTGAGTTTCCATAAATGTCATAGACAATATTTACAATGATTTAGCATTTTGGAATTTTTTACGGTACCACAATAGCTAGTTAATTCCAAGTTTAGTCCAGTTGTTTACATTAAAAGAAGAAAAACCTTTTTTCTTATTATTAAAATTGATCCATCAATGTCTTGTAAATCCAATATATATCAAATAATAACAGTCTTTCTACATATGTATATTGCATAATTTTGCTCTACATTTATAATCCATGGTCTAATCATAAAATATTTAATAAGAGTTGGAATCTCTATCTATTATACCATTTTTCTTTAATTGATTAAGAACAAAACTTGGTTCATATTGAAGGACAAACTGAGTTATTAATGTCATAAAATATTGCTTAATAATGCAAAAAAGTAATCAGAATATCTTGCTACAAAAAAAATTTACTTATAATAGACAGTAGATGTATAGTATGTTTAGATGTCTTACTGCAAAAGCATGTCTAAAATCTGCATGTCAAAAAAAACCTATCTTATTTTTAATAAAAGGTATTCAAAGTTATAATTTTTAGATAATTTTTATATAATATTTTTTACAATATTTTAAAGACCGAGACATAAAATTACAAATAAATATTATTACACCAAATTAACATTTATTTAATTTCTTTTGATTTATATTATAAATCAATTTAATCACTTAGACAGTTTTGTAAAACAATGTTTATATAGGTAGTTTTTTTAAATTATTTTTGTGATAAGACTAATAATATGTATAACCACAAATTTTCTGAAATGTTTAGAATCCATACAATTTATATTTATCCAACTGTCATAGTGCTTAAACCCCATATATCCAATAATTCAGATATGATGCTTATTATTTTCAATCGTAATTTTTATAACTTACTGGTTAATTCAAATGCATCTTTGAAATTGTAAATAAATTAAAAATAGTTTTAAATATTTTTTTTTAATATTTAAAAAAATAATAATTGAATATAAATATAAACTACCATAATAAGACAATGCACATTATCTAAATATGGTAGCAAGTTCGTTCACAAATCATATTAAACTGTGTACATTATTTGTAGATTTCGGATGTAACAGGTGGATTGGACCCACTGATACTAAACAAATTTTTCATCAAGACTTCATTAATTATGTATAGGTAAGAAAATAGAGTAATAAATATAAGGAAATGTGCTAACTAATATTTAATAAATGAATATTTACCCGTTGAAGAGCATGATCCGTAGCCCGTAGAATTTGACGAATGGTTTGAGTAGCGATGATTTATTATAAACATGTCCTTGACAAATTGAGATAAAAATACAAACACTCATACATTGAAAACATCCCAGGTATTAACTACATTGTGCACTAAAATAAAATAACTATATTACTTATTATTAGATCGCACCAAAGAATCCGCTCCTAACCATGGATTACTACATTAATTTAGTGATGTATTTATAATAAAAAATAAATCTGAAGCAAAGTTGATAGTTAATTTGCACTGATTAAAAAATAATAAAAATCCATTTTCTCTGCTCCCTATTTCTAATACGAATTTAGAATAGAGAAATCAAATGACACTGACACAAAAAAATGTGAATTTCAAAAATTCATGATTTTCTTTCAGTACTCCAGATGAAGGTGCGTTCCAATGCTTTATTTTATTAGATACCTAGTTGGTATCACTTTCAACTGGCTATAGATAGTTTTATTATCAGTAAAACTATTAAAAACTCACAAAAAGAAAATAATAATTATGAAAATTCAAAGACACATTTAGAATTTATTTTAAATTTAAAAATGATTGTTAAATGGAAATTTTAGAATTAATTTATGCCACTAGGGGCGCTACTGTGTTTTAACGTTTAGTACGTAAGTACGTTATACAAAGTTTATGAGACATACATAATCGCAAACCTGTGCGAAAGAGACATCGTATCCTTACGCTATCTCTTTCGGGACCGCTACACAAATAATAATATGTTAATTGAATAACAGTAAATTTTATTCATTGATAATGAAATTTGAATTACCTAATCGATATTTCCATTTGACAACTTCGTTTCCTTCTTAAATAGTAATTTAGCGTATCTAAAAAAAAGTTATTCTTGATCCATGGAATTTAACACTAGGTATCATAGAGTAGATACTTAGATAATCTCATCGTTATTTGAGAGTCAGCACTATTGTTACGGTAACGAAACTGGAAAATAAATTATATTGATCCGATTAGAAATACCAACAATAAATTAAATTAATATTTACATAACATCGTTGGTCGGAGATGTAATGTAAATGAAATATCGATAATGAAAATAATTGTACAAAATTTTATTATTTTATTGAGTACATCTTTCATATATTTCATGCAAATACTTTTTGTTTGAAGTGATAACAATCCACGATTAATGGGCATTTGAAAGAATTGACAGTAGACTTAATGACAACTTAAGTTACATTTATTTACAAAGAGTTTATGGTTGTTTTGATTAAATCTTTCATATTCTTTCACATTTGATTAAATAAAAAATGGTTTATAACGAAAATTAATCAAGACTGAACATTTATGTAGATAATTTTGAATCTTTAAGAATATTTCTATAGCATGCTGCGTTTTCTGTTACATTTAAATAGAAACCACACCAGTTTAACAATTTTGTGGTTCCATCAAGGTGCCTAATCTTAAATTTGATTTAATTAAAAATATGTCCGATAAATGGGATGAATATGATAAAGATTCAAGAGTCGCATGTAAGTATGGATCAAAATGCTATCAAAAAAACCCTAATCATCATGCCACATACAAACATCCACCGCAACAAAAGCGCGGTAAAAAACAAAATAATCGTCTGCATCCCTATAAAAAAGCAAATAAACCAGAAATTCAGACTAATCCAGATAAAAACGAGAAAGAAAGCAAGAAACTAAAAGAAGCTTCTACATCTTCATCAATAAATAAAACACATGAAGATAATATTTTACCTGACAAATATGAAACCACATCTCACCTACAGATACCGGAGACTATAACCTATTATGATAAAGACACCGACCCCAGTATTCTAAAGGAATTATTTTTAGTTGAAATGCCCCCTGATTTTTTCAAATTCTATGAAGCTCTAAATGGAATTGACAATACTATTGAGAAAACATTGTCAAGTGTCAATCTGGAACTGATTGGCCCATATGATCTGTTGATGGGAAAGTTACCTAAATTGGATGATAAAGAATTATATTTAATTCACTGGAGATTCTTTTATGATCCTCCAGAATTTCAGGTATGTATTATTATTTAATATGACGTGTATATGTGTTAATATATACAACTCAATATATAAAAAGTGCCATCTAGTTTCATACTAAAATAATTATAGCATATTACTAATTTTTAACTTTACAGGCTGTTTTGAAGAAAAAAGGGAATAGTCAATATCATATTGGTTACTTCAGAGATATCCCTGATGAGAAACCAGTGTTCTTGGCAAGCAATGATAGTGCCAAGGGTTGCAGCATTAATCTAATGTCTGACAATATATTTGGGGCTGTTTAGTAAGTAGAATAATGAAATTGAAAGCAATATCTGCATCTAATAACTTTCTAAACTCATAATCTAAGAACATCAATTTTAAGCTAAATTCACTAGAAATTGAAGGGTATAGTACATTACATGAGTTGCTGATAGCATGACCATATTGCCAGCAGCATTGCCAACTTCTTTTTCTTTTAGTTTTAAATTAAGTTTATAAAGTGGTAAATAACCAAAATAGCAAAAATTTTAATGAAAATATGCTAGTTTACTATAGTAATAACAATTTTAGATTTATATTGTATTTTGATAGTTATGTCTTCAAAGGAATATAAATTATATAATTAAATAAAACATTATTTACATACAAAGTTTCCTTTCTAAAATTATCTTTTCCTTTCGAAAAATGGAACTAAGGCTGTCCTGCATGGTACAGTTAATTTTGGAATAAAAATTTTGTTATCCTACCAGAGTGTTTGGCAATGCAATAAACCCACTGTTATAAAATCTTCATTATTATGTTACCTATTTAAATATGAAATTCATATAACTTTACATTTTTCCCATAATGAACATTTTTTACTTACATAGGATGTGCTAACTCAATTTGTAAACACTGCACTTATTGATAATGTCAATAATTTATTTGTAAAACTGCAAGTGGCATACATACTGTTTACTACCTAATAAAAAGCAATTCTGCTATTAAAATATCTTAAAATTGTGATGAAAATTTAAAAAAAATTCATAAACTGAACAACTTGAAACCACATTTTAAATAAATGAAGTGTGTCCAATTTGTGATTTTATTATAAAGCATATTTTTCCAGTATGTACTTGCAAGATGAAAAGAAATCATCTCCATTTACCGCAATGGCTTGTGATAAACTTATAAGCAAGATAAAAAAAATTGCTGAAGAAAATAATTACTCTCTAGAGGAATACAATTTAAAGAAAAGATGGTCCCAGGCAGTAACCAAAACATTCCATGGAGCAGGGATTGTAGTGCCTTATAATAAGAAAACTGAACTTGGTTATAGACATTTAATAGAATCTGATGGTTGGTATTATTAAGTAATTTTATTATAATTTTTAAATTATACCTTAATCATAAAAATGTAAAAAATATTTACTTATATGCTTATGTGTACATTCACTTTTAATATAGATAGGTATATATAGGTTCTAACAAAAATATAGAAATATAGGTACAGACATTGGCTAGTGATAGTTTTATTCTGTACAGGTAATTATGCTCACATCTGTATCCCAGTGGATCACTCAAAGATACATTTTCATTGTTGATTTGATATTATTTGGATTACCATTTCAATATTATTTCTTTAAACATATTGTATATATGTCCTGTAATTTTATCTATATATTTAAACTAGCTTTTAGTTTGCTGCTTCGTATGTATGGAATTCAGAAGTAGGAAAGCAGTGAAATAGACCAAATGATAGGTAACTTTTAGATGGTGTATAAAGATAAAACAATTTTTAGGTTAAACCTGTGACCAATTTGTTATAGTAATTTTAGCCCGATGCCAGAACAAACACACAGAGAGATAAGATTTCTAAAAATTGTTTTGGCTTTTATTGGTCTTATTCAAATGCCTCATATTAATTTTTTTTAAATGTCTCCCATGTATAGATGTCATCTAGTTACAATTTTATTATATTAGTAAGATGTGTATTGCTATTAACTCTATTAATGTAAACATGTTATTTTAGCAAATATAAAAAAGATGTTTGCCAAACTTCAAGCAGCAGATTCTCAAAGTGAAAAGGATAAAATACTCTCTGAATTACAACCAGTGATAACATATGCCAATATAGCAGTAGACGAGTGTGACTTTGGCACAGGTTTAGAAATTGGAATAGCTTTATTTTGTTCGGGACTGAAGATACTTGAACAGAATGCGCTGAATAATCTGACTACAACATACACTTTACTGCAAAGGACAGCGTTCAATAAAATAGTCCAGGTACATAATGCTTTTATTTGAATACTATTAAGATCAGCCCAGACCAATGGAATGGTTTGGTGGTGAACAATAAAAAATGGCAATGGTAAATCATATAGACGTGCAGATATTTTGCAAATTGACCACATCTTCATTCTGTTATATAAGTTTCCACCATATACTAAAGTAGATACAATAGAAAATATAATTAAAGGTACTACTTTAATGATAATGAAATAATGTCTTTGCTGAAAGGTGGTTGGTCTTTATTACCCCTCGTTCTTTCGGCATTAAAGGTCACAATACCTTATTCGATATTGAGCTAATTCTATGAATACTAACATAAAACAATTTTTTTGTGTTCTTTTCTTTAATTGCCTTCAATCGCCGACAGATTATTTACTAATATTCTAAATCTAAATTATTTCATTATTTACAGGCGCATATCAAATATCGTCGCAGGGGATCGAATATGTCCGTGTTAGCCTCTAGTCCGTAGTTTAATGAAGGAGGAAATGGAAGCAAGTATATAAAAAAATAAGACGAAGGAATAACTGTTATTAACATCTGGCCTTATGCCACTGTGATATAATAGATTTTTTGTAATTTGATGCTTGTGTGTGAACTTGAACTTGATGCACCATTCCCAGCCAGGACAAGCCTGTTCCGGTAAAACCGGTACACTAGAGACGCGTAAATTTTAAGGAGTAACACACTCTAGAATGTAGGATAGGACGGTCGGCTAGCCGCAACCGCCGACACAACCGACCGACTATTCAGCTTGAAGCCAGTATAAGACATTAAGTAGAGACGGAGTTAGTCAGCCAGGATTGAGCGCAGCTTGGCTGTTGGTAGGCAGTCTTGCCTTGGACGTTGTAATGGTATTTCTAATATCAGATTGGCTCCTATGTGACTTCGGCGTGTTCCAGTATCCTATTCTGTCGATGCAATGTTTTCTGTATCGCTTTTGCCGTCCTTTTCTACCAGCTCGAATATTTTTCTTGCTTCATATTTGAGTTTATTTCGATCTCTGGCTAGTTGTTGCCTTTCAATTGATGGATTATCATAATATTTAAAATCTTGCTGGAATGAATCTCTCCATGTGAATATTGGCCGTCATCCTATTTTCAATTTTTTTTTTTTTGCTGTGACAATGCCTGCGTGCAGTAGATGCGGCGCTTCTCTTCTTACTATAAGTCCCTAGTAACATATTCTTAAAAATTTAACACGTTTAGTAATTGTCTCTCCGTCAAATATATCGCTGACTTTTTGAGCCCTTGGTGGATTTCTTGAGTTGTTGATCATGTCAGCTAGTATATATACGTTCGTATCTTCTGAGGGCTGATCTATTCGCTTTCGTAATCGCGGCCGCTTTTAGCCTATATTTCATTATTGGTTCAATTATCATTTTGTATAGCAGTCGTGTCGTTTACCATGGCATGTTTTTTTTAAAAAGGGGATTAATGCTTTTGAATTTTTGCTGGCTTGTTTACGTGTTCTGATTGTGCTTTTCGATTATGCTCTGAACATATATATATGTACCTAAATATTTGGTTTCCATTACGGGTTATAGTGGTTGCTGCCAGAGTAGTTTCTTTGTAATTGTTTGTGCGATGAACTCTAGCCTCACATTCAAAACCTTGCAACTAAATTAAGTTCTGCGTTATATGCTGTACGCAGGGTTAAACAGTATACGAATATTGAGACTGCTTGATTAGTCTATTTTAGTTACTTTCATAGTATACATTTCATATGGAATATTATTATGGGGTAAAGCAGCCGACATCCAAAGCATATTTGTATTACAAAAACGTGCTGTTCGCACAATTTATTCTATGGGAAGTCGTGAATCATTAAGAGAAAAATTTAAAGAAGCAAATATTCTCGCCGTAACTTCACAATATATATACACAAACATTATGTATATACGTAGACTGTTTCTTAACAGCGATCTGAATAATCTTAACACTAGATACAAACTTGCCGTCCCGAAGCATCGTTTAGAAAAAGTTAATAGGTCTTTTATGGGAATGGGCATTAAATGTTATAAGATACCGAAGAATATTTTGGATCTACCTTTTAATACATTTAAAACTGTTATTAAAAAACACTTATTGAACAAAATTTACACTCTAAATAATTACTTGAGTGACAAGCATGCGAAAAATTTTGTTCTGTAGTCCGATTCTCTTAAAAATAAATCATTCTATTAAGAATTGCTACAGGTAAAGTGTGCGAAATATTTTAAATAATGCCGATTTAATGTGAATTCAAATTATTGTACTGCTAATGATTGTCTCATTCCAAAAACTCATGAAAATAATAAACTCTATTTTTGCTTAATGTCATTTATTATTTATATAACAATTTAGATATCAATGTATGTGTAGTATTTATTCAAATGCCAGTCAAATCATTGCCATTATGGTTTTAGCGCTTAAAATGGAAATTTTTATATCATTTTTAAAATAATCTGATATTGTTGAGTGGCGACGTGTGAATGGATTGTTCATCGCGAAATTCTGTCAAATATGTACTCAAATAAACGGATTAATTTACATTTGCTTTTATTTATTGATTTCGTAGTGTTTACGTACAATTTCATAATATTGTCTAACTTATATTTTTAAGTTTAACTTATAATAATTTAATAAAATTAAAGAAATTCAATTTTGTTTCCATATATCAACAAAATATACCTTATAGTAAAAAAATATAGCACCTACTTGATAATTATTTACTTTAAGCAAACTTAGATAAGTTTTACATTCAACAATTATAATTTTATTTTCTCATTGCTTTCTTGATTTAATTGATTGATTTTAGAAATATGAAAGCGTAGCGGTTTTTGTATTAATTGCCGCATGCATTCTTATGTAAAATGTGAATACTATAACTATCAGATGGCAATTGTGAGTAGCTTTGACGTGGTCTAGTGTTTTGAGTAGTCATGCTCACTAAAATGTCCAGACTTGTGGCGGCGTGGTGGGCCGGGTCATTGGGCTCCCTAAAATATGGTCGAGCGCAGTGATGGCTGGCTCATCCGTCATACTCGTGAACGGGTGCTGCTTGTAGGGACTGGTCTGCTCTAATCACTATGACTGATTTCCTCTTATTAATTGTTTAACCAGTTGGTTATGTATTCAATATTTTTTCTTTTTGAGTATTTAATTGAATTAGTGCTAATTGGTGGTTTGTATTCACACACTTAAACTTAAAAATGTAAAGTAATAATAAAATTATTTAAAAGAGCAACACGCAAGTTTCTTGCTCGTTCTTCTTGTGATGAAACAGCTTTCCGAACGAGCGGTAGATTAAAAAAAAAATGTAATGACTATTCAAAAGTGCTTCAATGTAAGTTTATTTGAATAAATGATTTTCTATTCTATTCTATTCTTTAAAACTAACATTGATAAACAATCAATCTGAAGTCTTTACCTTAGACTATTTTTTGAATTTAGTTATTTGAGAACCAACTCAGGCCAAACATTGTTTAACCACTATAAAGCTACTTCTCAAGTGAATTTTTTGCTAAAGCGAAATGTCTTCACTCCTTCTGACAAGGTCATTTATCGACAAAAGAAACAAAACATTAAGGAAATACAACGTTTTATTATCTCAGAAAATGTGATGAAATAAATCGAAAATCAAAAAGAACAAAAATGTACCTATAAAAAAAAAAATGTTTTTCTCAAAATGAGTCCATTACATAAGAAGTGTCCATATTCTATAAATTTTTTAAACATAACTTATATTTGAACTGTATAACTATTTAGGTTTCTCAGCACTGCTAAGATGTAGGAAGAGTGAAATTGGACAATGGTCACTGCCATAAACGCCGCCTCTGATTACGTTGTCGCAAAGTGACGGCAAAAACCTTTGAGACACTATGAAGTAGTCCAGACGCCTAAAATAAAAATTTATATAAGTACATAAAGCAGCCATACGCGCGCCACAGAGAACTCTACTGGAAAATAATGATTAAGATTTTAAGTTGACGTGTGTGAGATTATATAGGAAATTTCCATATTTTCCACATACGTCAACTCGCATCTTAAACAACAGATGACCATTAATACCTCTTAAAATTTATGTTACATAGAGAGATGTGTGTGCATGGCTATTTCGGTTTGATGGGTGGGATATGGCAGTGAATTTACAGGGTACAGAGGAATAACACCCGAGTCCTCAGGAATGGCAACGCATGGAGGGTATCATGGGCGAAACAGTATACTCTTTTATGTCCATGGTACTGCTCATGTCTATAGGCGACGGTTACCATTTTCCATCAGGTAGATCGTCAGCTTGGTTGCCATTCTAAGTTGCATAAAAAAAAATATGTAATTTATACATCACTATATTCAGAGTTGACATTATACTCAACTAATTTACTTTTTTTTTTTTATTTGTTAGATATTTGCTGTGATGCCTATAAATTTTTGTCCATATTAATTAATTACTGAATAACACTTACCACCCAACATTTTTAGCCCTGCTATTCATCATGTACGTCCAGAATGTGTAGGCGCCTGTTTTGTCCGGATAGAGGTGACGATACGTGTCCACAAACCCGTCACCGAGCAAGTCCGTCATTCCAGTGCGCTCCTCTATTGTGAAACCGGCATTCTTTTTGTTTGTCTTGGGGTTTGCTAAATCTGTTGACAGAACACAAGAAATCAATAAAATAAAACAATGTTTAAAAAAAATTCTGCCTCCAAAAAACGTTAGGTTCTTTAATCAATAAACTGAACAAATTGTTTTTCGTTAAAAAAATCTAACTCTTATTAATAAAAACGTCAAACCTCTGAAAATATAAATAACTAAAATAGTATAATTTTATTAAACTATTTTAGTTATTGAAATATTTTGTCTTTTTTGCATTAATTTCTTAAAACACTAATTAAAATAGATTTGCAGGACATTTCAATTTTTATAAATAAGGAGGTAAGATAGTGAAGATGCGAAGGAATTTAGACCAATTCACATAATCACTTGGTAATATAGTGGTTGAGGAATTAATTCATACATAAATGTGATTATTTGGTGACTATAAAATACAACAAATTACCGATATACGTATATACCGTATGTACCTAACTACCTCTACCTATTTGGTTATTTGGTATTGCCTCCAAAAGATGATTAGGTTTTCTAATCAGCAAACCCATTAAATCGATTTTCATTGAAAAAATTAACCTTCTTATTCATAAAAAAGTACAACCTTTTGATGTAAATATTTTACTTGTTAAAGTGTTTTGTCTTTTTTGCACTAATTTCTCAATTTGTAATACAGTGATACTTTAATAATTAAAATAGGTGTGTAGGACGTTTTAATTTTTATAAATAAAGAAGACTAGAAGAATTAATATAGTGAATACACAAAAGAATTTGGACCAATTCATGTAACCACTTGTTAATTTGATGGTTGAGGAATTAATTCAAATATAAATGAGACTATGGTATTTGGTGACTATAAAATACAACAAAATATTCGATCGACCAAATTAAGTTTTAATAGTACATAGAGTTAGTTCAACTATGGATTTTATGATTTCTGCAATGATCAGATACCATCAGGTAGAAGAATAATCAACGAGCTTATTCGCCCCCCCCCCCTTCCCTTCTCATGAAATAACTAAAAACTGATATTTACCTATTTCGTTATGCGCTACATTCATGTCACCGCATATTATCACAGGTTTCTTCTTATCTAACTCATTAACATATTTGCGAAACTCCTCATTCCATTGTAGTCTTTTGGGAAGTGTGACTAGATTACGTCCAGCATTAGGGACGTAAGTACAAATCAGATAAAAGTGTTCGTATTCAGCTGTTATTATACGCCCTTCATTGTCCAACTCCTCGTTTTGTAGGCCGTATGTAACGTTCATAGCTAGTTTCGTTGTGTAGATGCCCACGCCTGCATACCCGTCTTTGTCACTGCACAGCCAATAAGCGTGGTAGCCCGGCAAGTTGGTTACTTCATTTGGTAATTTCTCCTGGGAACATTTTATTTCTTGTAGACATAAAATATCTGGTTTCTCATGCTGTATATAGTCCAGTCCACCTTTCGACAGCCAAGCCCTTATACCGTCGACGTTCCAACTGGCTATTTTGTAGTTCCATTCTTTGCCTTGTGCATTTTTTGATGAATTTGAAAAATCTAAACTGTCATAGTCTGTCGTCGCTTTATTTTTAGGCGGTGCTTTCTTCTTTGTATCCTCTGCTGTAGCTGAAAATAATACCGTAACATAATCTAAAATTCAACTAGAGCCCATCTAAAAACCGTTTAATTTGGATTTATTTATTTTATACAAATATTAAAGATTTAAATAAACGCAAAACAAAGTAACATGCTATACATTAAAAAAAAAAAATAGAGATCCCTACGAAATTTCTAATAATGTAAACCATGTAAAGTATCGAACATTTAATTATTAAAGCTAATACTAATTTTTGTTTCTTACTGTATACTTGCGAATCGGAGGCGGATTAATTAAACTGAGAACGAATTTATTCCTGCAAGTAGGGTATAATAATATAGCCAAAATAACTATGTAGTTAATTTTTGTATGGTGAATATGTATACCTACCTATATATGAATAATTTTATTTTATACAACTTAGAATGGCAAACAAGCTGACGGCCCATCTGATGGAAAGTGGTAACCGTCGCCTATAGACATGAGCAGTACCATGGACATAACAGAATATACTGTTTCGCCCATGATACCCTCTGTGAGTAATATAAAAAATAACAAATACAAAGAGGTTTCACAAAACCCACCATGCGTTGCCATTCCTGAGGACTCAGGTGTTATTCCTATGTACCCTGTAAATTCACACCATATCCCACCCTTCAAACCGAAACACAGCCATGCAAACATAACTGCTTCACGGTTGAAACACGAACGGGACAGAGGTACCCAAGCAATCAACTTTTGTACAGTCTCCCTCTGGTATGTGTATCTTTGGGATCTCCTAAGCATGCACAGCATCACAATAATATAGAAACATGTAAGAGCTGCAGATTGCTTTTCTGTTAAAAGTTTACAAAAACAAAATCAAACCACAATTGTCATACTACTGCTCTAACAAAAAAAAAAAAAGAAACCAAATCTCCCATTTTATTAGTTGTGTTAGTGAAAACGTTTACAAATGTAATTGTCATTTTAAAACTTTAAAAATGCCGATTACTCGAGCGTAATCAGCAACAGTGCGAAGCAAACTTCGTTTAGCGTATATCAATTTAACTATGTTAACAAGTATAGTTATGCAAACTATCTGAGTTAAATGAATGAATAACCCTTTATTATTGCTCTCAAAGAATGAGACAACTTACATAATGTTATACATACACAAATAAACACACACACAGTGGGTTCACATTGAAAACGAAAGACAAACATCTTTTTGGGCGGGAACTTCTCTTTACCACTGCGCAAAGAGTGGTGGTATGGTTAACTACTATTATAGGGTTACCTAGCTTGCTCGCTTCAATTAGGTACATAGATACCATCGATCGCTTTGAAATAAATAAGAAAATTAATAAAAAAAACCTCAATAGGCACATACCTATATATATTTTTAGATAGTCGTAACAAATTGAATATTTAAAATAGAAGTAATGAATACAAAATGCTTATATTTTACACAATGGTGGCTGTACGTAATCTACGCTTTGGTTAAATTAACGAATTATAAATAGTAAACATGATAATAAGTGAGTCATGTTAAAATAAAAGATATGAAAAAGCCATGTAGGTAACATACACTAATTTACCTAATATAAAAGCAGAGATAGATTACAAAGAATACTATTACCAATAGCTAAACGAAGATTAAAATAATGAAGTTACATTTGAAAATCGACCTTGAATGTATTGGAAAAAATAAATTTTGTTATCATTCTAAAGATTTGTGTGTACTAATTTTAGTTTGAACAAGAAACTGTGATGACACAACCAAGAATTATTTAAGTATAATGAACTGTGTAGAGAGTTCTTTTCAAATGATTTCAAAAACCTTTAGAAAAAAGATCCTCAGTTCGGTTGAATTTTTTTTTATAAATAATATTAAATAAATTCTTTAATAAAGGCAACCAGGGCCCACAAAATATGTTTGTTACTTATTAACGGAGTTAAGAGATTGTAAACCGATTTGAAAAACTGTTTTTACCTGAAAGAACTTACAAATAGGCTCCATCAAAATCGGTTTAATTTTTAATCTCTAATTTTACATTTCGATTATACGATATTAATAAAGAGCACTGCAAAAACTTACCTCTTTTGAATTAAAGACACTCGCGTCGAAAGCTTACCTTCCAATATTTTCTTCCGTAAACGGGAACCATTCATTATTTATTATAGCTATATCATCAAAACGGTAATAAACAATTTTATATTACTCAATATTTGATCTCGGTGAATACTGAATTTTTGCAGAGCTCTGTATATTAGTGTGATAAATCTAGGTTAAATATAATCTTAAATGAGTATTTATACCTATACTGTATATTTCATGCATGGAACATTGTATGTGTGAATTTTATATTAATATTAGCTGATGACCGCAACTGTATCTATATAAATTTAGAGGGTAAATGTTATGGAATATACCAGAAAATGCCTTGATGTTAATTTAGCTTTAAATATATTATAGCAAGCATAGGCAATAAAAATTGAATGTATATGTTTAAATTACGATAAACTACTGGTCTTTTAAAATGCAGGAAAAAAAAATTTATAAATGACATAAATCGATAATATGTATTAATAATTTTATAGTAATCTTATAATAAAGTAATTTTTTTTTATTTATTTTAGTAGGTATATTTTAAAGTCAAACATTAAAATATAGACGACCATAATCTTTATCATCAAAACGGTCATTTTCGATTGTGCATCTATCTGTCTATCAGTTTGTTCTCAATTTCATCGCGAACAGTTCTGTACAATGCAGTTTTAACAGAATCTTAATAATAAAATTGCAACTAGAGGATGGGAAATATTTAAGAAATATGATGGATCTTAATAAGATCCATCTTTGCTAAAACAATAACTTTTAGAAATTTTGTCTGTCAGTATATTTGTTCCGGTATCACGCAAAAACTATTGCATCAAATTGAATGTGGTTTTCTTAATTGTATTCCAGAAGGTCTAACTTGAAAACTGGTATACTATATCTTGATATGCCATCTATGGTTTATTTCATTTTCAAAAGCTAGTAAAGTATGTTTCCATTTAACTCAGTGTGAATATAGCCAAGTTAGTTTAAGTTAGTATTGTAATATTGCAAGCATATTATTCAACTATTTATGAAATACCATTGCATCATTTTTAAGTTTTAACATAAGAAAAGATGGAATTTTTTTTTAAATACATTACCTGTTGTAGTTTTGATGTATTTATCAATACTAATATCTATCTATAATCTAAATAAAAATTATATAATGCTGATCGATTTAAAAATTTAACATCATAAATAAAAGTTATTATTTTCAAGATTTATTTATTAAATAATTAATAAGAAACACTGTATCATAATAAAAATGTGAAACAATTATTGTCAACGACATACACAACAGAACTTATATAATTACACATATTTACCCCTCTTCTTCTTCTTTGGTTCGCCTGTATCTTGGGGTTCCTCTTCAGCAGGGGCTGCTGTTTCAGCTACTTTGTTCTTTGTCGATCGCTTTGCTTTAACAGTTTTAGCTTTCCCATCTGCATTATCTTCTTCTGTGGTTTCTTTTACATCACCTTGAAATACGAAATAAACATTTTTAATATACAGTAATCATGTGACAACTTTATCAATAGGAAGTACATTATTCTGCATAAATTAGGTTACAGGGTTAGGACGTTTCTAAAAAAATAAGACAGACTGATAATGCAGAGTACTAAAGACTCCATAACAAATTATAATAATATTACAAACTTATGCAATAATTTAAATAATTATCCTATGAAATTTTTAAATGCACCTTTACCTTTGTTTTCACTCTTTTCTTTTACCTCTTCTTTAACCTGTGCTTTCTTTCCTAGACCTTTCCTACCTTTAGTTTCCTTTTTTTTAATTTCTTCTACTGGTTTTCCTTCCTGAGATTCATCTTTCTCACTATCAGGAGTATTTTCTTTAACAGCTGCTGCTTTAACGCCTTTCTTTTTATCTTTAGTTGGCAAATCAGACTTAGCTTCCTCTTCAACTGTTTCATTGCTTTCCTCTGGTTTGGATTTCTCATCAAGCTTTGGTTGAGGTTTTCGGCCTCTCTTTTTAGCTACTGGTTTTTCTTCTATTTCTCCTTCTTCTATTGCTTCACTGGTAGCTTTTTCTTGTTTAGTATTTTTTCGACTTTTCACAGTCTCTTTTGGCTTGATATCAGCATTTTTTTCTACTGCCTGTTCTTTCTTAGTTGGTCTCTTTTTACCTTTAGCAGTGGGTATTTCGTCAGTACCTCCATTAGCTTCGCCATTTGTGTCACCATTTTGATCAGATACAGATTCATTTTCAACAATATCATTGGACACAGTTTTCTCTTCAGAAGTTTCAACTTCAACACCCTTTTTACCTTTTTTAGCAGGTTGTGCAGTTTCTTCAATTATATTATTAATTTGTTCTTGTTCACTTGAATCATTAGCAGCTTTCCTTTTGCCACGTTTGGTTGTCTTTTCGATAACTGGTGCAGACTTTCCATTCATGTCAACATCATCTTTTAGATTAGTTGTAGGTCCCTCAATATTTTTTCCTTTTGTTTTGACCTCTGTTTTCTACAACAAATAATAAAAAAAATTAAATGCATGCTATGAGTAACATAATACTATCAAGAATGGCATTTCATTACCCTATTTTATTCATTGATTAGTTTTTAGCTAAATAATAATAAATTAATTTATTATTATTTAGTTAAAAATTGTAAAAGTTCCAATCTTTAAAAGAATCTCATAATATTCACAAAGTATTTACTTAGATATACAATTAAAATCAAACAGATGTAACTTATGAGTGAGTGTCAATGATTTATTTTATTATAATGTTATTGGTGTGTACCATAAATTATTATTAATATGATTCTTAATATAATGTAGTTATAGCTATGTAATAATTAGGTGGTTTGAATAATTCATACTCACTTAGGTATGTATATGAAGAATAAAAAACTAAAGAAAGCAGAGTGCTCAATGACATTTTAGGGAATTTATAATAATCAATATTATCCAAAGAGGTAATATAATAAAAAAAAACTATTATATATATATATATATATATATATATATATATTGTCTGTAGTGGTAAACCTTTTACATTTAATTTAATAATTCAACATTTCATATGTACCAAAATAGTAGCAAAATTATAGGTTTGTATCTAGTAAATTACAATAGAAAAAAAAAAATACATCTGTGATATTTGTGTTGTGAACAAACACTAAATGGTTACTTTATTAACTACTAATTCATGTATGAATTTTAATAGAAATTGATTAAAATCGATTAATTTATATTCTAAATTAATCCATATCTAAATTTAGCATCTTAGATTAAAGAGTGGGAGGGTGGAGTAGGTGCTATCTGTGATTCCAAAATGCCAGTTATACTGAATGTCTTAGTTTACAAAACAATCATTAAACTAGTACTTAGATATAATAGCTAGAAGTCTTTTGTCCTATCCTTTTATATTTATATAACTGATATTAAATACTATGGATGAATGTGTACAGTAATACAAATAGATTTCATCTATTGTGAACACATTCACAATGGTCTCAATATTAATATATAAAGTATCTGGATAAAATGTAAAAAAACAGTGACCTAGCCTCTTCATATGGAATAAAGCTTTATGTTGACCATTAATGACAAAACTAAAATAGATGACATTAGATCTCATACATGACTTAAGAAATATCAGCTAAATATTGTTATTGGAAACTTGTGAATCAATGCCTTATCTGAGGTAGATACACAAGATTGGTAAAATTGAAGGAAAACCAGGAAAACTGACCCTAGGTATAACCAGATAATAAGAAATCACTATCTGAAGATGATGATGTAAGATAATGTAACATTACATTATAAAAAAACTGCAATTTAAAAACTATGCAATAGAGGGGGGGGGAGGATTGCTAGTAAAGCGGACTACCATTCCCATTGCTAGCAATATACCCTTTCAGGTCAACCTCCACATGCTCCCCCCTGGAAACCATCATGCTGAACTTTAGGTATATAAATCATGATGAACTAACTGACCTGCCTTTTCATTCAAACTGTGTTAAAAAACTAAATGTATTTAAAATTGGTGACAAATATAGCTGCATGTATTATGTATAAACATTAACAATATTTTCTGACGAGGTAAAATTATGTGAAGAAACGTACTTCTAATATAAACTCGAGGCGGGAAAACACGATGCGTCTCGATAGACAAGCAGTTGTAAGATGTTAATTACGAATAAACATATGATTGCAATCAAAATACATACAATAATAAGCAGTGCACAAAGTAGACAAAATGCTTTTTGTTGTATGAGAGGTAGAAAACGTGTTTCTGTGAAACACGCGGCTTTCAGTAAAGGCTCGCTAGCATAATCATATTTATAATATCATAATAGGAGGCAATAAAAACATGTTCGATTTTGCGTTAAGAATATTACAGTAAAAGTACAGAAATGGCATTAATGAAAGGACTCGAACAAGATAATAAAATACTTGTCGCTAAACCAGTTATAAACCAGCATATTAAAGAGCAAATTAAAGAACATTATCGACATTACAAGTTACCTTTGTTTTGGCAGTTCTTGGAGCCATTTCCAGTTATTACGCTTTTAATAATAGTCTTACTAATTAGTAATTATACGGAAAAACTTGCACCGGGCAAATTTATTTGCGTTGTTCAATGATGAATGGATAGCGAAAATTCCCGGCAAAATGACAGAAACAAAACATGAAATAGTGATAAGTGGAGTGACCGCACAGAGAAAATATTCTGTCAATTTCCGTCCACAGATTACGTTTATACTAAGTCTATGCTAAAATTGAGATTGAGCTTAATAAATTTTGATTATGAGGTACTAGAGTTATCTTTCAATTTGTTATTTTAATTCGATAATATTGCGATATTAAATAAATTTTATTTTAATCCAGTAGAAAATTAGTTCAAATTGATCCTTACTACAAAGATTTCGCTGTAATATCAAATTCTATTACAGCGAAATCTTTACTTTCATTTTTACAATTAACTATCACTAGCTAATTGTAAAATGAAAGTATCTACGTTTGTTACATGATTGTTTTCTAATCCCAGCAACAACAAATTGTTCTGATACCCAAACATTGGGGGGGGGGGGGGGTAAGGGATTGTTAGTAATAGGATTTAAGAGTCCCATTGTTAGCAATATAGATATAGGATCCTATCAGATCGGCCTCCATGTGGTTTTCCCTAGAAACCATCGTGACTAATTCTAGTGGAATTCGTCACGATGGGCTAACCAATAATTCAAACGAGGTCACCATTCCATTGTGTTATATTTATCAAATGGATAATTGATATAAAAAAAATAACGAATTCTTTGTCATTTTTATATAATTACTATTATGTTGTGAACTCCATCCATACTAAATCTACGATTCTTCTGGAATATTCTCTTTCAAAGATTGCTCTTTTAATTTTGTTTAAATTTAAATGTAACCCTTGGTTTTGCGATCATGTCTCATTATAATAACTAAGGTTTTCATACAAATCCCAGAAGGAGTAATTAGAACTGCATTTTCTACATAAAGCAGGCATCGTTATCGCCATATCAGCCTTCAACTGTCCACTGCTGAATATAAGCCTTCCCCTAAGGGGGAAAGGCTTGCCAGTAGTTGCCAAGCTTGGCAAGCGGATTGACAACTGCAGTTAGGCTTTGGAGATATTTTAAGAGGGACTCTGCTGTCCATTCCTTGCCTTCCCTTAGTCACCTCTTACGATACTCACGGGAAAGTAAGTGGTGGCCTATTCTATGCCGGGACTACACGGGAATAACAGTAAGCAACAAGAACTGTATTTGTTCTTCCCGCTTATGTTCCTAGTCATCCTGGATCCAGTATAAATAGGGAATAGGAATATGCACGTTTTCTAATAATCAAGTATTGACTACTTTTAATTTTGTTTTTGTATTTAATAGTATTGTTTACACAATCGAAGATACTTAAAATGCATAAAAAAAAGCAATATTTAACAAAATGAAGAAATTAAGGTGCGAAGATCGATTTCGTGCCTATTCGTTCCGTTTGAAACTTAATCTATGATGCTATGATATGGACAAAGATTGTTCGTAGAATATGTGTTTGACATTGACACTGACAGCAAATTAAGTTTTCGGTAGTCAATGTCCTTGCGAAGCTAATCTGCTTTGTGAAGTTGATGATGTATGTTTTATAAGTTATTGCAACGTGTTTTCATGCCGAGCGAAAAATCAAATTGTTGCATTGCCCTTTGACAGAAAATGGTATGATTAATTTATTTATTTACCATTGTTAATTAAATTATTAATTTATAATCTATATAAATCAATTTCCATTTTACGTACGTCTTTTGTAATTATTAATTTGGTTTTGTAACAGCCCTTGATAGTAGTGCCTAAGAATAATAATTAATTGCTATTTTTAAATTAGTAGAGAAAATTGCAGATATAGTGCTGTTTGCGGATGATACTTCGTTAGTGTTTAAAATTGGACGTCAAAGTAATCAATTAGACGATGTAAATTGTGCTATGTCTGCAATATTAAATTGGTTTACATGTAATAACCTATTATTAAATTCCAGCAAAACAAAGTGTATAAAATTTACACTTCCTAATGTAAGACTAATAAATACACAGTTATTGCTTAATGACGAAATAGTAAATTTTGTTAATGATACAGTTTTTTTAGGTATAACAGTGGACTCGAAATTACAATGGGGGCCCCATATTTCAAAATTGGCCAGTAGACTCAGTTCTGCTGCATATGCAATTAGAAGAATTAGGCAATTAACAGACGTGGCGACGGCTAAACTTGTATATTTTAGTTATTTCCATAGCATAATGTCTTATGGCATACTGCTGTGGGGTAAAGCAGCCGATATAAATACTATATTTGTTTTACAAAAGAGAGCCATACGTTCTATTTATGGTATGGGTTCAAGAGAGTCATTACGTCAGTGCTTTAAAGACTCAAATATCCTCACAGTTACTTCACAATACATTTATGAAAATATTATGTATACACGGAAGAACTTAGCGAGTTTTAAAAAACTCAAAGACTGTACAAGTAGAAACTTACGCAATATAAATAAGCTTATTTTACCTAAATGCCGTCTGCACAAAATCAGTAATTCATTCTATGGTAATTGCATAAGATTTTATAATAAACTGCCGGAATCTGCATTAAATCTGACAGAGAGGCAATTCAAATCTTATATTAAACAATTTTTATGTAAGAAAGCCTATTACAGGATAGACGAATTCATAGATGACAACATATCAAGTAAATAATTAGTTTATTAGCATACAACGTTATAATTTTATTTTCTCATTGCTTTCTTGATTTAATTGATTAATTTTAGAAATATGAAAGCGTAGCGGTTTTTTGTATTAATTGCCGCATGCATTCTTATGTAAAATGTGAATACTATAACTATCAGATGGCAATTGTGAGTAGCTTTGACGTGGTCTAGTGTTTTGAGTAGTCATGCTCACTAAAATGTCCAGACTTGTGGCGGCGTGGTGGGCCGGGTCATTGGGCTCCCTAAAATATGGTCGAGCGCAGTGATGGCTGGCTCATCCGTCATACTCGTGAACGGGTGCTGCTTGTAGGGACTGGTCTGCTCTAATCACTATGACTGATTTCCTCTTATTAATTGTTTAACCAGTTGGTTATGTATTCAATTTTTTTTTCTTTTTGAGTATTTAATTGAATTAGTGCTAATTGGTGGTTTGTATTCACACAATTAAACTTAAAAATGTAAAATAATAATAAAATTATTTAAAAGAGCATCACGCAAGTTTCTTGCTCGTTCTTCTTGTGATGAGACAGCTTTCCGAACGAGCGGTAAATTAAAAAAAATGTAATGACTTTTCAAAAGTGCTTCAATGTAAGTTTATTTGAATAAATGATTTCTATTCTATTCTATTCTATTCTAATCATATTAAGATAATAATTAAAATCCTTTTTTGTAGTGTTATTAATTACATTTTTACTTGATTGAATATAATAATAAGATATGATGTATATTAATATGTTACTGTTTTTGGTTAGCCAATTATATTTTAAATATGTTACTTTATACAAATCGTAAAAAAAAATCACTATCGATCACTATATGGCTGATCACGTCTAATGATTGTAGGTATACAGATGGGTCATTTGTATGAAAAGAAAAAATGCAAAAGCTGATTCTAAGTACTTACCATATCAATATGTTATTCCTATAATTAAAACATATTCAGCGTTAATTTAAAGGTTATTCAATTATTGGTCTGAAGAATGTATAGATTTTAGAAGTGAAATGTTTTAGCTGTCATTATTATGGTTTCTTAATTATGTTGTCTTATAAATTATTCAAAATCTTTTTGATTATTACAGAGATTTTGGATAGTTTATATTAAATTAGTAAAGTATTAGGAAAAAAGTAATAATTACTAAAAACCTTAATTTTTTGTGAAATTAATCAATCTCTTTTAATTATGGACCTATTAACAATATAAATATAGATAATAAATTATTGTTATGTGGTTATTATGGAAGAATTATCAATATCAAGAGATTTATCGAGTACCAATTAAAGAAGATGTTGGTAGGGGCCACCCTAGATGGATGTATATCAAAGAAATAGGTGATGTTCTAAAGCTAAGAGTGATTAAGTGCTACAAAAATACACACTTTAGTGAGCATATAATAAAAAGGCCAAATTAAAAGTAATCATAACCATGTATGAAATTATTGATGAATATGAAGCAAGTGAAAGAGGTCTGTTTGAATCAAAACATTTAGTGTTCTGTCATTTCATTTGCCTACCCCAATGGTCCCTTATGTTGCGGTAGGCAGATATCTATTCCTCCTGTCTAGAGAGACAAATGTGAGAGATATTTATGTATGTTATATAATTATTTGACTACTCCGCATTTTTTGCAAATTCAATCTCCCCATGTCTAAATAATCAACTAAATCACATGTTATAATGATAATATGTTAATTCTAGGCCGCTCTAGACAGAAAAGGTACTTTTAAAGTCGAGTATCTCCAAGAGATAGAAAAGAAAGTCCAGCAGAAATGGGATCAAGAGAAAATATTTGAAATGGAAGCACCATCTGATGGGAAAACCCATGAAAAATTCATGTGCACTTTCCCATACCCCTATATGAATGGACGTTTACATCTAGGGCACACATTTTCACTCTCTAAATGTGAAGTAAGAAAGCTATTTTATTTTATTCTTATTAAGAAATAGTATTGAAAAAAAAATGTAACTTCATCCTATTTGAGGGTTAAAAGTTAACTGTAAAAAAGTACCCTTTATAGTTTCCATGACTCTGTGGTCCCAGCATAGAATAGGCACCCCTTCCTTTCCCTTAGGTGTCGTAAGAGGCGATTAAGGGATGGCGAGGAATGGGCAGCAGTATCCCTCTTAAAATATCTCTAAAGGCCTGACTGCGGTTGCCAATTCGCCTGCCAAGCTTGGTAACTACTGGCAAAATTCCCCGAGGGGGAGGTTTTAATACTTGGTTTACTTTTATGTATTTAAATAGCAATAATTTATGTCTAAGGCAAGTAAATGAAATTAATATGGAGGCAGAATACCTCAAGCTTTAAGAATAACAACACATGAAGGATACCATGGGTGTCACAATTCTTTTTCTATTATAATATACTATGTCTATAGATGATAGTTACAACTTTTCATCAGATAGACTGCCAGTTTGTCATTCTAATAATAAAAATCAAAACCACAAAATGTTTTTTATTTATTTACACACTGGCTTTTATCTGTGTATTCCTCTTATAGTATGTGTATATCACCAATGATTGGTTATACCAGTGTTTCCCAACCTTTTTTGTGCCATGCCCCACTTGAACGTTTCTAAAAATTTTATGCCCCCATATATAATTTTTCCCAACAAAGTTTACTTGATGACTCTAATCAACCAGTTGATATTTTTGTAACGTTAAACGAAATTTACAGTATTTTTTTTGTTTAATTTGGCACCAATATCTACTTGTAACATTGCATTTAAATGGCTCGAAGCAAGAGGGTTAAAATCGCTTTGAGTCCATTTTTTAATTGCCCCCCTGTGGGGCGTGGGACCCACGTTGGGAAACATTGGGTTAGACCATTAAAGTGCAAAGAGAAAATAAATAAATTCACTTTCACATTTATGATATTAGTAAGGTTATGCTCATTATGTAATTATTTAATTTACAAATATTCAATTAGAGGATACAACTGTCATTAATATATGAATTTCAGTTTGCATCAAGATATCACAGGTTAAAAGGAAAAATGGTGCTTTTCCCATTTGGCTTCCACTGTACTGGAATGCCTATTAAAGCTTGTGCTGATAAATTAAAGAGGGAAATGTCTGTGTATGGGTACCCTCCAGTCTTTCCTGATGAAGAGGAAGTGTCTATACAAGAGGAAGGAGACATTGTTCCAAAAGATAAGAGTAAAGGAAAAAAGAGCAAAGCAGTAGCTAAAACGGGTACAGCAAAATTTCAATGGCAGATTATGAGAAGTCTAGGAATCCCTGAAGATGAAATCAAAGAATTTGCCAATGAGTCTTACTGGCTGGAGTATTTTCCGCCTCTGGCTGTTGCAGACCTTAAAAGGATGGGTATTCATGTGAGTTATTTGATAAAAATCCTGCTTTATCCTTTATATAATCTGTGATTATCCATCAAAATATTCAATTCGAAGATTAGCAACAGTTTTTCCTATTTTCTGATATTTTCCGCTACTGTAATGGAGTTTGCCAACAAATGTTATTTGCTTAAAAAAGACCAAGGTCAAAAGCACTTGATGCCAATGAATTTGTACAAATATATCAATTAATATGAAAGAAAGGTCTGATTTGAGAGTATTTAATTTCTGCCTACTCCATTCTCACACATATGTGTTTGAGATCTTGAAATTGTATTTATCTTTTTAATGGATGTTTTACAGGTTGACTGGCGTCGAAAATTTATCACTACAGACGCAAACCCATTTTACGACTCATTTATTAGATGGCAATTCAATCATTTAAAAGATCGTAAGAAAATTATGTATGGTAAACGATACACTATATTTTCACCTTTAGATAAACAACCTTGTATGGATCATGACAGAAGTTCTGGAGAAGGTGCTGGACCACAAGAATATACCTTAATTAAAATGGAAGTTTTAGAACCTTATCCATCTATTTTAGAGTAAGTTTCTCAATATTATTCTGTGTTATTTAGACACTCATACAATTAAAATTGAATACTGTTATTATTATTGCATTTTAGGTCTTTCAAAGGCAAGAAAGTTAGCTTTGTTGCAGCAACACTGAGACCGGAAACAATGTATGGCCAAACCAACTGTTGGATACATCCTGATATTAAATACATAGTCTTTGAAACAGTGAAAGATGGTATATTTATAAGTACAAAACGTGCTGCCAGGAACATGGCTTATCAAGACTTCACAGAAAGGGATGGTGAATTTAAGATTCTGCAGGAAGTTGTAGGACAAAACTTACTGGGAGTGGCTTTAAAATCTCCCTTTACATGTTATCCCAAGATCTATGCATTGCCCATGTTGACTATAAAAGAAGACAAAGGTACCGGTATTGTCACAAGTGTGCCTTCCGATTCTCCTGATGACTATGCAGCATTAGTTGATTTACAAAAGAAACCAGCTTTTCGGGAGAAGTATGGTATCACAGAGGAAATGATAATGCCTTTCAAACCTGTTCCTATATTGGAAATTCCAGAATTTGGTAATCTATCTGCTGTGTATGTGTATGACAAACTTAAGATTCAGAGTCAAAATGACAGGGAAAAGCTAACTCAAGCCAAAGAGATGGTGTACTTGAAAGGTTTTTATGACGGTGTTTTGTTAGTTGGTGAATACAAAGGAAGTAAAATTCAAGATGTAAAGAAAAATTTACAAAATAAATTGATACAAGAGAAAAGTGCTGTTGTTTATTACGAACCTGAAAAAACTATAATATCGAGGTCTGGTGACGAATGTGTAGTAGCTCTTTGTAACCAGTGGTACCTGGACTATGGCAATGAAGAGTGGAAGAGTCAAGCCGAAAAGGCTTTAGCAGCAATGGATACATACCATGATGAGGTTAGAAAGAATTTCCAGGCCACCCTAAAGTGGCTACATGAGTATGCATGCTCAAGAACTTATGGACTTGGTATGTAATTAAAAAAAATATCAATATAATTATTAACTCAAAAAAGTAGCATATGCTACTTTTAAGTGAAACCCTAAATTTCAAGCATAACTTAGTTATTAATATTTCAATTGCTGTCATTTCTTACTTTATATGGTATAATGTAATAAATAATAATAATATATTGTATGACTAAGGAAAGGAAATATAATGTAGAATATATATATAAATTTATTATATTGTTAAAAATTTGCACGCCGACATAGAGGCAGAATGTACACGGGAAATATAAACCTCTATCATCTAAAATTACCTGCATTCTAGCAAAATAAATTCATTTCATTTCAATATTTTCAGGAACCAAATTACCTTGGGATACTCAGTGGGTGATAGAATCTCTGTCTGATTCAACTATCTACAATGCATACTATACAATTGCTCATTTTCTCCAAGGCGATACATTCAGAGGTAACAAAGAAAACGCTCTTAAAATCAAGCCTGAAGAGATGACTAGTGAAGTTTGGGACTACATATTTTTCAAAGATGCACCATTCCCAAAGAAAACAAAAATTGCAAAGGCATCCTTAGATCTTATGAAAAGATCGTTCCAATTTTGGTAAGTAATATAATAAAAAAAAAAAAACTAAACGTGAAAAATTTTATTCCTTATAAAATATACTTAATATTTTCAATTAAGTATTAATTTTTATTATTGTAATATTTTTCAGGTATCCAGTAGATCTGCGAGTGTCAGGTAAAGATCTTATTCAGAACCATTTGACGTTTTACATTTACAACCACTGTGCGATATGGCCGAACGAGCAAGATAAATGGCCAAAAGGCATCAGGGCTAACGGCCATCTTATGTTGAATTCGGCCAAAATGTCGAAATCCGAGGGCAATTTTTTGACACTGACTGAATCAATAGAGAAATTCAGCGCAGACGGTATGCGACTGACGCTGGCCGACGCTGGCGACTCTGTAGAAGATGCGAACTTTGTCGAGAGCACGGCTGATGCAGCTATACTAAGGCTGTACACGTTTATTGAGTGGGTCAAGGAGATTGTCGCCACTAAGGCTACCTTAAGAACAGGTGAGAATAAATAATAATATATCAATTTACTAAATTTAAAAATGTTCAATAAATAATATCTTATAAGTTGAAACAAATAAATCAAATATACGAAAATTAAGAACCTTATTTGAAGTCTATAAAAAAACTGTTGTCCACAATTATAGCTCTATTTGTTATGTTTCAACGATTGAATCAGAATTGAATTTAATCATTTGTATAAAAAATGTATAATAATGTAAAAAGATGGATGGATATCAATTGTCAATAGTGGTAATATTTGATTCTCCGATAGGCTGTGCAACACACAAGCAACTCCTTTCGTGTTGTGCAGGTGTGCATGAGCGACGGCAGTTGCTTTCCATCTGCGGACCGTTTGTTCGTTTGTCTCCCTAACAATAAAAAATAATCCTAAATACGTCCAATAAAATACTTTTTTACAATATAGGCAAACAAAATTTCCACGACAAGGTATTCGTAAGCGAGATGAATACAAAAGTAGCGCAGACCGATGATAATTACAACAGAATGCTGTTCAAAGAAGCTCTGAAGACTGGTTTCTTTGAGTTGCAAGCAGCTAGAGATAAATACAGAGAGCTGTGTTCCGAGGCTGGAATGCACGCGGAACTTGTGACGAGGTACATAGAGACACAGGCCAAACTGATGTCGCCTATCTGTCCTCACGTCGCGGAACACGTTTGGGAATTGCTCGGCAACGTAAGTTTTTATTTGTTTAAATGTACTAATATTTTAAAGAGGGAAGATTTGACTATTTGTTTGTAGTAGATAAATGTAAAAAACAACCGATTTAAAATCTTTTTTGCTTATAAAAACTTTCGTTATTAGAGAATAACATAGGCTATATATTATTTTTTAAAATTCTATCTACCCATGCGAAACCGGGGTGGATTACTAGTCATTTAATGAATTAGTAAATTATCAAAGTCCAAAACTGAAATGCAAACAAACGGTTAGATTTTCTTAAATTAAATTTAAATAAATACTTGATAAAAATCAGTCTAGATTGTAATCAAGTTATCAAAATATAATACTTTCACACAAAAGCAATATGTGCGTTTTTTTTTTATGGGTGTAAATGGTATGGTAACCCCGCCTGCGCTAACGGGATACGCTGGCGGAGCACCAGTGAAGGGTGATAGATGAGAATGAAAACAGCCCATCATGATGAATTCATCAGGAATTAACCATGATAGTTTCCAGGGAGAACCGCGAGGAGGTCGACCTGGTTGGGTATATTGCTAGCAATAGGATTCTCAGTCTCCATTACTAACAATTCCTTTCCCCCCAATATGTGCGGTTAATTGCGTGTTAAGTTTATTCAATTTACATTTATGCTGTAATTTATTTACTGTCGTGTAGTTTTATTTCATTCACATTCATCTTCCACACATCTATAAACTTTCTATCATTTTAACCTACTCTACTCTACCTTTATTGCCATGATGATAAGCTAGGTAACTCGAGTGTTACGCCCATCATAATTATAACAGTTGGAATGTCACAGAACATTACCTAAGATACGTGCATATATGTGCATCAAAACCTATTTTTAGAAAAGAAGCATTCTTCACGAGAGGTGGCCAGTAGCGGGCGACGTGGATGAGGTGGCGGTCAAAGCTAGCAACTACCTGATGGACGCGGCACATTCTTTCCGAATTTATCTGAAGAATCATTGCGCTGTCAAGAAGCCTAAGAAGGGAGAAACTCCCAAACCAGAGAGAAAGCCCAACAAAGCCACCATTTGGGTTGCCAAGGAATATCCGAAATGGCAACACATTATTCTGACTACTCTCAAACAACTGAATGGTGTAAGTAGAATTACTTATATTTTTTAGTTTATATAATTATCATTATTATTATATCAGCCTTTAACTGTCCACTGCTAAACATAAGCCTCCTCTTTGGAGAGTTTTGCCAGTAGTTGCCACGCTTGGCAGATCAATTGGCAACCGCAGTATTTTTTATTGGATGAAAATGGAATGGTAACCCCGCCTGCGCTAACGGGATACGCTGGCACCAGTGAATGGTGAACGATGTGGATGAGAACAGGCCAGTTAGTCATCTGGAATAAATCATGATAGTTTCCAGGAGGAACCGCGAAGAGGTCGACCTGGTTGGGTATATTGCTAGCAATGGGATTCTTAGTCCCCATTACTAACAATCCCTTTCCCCCAAACCACAGTTAGGCTTTGTAGATTTTTAAACAGGGACGCTACTGCCTATCCCACACCCTCCCTTAGTCCCTCTTACGACACCACAGGCAGTCGGTCGTAAAACGAAAAGTAACGAAACATTACGTCGACTCTAAATAATTGGGATAAGGGGAGAAAGATGATGATGATGACATCTCATATCATTTAAGTAAACCACTTTGATGACAAAATTAAGGGCGTATAATGGATAAATCCAATCTAATTAAATTAAATGTTTAATACAACAAATATAGTACAAGACCCACGCGCTACTTATTAGCAGGGCGTCCTCATAAAACTGTGGCGTTTGAGGGAAGTTTCCGCTACCAAGCTACGAAATGCTGGAATAATATACCACCCCCAATAAGATTGTCTAATAGTAAACACATTTTAAAAAAAAAACTTAAAATCTTTTTAATTAATAAACAAAAAATTGGAATACCCAATAGGTACGTAGCCGAAATATTTATTGCCTGAATATCTGAATGTGACAGAAAGTGATCTCTGACTACCCCTCATCTAATGGTATCTGTTATTTATTTATTTATGTAGAATATAATGTCAAGTGGAGGCAAATATAATGGACACATACAATGCAGTTTATTTATGTGTATATATATATATAAATATTGTAAATTTTTAATGAAAAGTTTCGCGACTGACTCTTGGCCACAGCAGAATATCAGTGTTTTGCTCTTTTAAGGGCAAAGCAATAAACTGAGCTGTGACCATTTTGTGTTACTATGGCACACGCATGAAGGAATGTTAACAAAGGAGATTGTTAGATTATGTATTTTGTTTTTGTATTTTTGTTTTTTTATTTGTGCTTTTTTTATTTTTATTCTTTTGTCTCTTTTGCTGTGTATTACATGTATGTTTTTTTTTATTGTAATTTGTGTGCTGTAAGTAATGCAAATAAATTGTCTATCTATCTATCTATCTATCTAATAATAAAATGGCACAATTAAATAAACTAATAATTATGCATTTACATAAATACAAACTTTAACATAATACGAGAAGTTATTCGATAATATTATTATGTGTACATTATATATACAATTTCCTATGTGTTTACTTATATAGGTTTAAAGATCATTGTGAATATGTCTTACAGCCGGCAGGTCTTCCTGACAACAAGACGATTTCCAGCAAGTTAGGCGAGGTGGCGGAACTTAAGAAGTATATGAAACGAGTGATGCCGTTCGTGCAAGCAACCAGGGAGAATGTGGAGCGAGTGGGGGCGGAGGCTCTGTCTGTCGGCCTGCCGTTCGATGAAGCCGCCATATTGGTGGACAACAAGCAGTACTTACTTAGCACATTAGATGTGAGTAATCAGAAATTTACTTGAATAAAGTCATTCTTATTTCTAAATTAAGTGTAACTGAATAAACTATATATAGAAACGTTTTCCTAACCAAATAAGTAAGTGTATACAAAAGGGATTATATAAAAAAAAAATAGTTTTTCTGTATTTTATGCCATACGACCACAAATTAGGATTATGACATGTTAATACAAACATCAACTGTGTATTTTGTTAAAAAATTATATATAAACACTAAGTGTTTGCTATTAAAGACACAATTTCTATTTTCTATAGTATACAAAATATAAAACTTTATTTTGCAGTTGGAGAGTATTGAAGTGAAGTATACAGACAGTGAAGATACGCCTGAGAAGACGCGAGAAGATTGTGCGCCCGGTCAGCCACATATCTCCTTCAGCGTCGAGGCCGGCGTTACTGTGAATTTGATCAACCCTACACCACAAAGTGGACTCTTCTCTGTCTCCATAAACCTGGTGAACGGAGATACAATCGAGAAAGTGAAGTCGAAAATCGTCAAGGAAGTCAAGACAATTAAAGGTGAGTCTATAGTTTGTTAATAATGGACGGTAAAGAGCAATAGTTCATTTATAGGATGAGGAGGGGTGTCATCTATAAGTAATATTTAAAAATATTGGTTTGTTGTACAAATAGTATTCACCTTAGTTATAAATATATTAAGGCATTGTAAAATTTCGATAATAATGTAATAGGTAGAATAGGCCACCCCTTCCTTTCCCGTGGATGTCGTAAGTGGCGACCAAGGGATCCTAATGGTCGAAGGGTGGACTGCAGTGTCCCTCTTAAAATGTCTCCAAAGACGAACTGCGGTTGCCAATCCGCATGCCAAGCATGGCAATTACTGGCAAAACCTACCAAAGGGGAGGCTTATGTTCAGCATTAGACAATTAACGCCTAATATGATAATGATATTAACGTAAACTAAGTTTGATTATGAAAGATGTAATGTACAACAGTGTCTTCTATTTTCAGATGCGAATTGTCTTAAATTATGGCGGTACAAAGATCCTATACTGGGGCCTAGGAAGATCCCAGTCCCTGGAGATCATGAGACTAAATGTTTAGTATTGGATAATGCTACAGTATTAAAAGTTGATGTGGCTACCAACAAAGTTGAGCTACTCAATAATGGAAAGAATATAGACATAGGCACGCAAATAGTGTATACTTATGAAAAGTAACTTTTCATACGAACTTTTTACTTCATGGTAATAAATTATTTATTTATTTTACCGATCTTGCGTGTTTCATTTGTCATTCACATTTTATTCGAACCCTAAAAATAAATCTTATCTTACTAATTATAATGAAATTGTAATTGAATAGAGTCTGTAGATATTAAAAAAAAAAGATGTAAGAGATTTTAATGAAAGTCAAAATAATTTTTAGAAATTTTGTATGTATATCTTAATAGATAAACATACAAAATTTATGGCATTATACAAAAACTACTGCACCAATATAGTTTTCACTGCTGTTTTCCTGAAGGTGTGAAGTGGTGTATGTTTTATTTTGATACGCTACCTTGGAAATAGTCTATTTATATATTACTTACTACTTGCCTTACTTCGGAAATCCGCGCGTACACCATAACGGGTAAAGAGCAAGTATTCTTATAAAATTACGTACGAATACTACGTAAAGTACGTAAGGTATACCAAGTCTATGGTGGAAATTATTGACATCACCCTCTTTTTGGATGAGGCCTATATCCAGCCATGCAATATTAGCAATCTACATTTGGTTTTTATCCGACTACTTGGCCATTCTTATAGTCACTGGTCCAGTTTTTAATATATTTTACACTAGTTTTTACTAAAATTAAATAGTAGTAGTATAGTACGTGTATATACAATTTTATTACGTTTGGTTGAGCTGTTAAGGCACTACGAGGTAACAAACAATCAAACTCACTTTCACATTTTATTATCTGAATTTTTGGCAAAACGTGAATCCACTACATAAAAAAAGGACCGAGCGGCCATAAACTGTGGGTTTTCTTATGTCTAAATCTACTTGTAAACTTCTTGGGGTAGATTAAAGAGATTACTTGAATAATTAACATAATTTAATATTACATTGATATAATTATTATACATTATATGGGATATCATGAGACATGGTTGCAGCTGCTAGTCGCTACGTGGGCGCGCCAGCAAACAACCGTTCAAATGCTACACCGTCTGCTTCGAGTGGCCGCGGTCGCTCCACCGCCGGCATCGTTGGCAAGTCCAAAATCGACACTTCTTTCTTGAATAGTTGTCCTACATTGCGACCAATTAACTGGAAATATACAAATGGTAGTTACAATTGGAATTCGTCCACATATAAGTGTGTGAAATGGGCGTGCTTCTCTTATTATGTTAAATGTCTGTATGTAAATGGCACCATGGTACTTATTACATTCGTATTCTGTATTATCATTGCTACATTCTATAATTCTAATTTAAAGAGGAATATACAAGTACAGCTGCGTGAGAGCAACAAAACAAGCTTGGTTGTCTGTTGAGAAATGTCACAGACAAAGAATAAAAAGTAGGATCCTGGGGGGTTACTTTGAAATAAATTCCAATAAATCAATATTGAAATTGAGCCGTTTCGAAATCTCGAATTGCAGTATTAGCAACAATGGTTCCATATTGTTCTGATAGATGCACATTAGTATATCTTGTGAATGCAAACTATTGTAAACAGATTACAATTATAACTTAATTCCTGTTTTCATGAGAGCTATATAAAATTGTGATTGGCAATAGATTGACATTGGTATTAGATTCAAGACTCGTTGTTTAAAGTAAGATATGTGGTCACGTTATAATTACCTTAGAGGTGATTTTTTTGAAGAGGTCTCGCTTGCTTTTATCGATCTTGGAGGGTTTAGCGGTGTTGGCGGCGAGCTTCTCGTCGAGCCTGTGCAGGTCATGCTCGTCCACGTCGGGGATCTCGCGCAGCACCGCTGCCACGCCCGGGAACCGTGGCCGCAGTGTCTCATATGCCTTTAAAATTTATATTTGAAATTTGCGATTGTTAATAATGGGGATCTATCAGCTTCCCATATCAGGTCGACTTCCACGCGGTTCCTCTTAGAAACCATCTTGGTTAATTCTTGTGGAATTCGTCATGATGGGCAGTTAGCCCAGTTTAGTTTTCATTCCCATCTATTATTTCTCACTGATGCCTCACTAGGGAATACTGATAGCGTTGATGAGGTTAACGATTTATTTTTTTTAATGGGTGAAAATGGAACGGTAACCCTGCCCGCGCTAAAGGTATACACAGGCGGGGCACTAGTGAAACATGACAGGTGAGAATGAAAAGCAAGTCAGCTAGCCCATCGTGACGAGTACACATGGGAGTCAGCACGATGTTTTTTAGGGGGCACCACGTAGAGGTCGAGCTGACAGGGTATATTGCTAGTGTTGCGGCCTCTTTGACCGGTTTTCTCGCTGGCCGCTAAGACATTCTACAATTAAAACTGACAGCTTGGGACAAAACTAAAGGACTTAGACAAAAGACCGATAAGAAGACGGACATAATTTTGATGACTAATTTGCCTTTTAATTTTTAATACTTTTTGTCGACAAATTCGGACCCTTCGACCTTAAAAGCGGTCCATCGACCTTTCAGCTAGCAATGGGATTTGTAATCGGCCGGGTTAAGGTTCCATTACGAGTGTTGTGGTAAGTACCTGCACGGCGAGCGCGAGCAGCGCGGCCTGGTTGGCGTCGTGCTGGCCGTGCGTGCGCAGCGCGTGCAGCGCGGCGGCGAGCGCGCCGTTGGCCTCGGCCGGCCCCACGCGGCCGCCCGCCAGTGCGCAGCGCAGCGCCGGCAGCGCCAGCGTGCACGCGCGCAGCGACGACGGCGAGTCGTTCCACATCAGCGCGCGCAGCACCTGCGCACCGCCGCCCGGTACAATAACTAGCATAGTGGCCCTATTGCTTACGTTATACAGAACAACAGGACGACGTCTGGGTTAATAAGCGCAATAGAAGCCAAAACGATTTTAAAAAACTTTGCATGTTTGTTCTGGCATTATGCAAAAACTATTATATGGCAAAAGTTGTATGAAAATCCATATCTGTCGTGTTTTGCGGCCAGATAAATTACTATGTAAACTCATATCTGTCCTGTAATTTAAAAATAGAATGACCCTTTACTTCGAAACACAGCTACCAAGGAGGTAACTAATAAAAAGTTTTATTTAAATTTCGAACTGGCTTGCAAATAGAAAGCTGTTTATTGAAAAAAAAAAAAAAAACAAAGGAACATTATAGCGCGTGAAAAATTATTATGTGTTTTTGATTTCCGCGCATTGTTTGAGAAAAGTACTATACAAGCCTTGGCCACAACTAGGCATCGATGGACTCACGTATGTGTGCCTCGGCTTCGCCTCGGCCCACATTTGCACGTCCGTCCATCAATGCCTCAGTTGCCGGCCGCTGCAGTAATATACTATTATGTAATGTATATACCTATATTGGTGCAATAAACGATTGGAAGCACACGTGTGTGCGTGTACGTACCGTGTGCAGCAGCGCGGGCCCGGCGCGCGGGTGGTGCAGCAGCGCGGCGCCCAGCTCGGACACGGTGTCGGGCGCGCGCGCCGGCGGCGCCGGGCTCTCCTCCTCCATGTCGCCCGCCGCCGCCTCCGCCACCAGCGGACCCTCCACCAGCGAGATCTACAATGTCCAACGTTCATTGTTTTCATTCGAACATTCATCATACTGGCTATTACATTTTGGGCAATCACCTTTGCACGTGGTACTAGTAGTAGTCACTGAATAATACAAATATCTGCATATATACTATAGCGGGGAAGAGAAGTGTGTGTACTAATATTACATACAAAAAAAAACTATACCTATGTCAAATACCTCAAGAGATTGTTATACCATATTATTGTCTATTTGTTAATTAGCATGCTGTGTTTCCTTTAAAATGATTGTACACTAAGTATAAATAGACAGCAATAATATTAAATCTTATCAGTGTAACAATTGCTAGGAGACCAAATAAAGATAAAATACACCATTTCCTTACATTATATTATTTACTGCATAGTTCATACAAAGTTAATAATACTACAAAAATCATAATTAATAGTTTAGGCTCTAATCAAAAGACACACATAGATGCTTATGATAAAAAAAGACAAATGAAAAAGCTAGAAGGTTCCTACATTTATATTAATTCATTTGAAAATGATTTGAGTACAGAATATTGCTATTCCAACATTTTCTTTACCTTAACAACTTCTAAGTGCTCTCTCGTCAGATGCCTGACAAGTATATCTTCGAGTACCTCTTGTGATTCACTACCTGCCTCTTCTTCTAACTTGCCCGATTCATACAGAGACGTAATGTACTCCCATCTTTGTGATAAATGCATTAACACTGCAAACAAGATTTTACAATACAAATATACACTGACAATCTAACTATAATAAATTATGAAATTAAACATTTGAATGCAATATGTAAACTTCAAAATATTTAAAATAATATTAAATTTAAAAATAGAATTGTTAAGAAAACTTATGATACGACGCTGAGACAAAAGACAGACAGAACTCTAAAGAAATTACACATTTGGTTTTATCTATTGCTTTACATAAAATCTTAGAACAATATAACCAACTATGAGTAACTCATCATGGATCCTGGATGTAACAACACAGTCATAGGTAAGATATTATGAACTTACTGAATGGTGCTACGAGATCGTGCAGCGGCAGCGCGACGTCTTCGAAATGCGCGGGCGGACAGTGGTGCAGCAGCGGCTTGAGCGCGTTGCGGAAGATCGGGCGTAGCCAATGATCGGGCAGGTGCTCAAGCCCGTACAGCAGCGAGCCGGACAGGAACCGCGCCAGCTCCGGCACCGCGTACAGCTCGCGGCCCAGCGTGCTCGCTGCCGCACCCACCAGGTGGCACACCTGCGCACGCGCACCGACAACTTACTACATGTTCAAATATTAAATGTTAAACATATGTATGTTAAGACTAAGTGCCACATGGACTCGCATATGGTGTCAGTTACCTAGTTGAATTTAGACTACGATTCATCTTTGTTATGTCTTTACTCTAATTTATAAGTACAATAAATTACAACCACTCTCTGCTTCTCTCTCGAATTTACTCTAACTCAATTGAAATGTACAGATATGTGGGTATGCAGTCGTCATGTATCGATGACGGCGACAATAAAGCTAGTAACAGATTACGTTCACGTGTGGTATAGCGCTGTTGGTTGGTTGGCAGCAGCGTCGTTTTTTTTTAATAGGTGATAATGGAATGGTAACCCCACCCGCACCATCAGTATACACCGGCGAGGAACTAGTGAAGGATGATAGGTGAGGATGAAGCAGGTTAGTAAGCCCACCGTGGCGAATGCATCAAGAATTGTTCACGATGGTTTCCAGGGGGAACCACACTAATAGGGCATATTGCTAGCAATGGGGCTATCAAAGTCGATCGCTAACAGTTGCAGCGCGGTGGCACAGTGGTACTGGTGATACTGACGTTGTCGTGCAGCGTGTAGAGGAAGTTCTGCATGCGGTGGTGCGGAAGCGGCGGCGGCAGCGCGGGCGGGTCGCGCAGCGCCAGCAGGTTGCGGCGCTCGGCGGGCGGCGGCTGCAGCGCGCGCGCGTGCGCGGCGTGGCGCAGCGCGGCGGCGGCGGGCGCGTGCAGCTCGTGCAGCGCGCGGCACAGCGCCAGCGCGCCCGGGAACAGCGGCAGCACGTGCGCGCTGCACGGGTTGCGCCACACCGGGTTGCCCGACGCGCTCACGCCCGCGCTGAACCCGCCGCGCGTCGCTCTGTACACAACAATTGCGACCATGTCACTAAACTACTAATTTTACTACGATAACACTCTAAGTAATTGTTCTATTCTGTACGATATGGCTTCTTAACCGCTATTTCGGTGTTTCACAAATAAATCAATGTGAATGAATAGGCAGACAATTTTTTATTATTATATATTAAATTTAAAAATGAAGAATTGCAAATTGTATTGATTTTCTACAGGTTTAACTACTAATAATGCTATAAAATATATAATTATTGATATAATTATATATTTTAAAGTAGTATGAATTAAGTATATCAGCCTGTGCAGATAAGATACATGTCCTCATGAAGAGCTGAACTCTACATCAATAACGTGTTTTGCCTGCGCAAGTCGTAATATAGCTGGGCGGCTCACTTGTCCGGGTCGGCGGGCACGCAGACGCGCTTGACGACGCCGAGCAGCAGCGTGAGCGCGTGCAGCAGCGTGCGGCGCGCGCGCGCCGGCTCGTCGTCGGCGTCGGCGGGCGCGGCGGGCGCGTCCAGCCCCACCAGCCGCGCCAGCGCCGCCGCGCTGCCCACGTGCGGCGCCAGCTCCGCCCACCGCGCCGTCCACGGGCCCAGCACCTGCCCGCCACGCACAACAGGGAAGGAAATGTTAGTACTGGGAACTAGCAGTCCCGATGCCTGTTAACGATCTCCACACATCCCCTATGGAAACCATCATGGTTAATTCCTGATAAATTTGTCACGATGGGTCAACTTACTTGCTTTCTAATTGTTGGAAATGACAAATACAGTATCCCAAGAACATAAAGCATAGCAAGGTAACCATTTCATTATCATCCTTAAAAAAAGCAAATATAAAACGTCAAATATAATTAATAGCTTTAGTATATTTATAATCTTTTATCTCATATAATATATCCACTTTAATAATGTTACAGACTCATTATTGCATATAAATTAAATTTATAATCATCGTCATCATCAGCTTTTAACTGTCCATTGCTGAACATAAGTTTCCCCCTTGGGGGATTTTGCAAGTAGTTGCCACGCCTGGCAGACGGATTGGTAACCACAGTTAGGCTTTGGAGATGTTTTAAGAGGGATGCTGCTGCCCATCTATCGCCCTCCCTTAGTCGCCTCTTACAACACCCACGGGAAAGGAAGGCGTGGCCTATTCTATACCGGGACCACACGACAATTTATAATCAGAAGGTCTCAGTAGGTAGTTACAAATTAGAAAATAGTGATACAATTCGAAATACCTGTTCGACTAGAGCAGCCTGCCGCTCGTAACAGCAGAACTGGTTGGAGACCAACAAAAGGGCTTCCTGGAGGGTGACGCTCTCGACCGCGCTGAGATCTGGCCGAGCCAGCGCTGCCCGGCTCATCTCCAGCAGTCGTGGATACACCGGCAGCAGCAGCAGTGGGAACTGAAATTAAATATAATTTTATTATTATACAGGGAATATTTAAATAATATTCATACCCATTTTGTGCCTCCCACTGATCTTTACTAGTAATGAGGACGAGTCACTGGCTACGAGCTAGTTACTTGTTAAGGTAGAAATCCATGCGGTTAAATTACAAGTCATTGTAATTTATTCTGGATGAAATTGACTTGATGGGCCCACTGACCTGATGGCTATTCCGCTTGCGAAAACGAAACAGTTCAGATCATCTATTACAAATAAACAATATATAGTATATATTAACCTTATATAAATAGAGCATCGAGACTAAAAAACGGGTCAACTTTTTGTCAGCTACTTGTCAAATAAGCTGACCTTGATGTATCTACATTTGATTGTTTAATAAATAAAATGCGTTTTTACGGATTAAAAAGGTGCAAAACAAATTAAACATAGAAGTCATAAAGGAGTCACTCATAGCTATTTATTACGCAAAATTGTGTGAAAAAGTTAACCCGCTTTTCTCGAAGCATTTGTATGGAGACACTCTATCTATTTAATCTAAGATATAAACAAAGGACAGTGAATAGGATTGGCACCTTGGTGCCGAGCTTGACGAGGAGGCCGGCGGCGTGGCGGCGCACGTTCTTGACGGCGCGCGAGCGGCGGCCGTCGTCGCCGTCGTCGCGCGGCAGGCCGGCGGGCCCCTCGTACACCAGCGCCGCGAAGATCTTGTCCAGCACGCGCGGCAGCAGCTCCGCGCCCGCCGCGCCCGCGCCGGCGCCTGCGCACGTGATACATCGACACGGTATTCGCAATACCATCACCTTCATTCAACTTTATTTCTACTAAAATATATGTCGTAAAATCCTCGGCTCGAAGGATCAATTTATTTGCAAAATTTGTAATGATAAAAAGTCTTATATATCACTTGTATATAAGTAAACCCATTCGGAAAAAAACCCACTACACACCCCCTAAATAAACATAACAAAAAATAAAAATAATGCAGTACTGAGTATTAACTAATAAAAGTAAAACTTCTTTACAGATTGCAACACTGCTTTACATATTGCATTTGTAAAATGTCTGGAAATTAATTTACATTTAATTAAAATATTTTTCTTATACATCTCTATACAAATTAATGAATTTCTAGGGAAGCTTCAATTCAATAGGATTAGAAAATGAGCAAGAAAAAATTACTTACCAGCAATTTGACTATATGCACAACTTAAAAACACGAATAAAGCGGATATAAAAGAGAGCAGGAGCGACAGTATAAGAGGCGCAGGTGGGTCGCTCGCTACACAGCGCTGTAGCAGCTGTAGACCCTCTACTACATTGGGACGAGGGTCCGCTTGAAGCAGCCTGGAGAGGACCACATCCAGTACCTATAAAAAACGAATTATACTCTAATAATTTGGGCCGCACATATCTGATAGCATAATGAGCCACATACATGGACGGTTTGTGCGATCAGTTTTTACTAGGTTTCGAAGAATTAAATCACTTAATTGAATGAGTATACTGGAGATCTGCATTTTTTTCAGAGAAAATGAAAGATCAGCATACCTTCTGGTAGGCAAACTGATTATATAGCTGTGTTGATTGTACTTCAATTGGATGACAAGTTCGTAAACCAAACGATTTTACTGTATGTAATTAACACCTCTAAACCAGATTCGTTAAACTTTACATATATGACGAGACTCTTTTTGTGGAATTTGAAATTGCAACCATTCGAAATTGTATTAATTTTTGGTGCCATTGGACAGTCCAATGTGTTGTACAGTCAGCATCAAAATTTTATTGAGTTTGTAAATTTACAAGGTACAGAAGAATAACACCTAAGTCCTCGGGAATGGCAACGCATGAGGGGGTATCACGGGCGAAACAGTATACTGTTATGTCCATTGTACTACTCATGTCTATAAGTGACGGTTACCACTTTCTATCAGGTGGACCGTCAGCTTGTTTGTCATTCTAAGTTGCATAAAAAAAGTTTTTAAAGAGATATGTAAAGTGTAGTGACCATGGAGAGCGCCTCCCACTCGACGTGTAGTGGATGCGTGACGTCGACGCGCGGAGGACACGTGTCCAACTTGGCCAGCGCCGCACGCGTCCACTGCTCTACGTGCGCCCACGTCACCAGCGGCGCCGCCACCATGCAGTGTCTGCGGACACATAGCACATGTAGTAGTAGGATACGGAGCAAGTTATTAATACGACAATTAGGAGCAAGTGGGGATGTTAGTAATTTGATATAATGGCTTCATTGCTAGCAATATACCCTGTGACGTCCTTCCATGTGGTTCCCTCTGAAAACCATTGCACTTTATTATTGTTGAACTCGTCACGGTGGGCCACCTGACCTGATTGAATAGTTCATACTGACTTCCCATCACTTACTGGTGAGCCACCAGCGTTTACCTAAAGCGCAGGTGAGTTTACCATTTCATTTAAATGCATTTAAAAAAATTACGACATTGGTTTCAGTCTCTATAGCCAAGTGGCATTCTAATGATAGGTATGTCATCACTATTATGCGAATGACAAAGAATGAAAAAGCAACGTCCAGAATTTTGCTTTATCATGTATAAGTATGCTAATGAAAATTTATCCATTTATATGATAGGTTAATTGTCTAGTGGTGATATGTACTAATATGACAGATGGCTAAATACTGTTTTGATTACATTTGTAATTTCTTTTTGTGAATCTACACACTCTACACTGGCATTAAAGCATTAATACCTCTTCATTGTTATATCATAAGTTTTGAATTATTATATGTTAATTAAAGATATCTTTCAAAATTTCTACCTTCACTAGCTGTATCTATCGACAATAGGGTCGATTCTGAGGCACCTTTTCTCTAAATTGATCTCTTAAACTGATATTTTAATTCAATAGTTTCGTGAAATTATTGTTATATGAACCATCATAAATTTATAGTAATTTTGACTTAAATCTATTAGAAATATAGTTCATATTGTCCATAAAATTTTATTTAAAATGTTAATTTTAGAGATATGACGTCACAAAATCGACTCCATATATCATCTATGCATATTTGGAGTAGTATTTCTATGATTGTAAATGCAAAGAATTGATAATTATACAAAACACAATTGTAATTACCTGAAGCCTTCTAAAATTTCTGTTCGACACCGGCTAAAGAATATAGCGAACTCTTGTTCACAGTCGTAGTCTATACAAGCGTATGTGATCGCGTCGTTGACGTCAGTCGATCGCGATGTCGGGTATGTTACCTGTTAAAAAAAATTAAAAGACTTATATTTTTTAATTATCATCACATTAGCCGTTAATTATCCACTGCTGAACATAGGCTTTCCCCATAAGAGAGGTTATGCTAGTAGTTGCTGCGCTTGCCAGGCGGGTTGGGAATCACAGTTAGATGCTTTAAGAGGAATACTGCTGCCCATCCCTCAACCATTTAGTCCCACAGGAAAGGATTACTCAAATTAAAATATTACTCAATCGTAAACTACTAAATTAAAATCGAAATCTTAGGTTCGGTTTTCTAATTTTAAAAATGCTCTTTAGTAATACCTATTGTAACATTATATTGTTATTAAAAGTTAGTAGTGTTTTTACTTATAACAGTTTAGTATAAATTAGCATACTTTTAGATCTTTTTTATGCAAATTTCTGGACAATTTAATAAGGAGCAACTTACTTTAAGTACTTTGGGAGCAGACGCCTGTAACCACCTGGGTATGATGGCAACTAATTGTGGTAACTTCGATATTTGGTCATGTCTCAAGAACATCAACCACACAGTGTTCACGGTTTGGGTTAGCGTTAGGGACGGATGTGATGTGAGCAACAGCATAGTTTCCAGTAGAAGTGGCATCCATGATTCGAGGTTGGTGGCACAACTCCAAAGGGAGACGAGTTGCTGGCCGAGACCTGCTATGACCTAGAAACATAGATAATTATTTTAAATGGTAAGCTTATAAATTTAAATTATTTCTACTTGCATGTGGTATCCGTCATTTGTTAAAATTGTTGTCAAATTATAACTAAAATAAAAATCATTTATATGTTTTACATATACCTAATATTTTACATAAACACTTTTTTTTTAAATAAAATACAGCTCCTGTTACTTGCTAAAAGTAAAGTATGCTACATAGTCTTTACAATAACGGTACATACATTATTAAATATTAAACTGAATTACATTGCAGACTTAATATTTCATACTCTGTAATGCAGTAATTAAAAATGTTGTTACTGGCCAGTGGTAGTACTTAGTTTTATTATATTATTATTGTTATTATTATGCTATGTGAAACACAAGTTTCGTGCAGTTAATTTTGTGAGTACAAATTTTTTTGTTACCACATTTATATTACATTTAAGCTACTGAATTGATAGGTGTATTTAGAGAGGAGACCAGGTTAGTCGTACCCACCACAGAATAAGAAGTGGTGCTTTGAACTTTTCCTATAGCTAGGCAAAGACATGTCTGAGAATACATATCATAATCTTAAATAGGCCAATGGACACATCATCATCTTTAAGTGACATTCCAATAAATTTAATGAAGAGGTTGTGTTTCAGTTTGAAGGGACATGGTAAGGGCATGAGCATGTCATATAGCAATGAAGTTACAGGGTACAGAGGCACAACTCCTTAGTCCTCATACATGGCAACGCATGAAGAGTATCATGGGTGACAAAGTATACTCTGTTATGCCCATGCTACCACAGGTAATATAATATTATACTAGATGCTACTGTTCATGTCTATAAACGATGGTTACCACTTTTCATTAAGTGGGTCGTTGAGATGTTTGTAATTCTAAATTGCATAAAAGAAAAAAATTACCTGTGAGAGTTTCTTGAGGAATAAATAATGATTTTCATTCATTACATTAATGCTGGAGACCGCCGCGCGGTGGATACATGAGATTGCATCTTCACTGAATAATATCATAAGTGGTTTTCGCTCCTTAGTCTGTAACACCCAAGTTTGTTCAGGTTAAACATAGAGACTGTATATAAAACATACTCTAAAAGAGCTCTGTGTACATTTATAACCTGTAATCTATGATTAACTCATAAAACCATTGTTTAATTTTTATTTCCTGATTCTCAAGATTGACTAGAAGGAATTTTTACAAAAAAATAACTCTGCATTTTTTTAATTTGTTTTTGTTATAACTGAAACTGATAAGTATGTTTTTTTTTGTCAAATATTATTATATATTATATGGAAAACAACCAGACTAATATAAACAGATACATTGATTGATCCTGCAACTGAATGCTCTTATGTTTTGGATATTTATTGTCCTAAGTTAATACTATAAATGAATTAAAATAAAGTTTTGACTCACAGAGCCTTTCCTATTAGCTATTTGCAGCAGACACTCGGCGGCTGGAAGTTGGAATGCATCGTCTTGTAACAATATACACAGAATTTGCAGCAAACGTCCATTATTCATAACTACGTGATTTGTCGACACCCATTCTACAAATCCCGTCAATGTTAACAGCACAACCTGGAATTCATTGTAAAGTTTATAAGCTTTTTTATAAAGAGAAACAGTGTTTGCATATCATTATGATAATGGATATTTAATGTATGTTAATATTGCCACATACATCTCTAATAGAGTCAGTAACAGTTTTAGTCACTGTAGTTTAATTAGGTAATGATACTACAATTTTAAGTACTTGGTTTATTAGTTTTTTATATTTTTTTATATAACTTAGAATGGCAAACAAGCTGACGGCCCACCTGATGGAAAGTAGTAACCATCGCTTATAGACCTGAGCAGTACCATGGACATAACAGAGTATACTGTTTCGCCCATGATACCCCCCCATGCGTTGCCATTTCTGAGGACTCAGATGTTTTTTCTCTGTACCCTGTAAATTCACGCCATATCCCATCCTTCAAACCGAAACACAGCCATGTAAACACAACTGCTTCACAGTAGAAACACGAATGGGACAGAGGTACCCAAGCAATCGACTTTTGTACAAAGTCTCCCTCTGTTGTTAATATTGTGGTAATCCATTAAAAAATAATAAGTGATCAGTATAATTGTTTTTTAATATTTAATGTTAATTATCCTCAATATGCTTAAAAATTGTTTCCTTATTAAAAGAATCTACAGTTTTCTATCTTTAATGAATTATGATATTAGTAATTCCTAGAACGACCATAACTAGTATTTAACGGTCTTACTTATTTAACCGTAAATTGCGTTAGTTCCTGCATTGATAGTAATACTACTACTAATACTAGTTGAATATTTTTTCAATTCAATCAAATCAAAACAAATATTGTTCATATAGATATGTTACAGATACATGATACGTCATTTTATAGTTATTACAAGTATAGTTGTTTACCTGAACAACTCTGCCGTTACTAGTAGCGGCGACATAGTCGCCAGCAGCAGTCTTCTCTTTGAACTCCTGCACATGCAATTCAATTAAACGCATGAAGAAGCTAAAAATCTCCGACATGTTGCTTGTTAGTGCCTGATGTATATCTTTTCTTCGTTGGTGCTGCTCCAGGGTCTAAACAAAAATCAATAAATCTCATTATTGCTAATGTCAAAGAAAGATATGACACTTAAATTCCAAAATAACAACTTTTTATTAACACTAAATCTACCAAGCGCGGTCAAATGACCGTTTTTGAAATTTAGTTTAAAACTTTTCTTGTATAATGTTACTGTACCACCATGTAACTTATTGACTTTCCCTATACCAACAACCATTTTTCAATATTTACAACTTACTATTGTTTACTTGTTTACTATCCAATTGGCTAAAATCTCTTTCTGTACTAAGATACATACTTTATTTTAAAGCGATCATTTGACCGCTCATGGTATGATTATGTATATATGAAATGTCGGTAGATTAAGTTTTAAATATTTAATTATAAAAACATTACAAAAACAAGACATTCGAGGTAATGAAAACGAGGTGACGATGAGGATACTGGAGAGTTACTGGGAGGTTATATTATTCAATAGATATATTTGAAAATTTCCAGATTAAAAAATAGAATTAGTATTTCATATTTTCATACTTATGTAACGCCTCAAAAATATACAAGCTATAATTCTAACAACAAATAAATGCAATAATATATAGACAAGAAGAAGAACAAAATAGTTGTGTACAAATAGTTTTTTTTTTCTATATTTTTTTATATGTACAAATACTTTTTAAAGTTACATAAAAATAAAGGTTAATTAGAAGATTGATAAGTGTACATGAAATCAATATTTTAACTATGTGTAAAAAATAAACAAACTGTTTTAGTTCCACATTTGAATGCCAATAACATTAACATTGAATATTTACACTATTTTTTAAAGGTGATTCAACATATAAAATATACTTCTTTCCAATATTACGTCATAATACTATTTTATGTATATAAATTTGTTACATTAATAGATTTAAATACTTGAAACAGTATATTGACACAGGCTTATGAGGCCATAGATAGTATCAACAGAGGTTTGTACAAGACTACAGCATGAAGTTCTCCAAAAAACAAGGAGAAATATTTCTAAGAGGTTAAAATGTTTGCATAATGCTATCGACATTATAAGCATACATAAGGTATGATGATATGTATAATTACTATCAAATGAAAGTACTTTCTCCATTTCAGGGATTTAAAAAAGTATATAAAAAATTTACACAGACAAAATCCTATTTTTAACACTTCTATCATGTCAATTGCATACGGGTATATAAGTCTTCTAACCTGAAGTGTAGCGACATCTTCAACAAGCCTCAAAAAAACATGCAACACGATCTGTGTATGAAGATGTCCCCTTGCGCATGCGTCACTTAGTTCTGCAAGCAATGTCGACCACTGCTGGGGCCATTCACGCTTAATCATCTCCACAATTACTCGTGCCAGAGCATCGTTAAGATGCGCTGTCTCCCACCCACCCATATATAACAGCTTCATTGCATTTTCCTACAAAAATAAATCATCAAATATATGAAGGTAATTTTTATAATAACTACTTAAAGTAATAAGTTCCATTATATGAAGACATATTAATCCTTACTAACGTTACAAATGTAAAAGTGAGTTTATTTGTTACCTTTTAATGCCTTAATAACTTAACCAGTTACTATGAAATTTGGTATACAGGTATGAAATGGGATGAACAAGTAAGGTTACTTTTTACATAAATATAAATAAATAAGTATCCCAGTCATACAGGCAAAGTTGCGAGTAGTAGCTAGTATACTATACATGTAATTGTTGAATTTGGTCTAGAGTAAATCCTCTTTATAAGGAGTGACTTGAATAATTAATATAATAGTTTAGAAGATATGGGATTTGCAGTGCAAATATTGTATATTTATACAATTTTGTATATTTTACTGTTCTATATTACCTTAATAAATAACTTCTCAGGTTGTGTTATCTGAGTCCATCTGTACTTGATGGTGTGTTCCATGAGCTGTAAGCCAAAATGCTTTACAACTGCCGAGTATTGGTTGCCACTAGCCAAAAGCAGGCCAGCCTGAGCACACCATGGTGAGTTCTCTTTAAAGCTAAAACAAATTAATTATACATAAAAATATGAATGGATCTCTTACACTAAGCAGCCTTTAGGTTAAAATTATTTATTTATATACTCAAAATTGACATAAGCATCTTTATTAATTAAATAAACAATTATAAAAGTTGAAGAATGCAGCAGTGCAATAAAGAAGCAAAAAATAATGAACAGAAAAAGAATAAGAAGAGGAGATTATTTAAAATTCAGAGTAGAAATTTTTTCAAATTAATTTTTATGTAACTTGAAACTATAAGTAAACTAACAACCCACTTGAAAGAGTCATAACCAGCATTAGCTATAGACATGAATATCACCAGGAAACCTTACAGAATATTCTGTGATTCTATCTTCCATGTTTTGTCATTACTAAGGGCTATGATATTATTACTATAATTTCACTACCACATCTCACCATTCAAACACGAACACATTTGTGTAAACACAGCTGCTTCGTGGCAGAAATATGAGTGGAGTAGGGGTACTCAAGCAGATAACATTTGTATAGTCATTATTACATAAATGCTCATGTTTTAAATGTAAAAAATGTAGTTAATAAACATAAAATACAGCAACAATAAAAACGCAAAGGAATAAAAAAACAAATAAATAATACCATAAAACTTTCATAATACCTCTCACAAGCATTGTAGGCCTGGTTACGTGCATCCTGTGAAACTGATGGATTGAGGGTGAGCTCCACAGCACGACTTAGGTCATCAGCTATAAGGCCCACTTCTCCTGCTCCCTCGGCACCCATAACACCAATGTTCATTGTGGTATGTGCTTCCTAGTGAAAATACATATTTGGCATCTGTCAATTATAAAGTAGGCTTCTGAATAATTTTATTCAGAAACCTATTCTATAATGTGCATTGCCTAGAAGAACTCAGAATAAGACAATGAAAGAACTCAGAATAAAACCTCCTTATAATTTTTAACAATACTTAAATTTTGTAAGTTAGCCTGTTCATGGATTAGTTTCTTATATTATAATGAAAGCTATACTAGTTTTGTTGTACATTAGTAAAAGGAAAGCCTTTGCCTAACAATAGAATGTTTGATGAAAACTTCATTCTAAAAATAAAAAATAATATGAATGGTTTTTATTTTTTTTATATTTAAATGAAGACATTCATTTTTGTATGTAATTAAATTAAAAAGAGTGAGTTTTATATGAGTTTATCTTTCAAGCAGATACAAAGATTCCAAATCCAGCATTAGAAAATTCTTAAAAAATTTATTTGAATAAAGATGATTTCTAATCAATTCTTACTTACATACACACATACTTATCTGTCACACCTGTCTTCCATTAGGGTAGGCAGAAACAATGGAATGCCAAATGCTTCGATTCAAACCTCTTTCGCTTCTTCCACATTCATCCATCTTTTCATACACTCTCACCAGTTACGGGTACTTTTAATTCTTCCTTATATAAGAGTATGTACCTACCAACACTTTACTATTAATTGTAACGTTGCACACTGTACCAATAAACATGGTAATATTTTTATTCTAATACATACTCTTAAAGTTGCATATATCATTATTAAAGAAAGCAATTGCTTTCTTCATTATATTAATTAAACAAACAATGAATAAACTCATGCATAATATTGATAACTTAAATAATTTGGTAACTAATATATATCACAAAAATAATCACACGTATATGTACCATATACCCCCAAACTGGCATGTGTTTATAAGAATATAAAAATGTTCTTAAAAATAATTACAAAAATTGGCTTTTATTCTAATTGTTTTGAAAACCCAAAAACTCACGCTATTGACATTTTATTCAAACATATTTTAGGATAGACGAGAACGAGTCCTTTAATAAACAAAGGAGATTGATGGGCATCCTTTACTCCACTTACCAACAGTCTGCAAGACTAATATCCCCATAGAATTATAATTTACTTCATCTTCAATGTGTCAGGATAGGTTCTGAAATAATAAAAATAATTACACTTTGTTACGAATGAACGAGTCAGCTGGTAGTATCACCTACAAATTATCTACCGGGTGAGGGCGTGCAAGCAAACCTTGAAATGATGTATTTACATACTTACGCGATTCGTGCTCTCCTAATCCGAAGAACAAGAAGTAAATGAAGAATTATTAATATTATATATTTTGCTAAACTCTGAAGAAAAAACCATAAATTCACATTCAAAACATAAAAGTACACCTCGTGTCGATTAGAAAAAAGAATGCGAATATTTTTTTTTAATTTGGAATTGTGATTGACAATAAAATCATAGACAATAAGACAAAGTTTTATTCACAGATCATAAATATTACTGACGTCATACACGCTTGTAAAGATCATAATTATATTCATCAGTTCTTAGTGAATTTATCACGGTAGACCAACAGACCCAGTTTCAACCCTATTTATCATCACTTACCGGTTCTTCACCAGCATATAAATATTAATAGCGTTAGTGGAGCTATCATTTCACCATCATTCTTTAAAAACTAAACCGTTTATTAATCATAAAAAATTGTTGCTGTTCAATGTTGATGTCTTTGGATCTTTTCTATTTTATTCTATTCAAAGTCTCAATTCTGAAATACTAATTATAAAAACTTATTTTTTAAATTATTTCAATTTAATAGTTTCCTTAATGTATTATGGCTTACTATAAATTATTTTTTATCCATAAAAACGCAATACTGTTGAATGAAATTAATATAATTCACAGGTGAATACAATAAATCTGGAACTATTTTTAAAGCTTTTTTTTATATTTCTACCATCCTTTCTATATGATACAAATAATATTTTGCTACAGAAAACATATTTTTGTTTTATAAAACAATAATTATCAAATGTCAAATATATTTCAATCTACGTGAAATCGTATCCTGAAAGTTATAGTGCGATAGTGTAAATTTTTTTAAGTGTTTTATTGTCTTTATTATTTCAATCGTAGTTTATTTTTCGTTGTACATTTGGAAGCATAATATTACTTTTATATTTGTGCTTCTGAAAGTGTAAAAAGTAGGTTGTATGTATTGTTTAAATTAAGCAAATTAATTTATAATCGTGCCATATAAAATTTTGTAAAAATTATTTGATTCGAATAACTACAGGGGTAGATAGACATGAAGAAAAACGGACGATAGAAATGCAAATAGAGTGAAGAGAAACGCCTAAGAGATTAATGGAAATGCTTATGGGGTGAAAAGATTTTATTAGTTAGGGTTTTTAAAACTGCTTTTAACAACTTAATAAAATGTAACTATATATTTATATAAGTAAACAAGTAAGAAAATTATTTTGTTTATAATTTTTTATTTTATACACTATTACTAAATTAAATGTAAAGATTCTTTGTTAACATATATTTAATGCTCAGTATAAGATTATAAATAAGAATAACTATAATAATATATTTAAGTACTTGAACGTATTTTACAAAAATGACAATCCTAACTAATTTTTCCAATGATCCTTCTTTCATTTCTAGCTTTAGCTCAACTTCGGCTTGTAAAAAATTACACATATTTTAGAAATTTTTAAGGAAAAATAGCGATTTAGTTAATAATACATGACTAATATTCAAAGATCATGATGCCGGATTGTTATGAATAAAAATTATTGATGATCATCAATAATTACTATACAGATAGATTAATTAACTTGTAAAAAATTTAAACGGTTTTTCAAAGTATATCTATTCAACCCATTCTACGGTACGTATTGTAAATATTTATTAGGTATTGAAGTATTTTATCTTTCTCTCTTGTGCTGAGGTCACAATTTGAAAAAAGTTATAAAACAATCCAATTTGTATGAGGTTTTAATATTTATGCAATTTTTTAAAATTTTGATTCAAATCTACATTTAGTTCTGGATATTGGTTCTCAGAATAAATTTAAATTTTAGAGGCGAGTTTCGAGAATTGATCTTGAAGTTTCAGAATCGACCTTTCTCCTACGTTCTGTTACTTGGTTACCTACCTGTTTGTTTATTATTTTGTGAGAACTGTCAATTTGAATTTTTGAATTTTAAAAGTCACTGAACTTATTCAATTTTAAACTTATTGTGCTTCTTCTATAGATTCTTAGGTTTTGTCTAGATATATTAAAATAACATTTTGTATTACTGAGAATTTATAATGGAAGATAAAATAACTTACTTGGAGCCTTCATTAGAAAAGCAACTGAAGGGTCACCGCAACGGCATCACAGCTCTTTTTTTTAATCCAAATGATAAGCAAATTGCTTCCAGTTCTTTAGATAACAGTGTTTTGGTAAGTGTCTGATGTTATTAGTATATTAATAGAAAAGAAACCTGGTAATTTAAAAGAAAACTGTATTACAAGTTTCGTTTAATATAATTGCTGTTGTCGATATTGTATTAATAAAGTTTCTATTAATTATTAATTCTCTATTTTAGCTGTGGGATTTACGAGGAACTATGAGAAGTTATAGATTTCAAGGCCATGATGAAGCAGTCATGGATGTAACATTTTCTCCATCCGGTAAATATATGGCTTCAGCATCGCGCGATAAGACAGTTAGACTTTGGGTTCCAACTGTTATAGGAAGTACTGGAGTATTTAAAGCACATTCTCAAACTGTACGCTCTGTCCAGTTCAGTTCTGATGGCTCTAAGGTAATATTTTATTTTATATGAATTGATTTTATTTAACATTCAATAAGTATTTTTTTTAAAAAGCAGTTGATATGTTATTAGATTATAACAGCCTCTGATGATAAAATTGTGAAACTGTGGTCAAGTGAAAAGCACAAATTCATCGCATCATTTGTTGGTCACACAAACTGGGTACGATGTGCAAGAATGTCTATTGATGGATCTGTCATAGCTTCCTGCTCTGATGATAAGACAACCAGATTATGGAGTCCTGATACAGGAGAATGTATACATACATATAAGGATCAAAAAGGATATGGATTGCATGTTGCTTGGCATCCTTCAGGCTGCTACATAGCTGTTGGGACCGCTCATGGCAATGTCAAGTTATTTGACACCAGAACCCATAATTTAGTGCAATATTACAGGTAAGTCATGTTGATAAAGGATGTATTTTTTATAGTCTGCTAAGAATGACAAATAATATGGTTTTAACCATGATACTTTTTTTTGGGTAACAATGGAATGGTAACCCCACTTGCGTTATTGGTATAAGTTGGTAGGCCATCATTGAGAAATGATAGGTGTAGATAAAAACAGGTCATTTAGCCCATTATGTTACAGGATGAACTGTGTGAAAGTCTACCTGATAGGACATGTTGCTAGCATTGCCAATATTAGACCTCATTATGAAAATTCCACCTCCCTCTCCTTGCACAATCATGATACTTATCATTTAAGACATACACATAATAAAATCTATTAGATAAGGTACCTCTCATGTGTAATTTATTCATGAGATCAGTCCAGTTCAGTCTAGACCAACAGCTAATAAAATTTTTATTTTTTATTTTATTCCATCCTTATTAATATCATAAATGTGAAAGTGAGTTTGTTTGTTTGTTACCTTATAGGATCCTAAAGGTTTATCCAATCACTATGGAATTTGGTATGTACATACTATATGAGGTGGAGAAGGCTATAGGCTACATTTATCCTAGTCAGTAAACACAACTCAGTTGTACAGAAAAAGTTGCCAGTATAATATAATGCAATAAGGTATAAATTTTGTTTCAGTATACACAATGATGCTGTGACACAACTGGCATTCCACCCCAGTGGCAGCTATATACTTACTGCTAGTAAAGATGGAAAAATGAAGGTACAATGTTTCTACTAGAAATAAACATTTTGAAATGAAAGAAATAATATTTTCTAATTAGTACTTAGTAAAGATTTTTTTTTATTTGGAAATTAATGTTTTCATAATATGTAGTATTTATTATTGTAATTATTTAACATGTCATTAATATAATTATATCATTTTAAGTATTGTGTATTTTAAGTGTAGTGGCACACACTACTGAAAATAGGTCTCAAAAGATATGGATTCAGTGAATATGGTATAGAAAGAACTTATTTTTAGTAATGGCCATTTAAAAAGTAATGATAAATTAATGATAAATAAATTTTTATTTTCAGATATTGGATTTATTAGAAGGCCATCCAATATTCACATTGAGTGGACACAATGGTAGTGTAGCTGCTGTTAATTTCTCACCAAGTGGGGAGAGTTTTGCATCAGCTGGTGATGATAAATTGGTTAGTCTACATACATATACATACATATCTGTCACACCTATCTCCCATTAGGCAGAAACAATGAAACTTGAAATGATTTAAACAAACTTTTTTCGCTTCTTCCAAATTTACAATCTTTTCATACATGCTTGCTGGTAACGAGTACTTTTAATTTGGTCCTTCATCAGCATGTTGCCTATTTTGTTGACATACGTTCATCTAGGGCAGCTTCTACTAACATCTCCATTCATTCTTGCTCGATAAATCTCTTTTGTAATTCTTCCATCCATCCTCTCCAAATGACCAAACCAAGGTAGAATGGGGAAAAAACAGCCAAGATGCTACACAGTCCTGTTTAACACCACGTTCAATGTCAAATAACAGTCCCTATAGACTCCATTTATTTTGACATGGGCATTTGAATCCTTATAAGATTTGAATGCCCATATCAAATGGCTGCTCATATCGCCAGTGTTGACCAAATTTCTTTCCTCTCCAGTCTGTTGTAAGCTTTTTTTTAAGTCAATGAACGTGCAGAAAATCTTCTGATGTTAAGCTGTTGAGCTAAGGTTTTCTCTGCTATGCTCCCTAAGGAAAAGACTTGATCCGTACATCTCACTTCCTTTCGAAACCCTGTCTGCACATCCCCAATTTTACTGTCTGTTTCATTCTGTTAATCAAAATCTTAGTATACGATTTGCCTAAGAAAGCTTATTCCGCGGAAATTTTTGCACTCCTGTTGTGACCCACTGATACAAAAACGGATTTGCCCCAGTCACCTGGAACACAACCGGATAGCCAACATTTATTAAATAGCGGCACAGCAGGTTTAGAATGATTTGTCCACCTTTTTTAAGCATCTCAGCAGATATTATATCGAATCCTGCTGCTTTACCAAATTCATAATCTTCATGGCATTCATTCCCTTATCCATACTTATATCACTTTCACTGTCAACTTCCTTATCCATTATTTTATTTTCAACATTCTTTGTTTCACTTTCACATTCAAATAAACTTTCAAAATATTTCTTGCATCCCTTTCAACGCACACTTTTAAATCTCCCTTTTTACCTCTAGCTGTTCGAACTAAATGCCAGAAGAGCTTTTGATTAGCTCGAAATTTTTTAGAGAATTTCCTTTCTTACTCATCCTTACAATTCTCTTTTTCCTTACTAATTCTTGTTAATTTCTAGTTTTTTTTTTTACTAATTACTTAATTTTTTTTAATTGGTTTGTGTATTGTAATTTTATAGAAAAGTAGTTGTAACCTCAATAGGTTGTGAGCTCAATAGGTGTGAATTAGGATAGAAGTATCCTGTATTATTATTATTATTATTATATTATCTTAACACATATATACTTTTTTATTGTATTTAGTATTTCAAATCTTATTTAAGTCTGTTCACTTGTTTACAATTTTTGACACTTATTAAATAAAGCAATTCAATAGAAATAATACATTCAGTAAAGTATAAAACATATTACAATCATTACAGGTATTTGTTTGGAAAACAAATTTCACACAGCTAAGTAGTGGCATGAAAGAAAATGTTCCACATAATCAGTCATCAGTGCCTAGGTCGGCATCTCAAACATCCAAGGTAACTTCCACATCAAAAGCAGGAAATCGGGTTATAAAAAAAAGATTATAGTAAGGTAGTTTTATGTAACAATATAATAACTGTATTTAGTTGTACAGAAAATTCATATTTTAAGTAATATAAAATAAATTATGTAATTAACATTTTTTTATTTGTGTCTTAATTAATCACTTTCATATTCAGGACTGGTCATTAAGAGCTGTCAGAATAAAATATACTGTAGACCTTAAAAAACATGAATTCAGAGAGAACTGCGCTCTTAGAAACATGCTCGAACGTTCCTCTTCATATTAGATAAGCTATAAAAATATAATATATTAATTCAGTATCTCTGCAAATCAGGGCATGATAAAAGCGTGGTATAAGTGCTATCACAGTGTCAAATATCCCATTACCACATTTGTCCATGTTGATGATGAGCTTGATGTACCTGAGCCTGGGAGATTATCCAGTTTACAAGAACCCAATGCTAATAGTACTTTGATTGAACCAAGTGAGCATACTCCAACAAATATGACATCCCAAAGGACCAATAATACATCAAACAAATCACTACCAACCCATTCAACCAGGTTTACTCCTAACTCACCTGTCCATACAGAAAGTCAGTCTGGTGAATATTCCTATAGTGTGGGCCATATAAGCCACATACCTCGTATCCCTCCTAGTCCTGCCACATATACTATTCCCTCGTTTATAAACAAATGTATAGGTACTGAACATGATAGTGAAGAGGATATATTTGGTATGATAAAGTTAAAGGAAAATGATGTATGCTACACAAATGGCACTATAGAGTGGGTTGGAAGGAAAAGAAGTTTCCCTATAAATAGTGGATTTAAAATACTCAATGAAATAGATAGACCAAGTAATGAACCTCGTTTAAAGAAATCAAAAAGGTTTGATAAGTCATTTACCAATGGATTAAACAAAATTAAAGAATGTGAGTGTGCAGATGTTCTACCAACTGTAAATGCTATAGTTGATCATTTGAATGCTCTACATGAAGCAGTTGATCTTGTAGATTTAAGGCTTGGCACACTGGAAGATGTTATGAGTAAAAATTAATATATATATATATATATATATATATATAATTATTCTATATATGTGATATGGTTTTGTTTGCTATTAAATAGCTTATAATGTTATAATGCAATGAAAGTTGCTTTTCAATAATATTGTTTTTATTATTTTTCATCATAAACATGGATTATATAAATTATTGATTTATTTATATGTATTGAAAATATCTATAAGTAGGAAATAATGTGTGACACTCTTTCAATATCTCGCTGCTGGTAAGTTTCATGTGTCATTAATAATCATTAGTTGTACGATATATAATAATCACATATGTTCTAAATGTTATAATATACTTAACCAAAATCATAAAATATTACAAAAATATAATGTAAACTGCAGTAAAATTAGCTGCTTACAACAAGTTGTTAAATGTTATACAATTATGTTAATCATCTGTCAGGTATTCATATAACTTTCAAATCACAACTTTATATACACATATAGCTAATATTTCTACTGTATACCCACATATGTAGTTTTTTTCCCTGTTTTCTTAATAACATCCAATAGTTGGTCCCCACTTAGTGTAGATTTTACCACTACTTTCTGTTCTGGTAGACTTATAGAAACACTTTCCACACCCTGACCCTTCAGTCTGTTAAGCACTCTCTCTACTGCTGATGAACACCCTTCACAAGTCATTTCCACGTTGAATACATGAGTCTGAAATAAAAGTAATATTTTCTATATTTAAATAAAGTTTAAATAATACTTACATCTTAAGTCATATCTGAGATGTAATCATTGTAACGTTCCGATTTCCAAAATTTATTTTATTGTAGTTATTTCATTAGGATAGGCCTTCAAGTAATTTAGAAAGTATCTATAAAAGGTAATGTTAGAACTACCTTTTTTTATATAATACTATTGTTAACATACCGACATGATGGTGATTTTGTATTCAAAAATTTTATTTAGGACGTATCTTTGTTAAAATTTGATATTATGAGAAAATCTTATCAAATTTGTTGAAGTGTTGATAAATCACATAGATTACAGACAACTATCACTAAACAGCTGTCGTTCGTTTGAGTGAGAAAGCAGTAGCATGTCTTTGTTCTATGCACAGAGTACGTAGGATTCAGGTTGTCAAGCGGTCATTGACCTTTTAGATAAAAATAACGAAAGAATAATAGCTACAGATTAAAGATACTATCTGCGGATTTTAGGTACTAATTGGTACCAAGATAAATGGTATGATAGACGATTTAGCCAATGAAGCAGTTGGGCCGAATCCACAAATTAATGCCATGCCCTCTAAACCGGATCTCTACTATAAATTCGGTCTTTGTTTGTTCTCGCTCCGCTGTCATCATCATCAAATCGACCGTTAACAGCCCACTGCTGAACATAAACCTCTCCTTAGTGAAGAATTTTCCCAGTAGTTGCAACGCTTGGCAGGCGGATTAGCATTCACAATTATGATGATGTTTTAAGAGGAAGCTGCTGCTCATTTCTTAATCATTAATTTCTCGGTATAATTAGTAAAAACCATTTTGAGATTATTCGGAATGAGTCTAGATTGTAATGTGAAATCTTTGACATAGATATTAATATTCTATTAGACCGAAAGCGAACCGAGTACGGCACTGTAGTGCAGATTAGGCCTTACATGCTCAGTATAGAGTTTAAATTATAAAGTGTACGTATGTTCTTTGAGAACGTTAAATTAATTCTATGGTATAGAGGGTACAGAAAATAATTTATGTTGATGGAGACAATTATTTATGATTGTTGTTAATGTCATAGTCCATAGTAGCTAACTTTTTTGCCAAAGTCTTAATAAATAAAAAAGTTTAGACTGTAAAAAAAAAACCACAAGCTGTCATTGTCAATTGTCTGTCATGTCATTGCGATTTGCACCGTATGTCCGTGGGTTGTATTATTTTTATCGTTATTTTCTCTTGAAGACATGATATAATTTCAATTCAAATGAAAACATGTCACTCAAAGAGAATATTACAGAATTTGGATGGTAATTATAACCTGATATTTTCTTATTACATGTCGTCACAATTTTTTTTACAATGACACGCTACTATGTGATTTTTCAGGCATTTGAGTCAAGAAGGTATCGATACTATTAGTGAAAACGGTCAAATTCAAGATGTAAATATCCTTTGTAAAAAGGCGCTAGATGTAAGTATGATATAAGTAATTATTTTCGAATATGAATAGTTAAACGTCAGTATATTGAACTCCCGTTGATGTGGGCTAATGTCATTTCAGTATGATCTTCGCGATGTTGGCGATGCTGCTTTTCCTGAGGATTTTACTAAGGATCCTACTAAACTAGAAAAACCTATTGTAGTTCAAATTCAGAAGATACGTAATGTATCAGCACCTAAAGCCAATGAGGAGTCAACATCAGCTCCTCGGATGTTAAAGTTAACTTTGCATGACGGGAAATCGTCATGTACAGGTTTAGAGACAAGTCCCATTCCAAGTCTCAGTATTAACACTCCCCCAGGAACTAAATTATTACTTAAGAATGAAGGTCTAGAGGTGTGTCATGGGGTTATTTGGCTTTCACCAAGTGTCATATCAGTATTGGGAGGAAAGGTCTCACATATGATTGAAAAGTGGGAGTTGAATCGAAGTCTTGCTAAACACACAAGAGGTTAGTCTACAATAAAGATATTTATTGATACAATTTGACCTTTGTTGATCATTAGTAACTTGCACTGGCTTTGTAACTTTTTTAAATAAAATACAACCTATATCATTCAATAATAATGTAGGTGAAAGAATTTTTAAAATTGGATGAGTAATTGACTTTATATATTATAAATACAAAAAAGCTTTCTTTTTTATAATATTTGATTATACATCATAATCTTTAGAAGAAATCTTTTTTTAACAAAAATTGTACCGTATTTCATTCAAATTCTTTCTACGGTTTAAGTGTGATTGTTTGTGTTATAGCTAAAAGCTTTCTTAATTAATCATATTTATAAAATTAGTAAAGAATTTGATTAAAAAGAAGAAAGTAATTGTTAGGATTATGTGATTAAATCTTTGTTATTATTATTTTAAAAGTAACTGTTCATATAATTTTAAATATTTATAGAGATATTAAGTGTTATAAAGTCTAAATTTGTTTTAACAAATAAGTCAACAATAAAGTGAGACATGTAAGTTTTTGCTCATGAACTCTTGAAAGCAAATTTCTGAAATTGATACATGCAAACATATGAAAGCAGGTTTTGCTACTAATTTACAAACTGAATGTTATTACTTTTTTGTCATTTTATACATAGAATAGGTTTTTGTGGTATCAAGATATATTATCTAGAATATTATAATTCAAGGTACATTATGTGAAAAGATTATAATATGAGACACATTTCTTAAATAATTCTAGGAGGTATAGGAGCAGATGGAGGTCCTCCACCATGGATTCCTTTTGGACAGCGTTTAGAAGCCCTCACTGTAGACAAGCAATTTAAGAGTTTGCAGGAGGCTTCTAAACAGGATAATGCTGAGTTTGAAGCCCAGAGAAAAGGGGCCATTGCTGAGGCACAGAGGTTGTCGGGTGTTAAAAAGGTATAAAAAGTTTATTATTGAAGTGTACTTGTAATGTATATATTAATGATTATAAATAATGTTTAATGTCTAACTGTAACTAAATATATTAATACAATATCAAGTTAAATTTAAAATTTTGTAGAAATTTATGGTTAATAGTAATTTAAAGCCTCATTATACAGTATACGAGGTTTGTCCGGAAAGTACGTATAAAAGTTTTTTAAAAATTTTATTTTACAATTATTCAGGTAAATCAATTTTATCCCCTTCAAAGTACTCCCCCTGTGACATAATGCACTTGTGCCAACGCCGTTTCCACTGTGAGAAGGCTCCTTGAAAGTCCTCTGGTTGTAGGTTTCTCAGCTGCCCCGTCGTAGCTTTTTTTATCTCATTTATGTCCCCCAAATGCCGCCCCCGAAGTACCAATTTGGTTTTTGGGAACAAGAAGAAGTCACACGGGGCCAAATCCGGCGAATAGGGGGGTGTTCGGTAACCGTAATGGAATTTTTACTCAAAAACTCACGGAACGATCTTGGCGCAAATTTTTTTCATTTGAAGTTCGTTTCTTAGAATTTCGTGGACCACGGTTTTGCCCAAATTAAGCTCTTCAGCCACCTGTCTGACCGTTAAACGACGGTCCCCATTAACACAAGTTCGAATTCTTTCCACGTTTTCGTCGGAATGTGAAGTGGAAGGACGTCCTGAACGTGGGTCATCTTGAACGCTTTCTCGGCCCTCTCTGAATCTTTTTAGCCACTTGTGGACGGTTGGTTCCTTCACAGCATCATCCCCATAAACTGTTCTGAGATCGGCAAAAATTTCACGGCCATTCTTGCCGAGTTTCGAGAGAAACTTGATTACGACGCGCTGCTCTTCAACGGAAGCGGGCTCCATGCCGACGGGGTTTCGTTAAGAGGTAACTTCACAGATGGCGTGACAAGCCAGTTCGCACCGCACGGCGGTCAGACCAGAACTGAAGCATTGTTAGGGACATAAGGAAGGGGTCCTGCGCTTACCTGGCCTCCCCACTCCTCTTTCTCGCATTCCAGAACACTTTTATACGAACTTTCCGGACAGACCTCGTACAGCCAAGAAGTCTACTTGAATAAAGAATTTGACACACAAGTAATTTTCATTTGCATAATTTCTTAGTAAAAGTAGTTGCCACAAACAATATATTCTATGTTGAAATTAGGATGCACACATTCTATGTTGAAATCTTTAAACTTTTACTTGTATTATTGTTAATACATTACATTTTTATTCTTTTATATAGAATGTACAAAATTGTAATTAGTTGCATTTGTATTTTTAGGTATTTGGTGGTGGTACAAAACCATTGTTGGATGCAAATGTACAGAAGATTGTTGATGCTGGTTTTTCAGAAGAACAGGCAGAGAATGCTCTCAAATATACTAAAAATAATGTTGATAGGGCATTAAAAATATTGCAGAAGAGGGACAACTCTGAAAATAGAAATAAAGAGAAACCACAAAAGGAACCAGATCAACCTAAGAGGAAGGGTAGAAATAAGGAACCTAATGATGAGGACAATATTCCTGTGAAACCATCTGGAAAGGTCTCATTGTTTGATTTCTTAGAAGATAAGCTACCAAATGTACCAGAAAAGGACAGGAATAATCGGCAATATAATCCAAACACAGAAGAAAGGAATGATAGGAATTTCTCAAGTAGAGAAAAAAGCAGTGCCAAAAACAATTCTCGAGCCCAGGGGTCACGGTATGATAGTTCAAACCGTCATAGATCTGAAAATAGAGGGCATTACTCAAACGATAGTCATCACTCATCGCATAGAGAGGATCGAAAATATCAGTCCATAAATGAGAAACCACCGAGATTCCAAAAGAAACTAGAAGAGAAAAACAAGCAGCATCAGCAGCAGCAACAACAACAACAACAGCAACAGCAACAGCAACAAATGAACAATATGAACATAAATATGAATTTGCCATACAACAATTATCACAACCAATCTCCTCATTATCCAGATAGAAATATGCGTAGTGATAGAAGTATCAATGAGAACAAAGTCCAGCAATCTCAAAACTACCGCGGCAATCCTAACATAGACAGCCTAGTCGAGGCAACTGCCAACCTGAATATTTTATCAAACCAGTCACGGCCGTCTGAGGAAGTCCAGCAGCAAAGAGGCTATCAGCCTCACCCAGAGCGAGCGTACCAGAAGCAGTCATATGTTTCAAGCCCGAACATGGCCGAGATACCGCCGTTCAGAAGAAACAATGACATGCAAAAGTACCAGGAGCAAACATATCAGCGGCGGCAACCACAACCGCAACCGCCCAACGGGTACATGGAACCACAGCAGAGCCAGATGTACCCTAGTGTAAACTACATGGCGGGTGCGCAGGGCGGCTACGGCGGACGGCAGTTCGGGTACGGCGCGCGGCCTCAGGAGTTCGGGCTGCGCGGCGCACCCTTCCTGGCCGGCTCGCTGCTCGGCTTCCAGAACGCCGCCGTCAATGAGCAGGCGCGCGCCATGCTGGCCACCGCCGACATCAGCTGGAAGGTCGGCGATCGCTGCCTCGCGCTTTACTGGGAGGACAATAATGTGAGTTGCTCTAGTGGCATTTATTACTGTTAGTTGCGCGAATTGAGTATCTGTCTGAGATTTTGTCTTTTGATCGATTGCGAAAACTTTAATTAAATTTGAGAAAGCTTTTGTAATATTAATATTAAAGACTTTAAATTAGTTAATATTTCATGTTTCAGTTCTATGAAGCCGAGATTACTGGGATTTCTGCCAACACTGTAGTAGTAAAATTTTGTGCATATGGTAATCATGAAGAAATTTTAAAGTCTAACTGTTTGCCCTTCCCCAACCAAGGTAATTAATAATATTTTATTATTTTCATGCATTCTTTTTGTTATCTGTGCCACTTTTGTTTATTTGTACATTATTTTCACGGAAAAAAATTCTATATAAGGAATTGTTGCAGCGTCGGGCCATAATAACGGCGGGTATATGTCGCGAGCGGCGCGCCGGCCGTAGTGCCGCGCCGCGGCGTGGCCCGCCGCCGCCGCCGCCGCCGCCGCTGCCGCCGCCGCTGCCGCCGCCGCTGCCGCCGCCGCGCTCGCTTGATGCGCCGAGCCGCCCGCGTCTTCTATCTATAGGCCTATATGAGTTTCGACTGTCTACGCAGCACTAGGTCGAATATGCGCCGTCTCTCATTCTCGGATTTAGGGAAGTACCGTTCGCTATGCGTTTTAGGTGTAAGATTTTACGATTATTTAGGAGAATGAAGAAAATCGAATTGAAGACGAACATTTTCTCGAAGTCCGAATGAATGAATAATGACGCAAAACAAGTAGAGTTGAAATTTTACTTTTACTAGTTGAGATTTTGTAAAGGATTTAATAGTATTTATTGTATGGATTTAATAGTGTTTAATTAGCTCGTTTGCCCATCTGTAACTTCATACTTTCATAAATCACTTTAATCATCAGTATTGATCATTGGTTAGCATTAATCCACTCTTCACTGCACTCACTTGAGTTATAGAAATAACCTTAACTTTAGGACTATTTAATTTAAGGTTATTTTCTATTTATTTCAATATTATTAAATTTAAATGTCTTTAAGAAGTGGCAAAATGAAATTTTTATAATTATGTCTTGTTTATTTTTTATGTCTGACTGTTTTCAAAGTATCAGAACTTATACAGTATAATGTCAATCATGATGAAACTTTAGAGAGGAAGCTTAGAATGATTTCCGTTTTGAATTGATATAAGCGAACAAGTTTAATTTCTTAAAGGGCTCTCTATACATGAAATACAAAAATGTATTTCTGAATTTATCAAGAGAAATGATTGAGCAACACTTTCGAGATTTATGAAGTTAAAAATATTCTCGGATAATTTGGTATGAGATTTAACTAGTTGCTTAAAAGATTAAAACAGCTGTAGAATTCTGTCAACAATAATCTCTTCCCTTACGATTTTGATTTGTATATGAACAACTATGTGTTTATAAAACTTATATATTCAAGTTATTAAAATTACCAAACTAACGAAGTCCATTGTCCAGCAGTCATCACAAATCTGTAGTGTTATTTTGCATAATAATTATAGAGTTGTGTAGCAAAGTGGATTGGTTATTGGATTCATTAGTCGAGTGTGACTCACAATAGAACAGAGACGAAAAAACATGCTCAAAAGAGTTTGTTAGCAGTTTTTCCCAAAATAGCAAAACTAAAAACTTTGTTGTAACTGTAACACTATTCATTAGTCATTATTTTTTGGTTCCACTAATTTAAAATTTCTTCAGACATTCAAAGGTTGACTGGAAGAATTCCCTTGTATGGGATAAGTCCGCCATTGTACTCATTTTTTTCTTAAGAAATCTGTATCCTGTAAGATTTTACTATACAATAAAGTGTTACAAATAAACAAATTTTTGATGTAGTTTTTGCATGATGTTATTAGGTCAGAGAAGATTCTTAAACATTTACTGACAGACTACTAGAGGACGCTATACTAATTTTATTTCTCCCAATGTTTTTTTTTTTTTTTTTAATATGTATTCTTTCGATAATTCTCTCTGTCGAAAGTTTAATAAAAAAAAAGTGGTTTTTGGTTTATATGATTATGTTTATTTAACTTAATTGCATCCTATGATACTAATAATAATATAGAGTATAAACTGTGTACTATTGTTAATTGGTAGAATGAGTTGATTAATGAATTACCAGATAAGCCAAAATTTCACATGGGGTCGTTGCAATGTAACTTTTCAACTCTATTCAGTCTGTCACCGCACACATGGCTGTGTAGCTTCCGTTAATTAATTTGCGATTTGTAGAACTATTATACCATATATTATAAAATTATTTCATTACACTTCTTTATTTAAATTTACTCACATATACAGGCACTTTTAAAATGCTAATTGCGTTCTGCATCTTTATTTCGCTAAAACGATGTGATTGTTGAATAATTTTTGACGCAACAGTCGAAAACGCGAATTAAATGCAAAGTTATGTTAATTTATGTTTTGTGGTATACATTACCGGCACTAACGTCTACTATATAGCTCTATATGTAATTCCCTAGTGAATACGAACCGAAATAATTGTCTTTGTTCATCATTATCATTTGTGGATTTTTTCATTTATACTGTCTTTATTCACAAACAACGATTTTCACTTTCAATGAAGTGTAATTGCACTTGAACACTATTCGCTATTGAAATTCAATTATAAATTATGATCATTGTGCTAGTTTCTATACATTTGCTAATTTAAATTAGAAGGAAAGTAGTTGACGTGAAGTATGATTTTGCATTCACTGTGAAATTAAACGTGCTACTTATGAAATATCACATTTCTGCTAATGCGTTCATTAAGTAATGAGAAAAAACGACTGCTAAATTTTTGGTAGTCATTAGACTGATATTACACCATTAGGTGAAGAAGAGAACTTCGTGCACATAGGAATTAAATTTCGATAATTTTTTATATTTCTGTACTAAGCGATATATATATATATATATTCCACTGTTTCATTTTAACGTTATGCTGGCGACTTTATACGTTAACTGTACTCGTATGTATTTTTATGCGTTTATTATTGAACTATCAATAAATTTATTTGGTCAACAGGCAGAGTAAAAGATACTCGCTAGAATTTGTGTAACAATATTGGATTGTTGTACAACGCTTAATAATCCAATTGATAAATAAAATTTAATTTAAAACTTATTGCATTCTTAGCATCAATAGCGGTATGAAATTCGACAAGCTCCCGTCTAATTACTGTTTCTGTTCAAAATTATATTATATTTTGATTTAAAACAATGAACAATATTTACTAATTTCGGTTCTAAAATCAATAAATTAAATAAGCCTAATCTTGCCGTCTCTGTATAAAAAAATCATCGCATATGTGTTCAATTCAACGTAATATAGAATAAGGTTTATTGTCCAAGTGTGCACTGCCTAAAGTATAATTGTAAAATACGAACTACCTATGGTTCCACAACATGACATCTTGTACATACATACGTAAAATTAAATGAAATTACAACTTTATAATTTCCGGAAGCTGCACGGCTCATGTGATGCGACTAGATCTAGTTTACGCGTAAGGGCCTGAACGGACGAGGGATCGTTCACGGAGGACAAAATTCCTCGTTGTTTTCGCCAGGGTTTAACTTTGGACTTGTGTGTTATGCAATACATATATTCTATTTTGACGGACAAACAGTACACCGAAATCAGTCCCTCGCCTGCGCAAGCTCTTATTAAATGTTATAATTAGGAACGTAACATAAATAATGTTGTAACTCTATGCGTCAGCATTAATTTATTGTCGGTATGTATGTATGTAACCATCACGAGTAGCGTGTAGCTTGTATAAGTGTATTTTGTTATAATTTAGCGCAAAACATGTAATATATTAAAATAATTTTCAGTTTGTTAATGATATACTTTCAAAAGTATTGGTTCACTTCACCAATGTATAAATATAATATTAATATAACTACGTGGAGAAATAAATGTTTTTAAACTATCCGTGTTTATCGAAATGTTTACAACAAATCTGAATGTACTAACTTATACTTACATCACTGTAGTAAATATACGTAATTGTTTTGCTGTTTAAATTTCTAAATAGCGCTAAAAGAAGGGACTTATTGTTATGAGACCTCTCAATAACAGGAAGATTTGATAACATCTTTTCCCTGTAGCTTATCCGATTTATATTCCGTTAGCTTATCCGATTTATATTCCGTTGCGTCATGTCACAAAATCGAACATTATAAATGTCGATTGACTTGATTCGATTCTTATTACGTATTTTTTTCAGAGCCTTTGGTGGTGCGTATATGTTGGTATGCTTTTTTTTTTACTTATCGCGCAAAGTTAGTGCATGTACCAATATTTTCATTGTCCGTTATAAAACCTTTTTTTTAAATGTACCATATATACCTGTCTGTTTTATAGCATTCCATACTGAGAACGGTGCGGCATGGCATGGTAAAGAATTATATTCTATAGATAATAATGACAAAAAAAAAATAAAGATATTACCAACGTAACTGATAAAGAATCGTGGTTAGAACTTGCAATTATGAACTAAGCAGATTAAGCAAGTTTATGCTATGTATACAAAAGAAAAGTGATAAATACACTTAATTTTTTTTATATAAGTGCATATAATATTTAAAAAAAAAAACAAATCAGCACAAGTAGTCACACTCATAAATACTCGTACAAAATGTTTGTATTGATTGTCCGAGGATAGAATTGGCAACCATCGAATGGTGCCACCAAGATTGCCAGTATGAAGCCTTTATTATTTCAAATTGTTTTTATTTGCGATTCATTAATATTTCATAATAAAAAAGACGTGTTTTTTATTAAGAAGTTTTCAGCTGTTGGTTTTTCTTTAATAAAAATAAAATAAATGAAATTAAAACAAAATTGGAGTAATAATAATAACCATATAACTAAAGGTGGTATATTGCTACACCGAGGCATTTTATGGCGTTTATTTATAGTGACATAAACTTAGTACGCAGTACAAGCACGAGTAGTATAGAGTCGTTGAACGCGTGGTGTAGAAGTAGGTTCATCATGGTACAATCCGTGGGTTGGGTTTTTAATTAGTATCCTATTTTTTGTTACTCAATGACTTTTAATCAATCAAATTGTTACTAAACGAATGAACAGATTTGAATTTAATTTGGTACACAATTGTCCATATCCTAGATAGTTTTTAACCTAATCTATGCAGGCAAAGTCACAGGATACAGTTAGAGTCAGTTATACATATTTCACATATCAGTTTGTTTTAATAAAGGACAGAATTGTATTCTACGTTATCTTGACTAGTTTCACTTGTCGTGTCATGCCGCCCTACGCCGCTGTTAGTGAACGTCAGCCCTAAGCCAATCCAATATGTGTTCCGAGATAATTTTGTTATTCCTATGTTTTTGTCTTATTTAATTTTGTCTAGCATGCAGTGGATATCCTACTTGAAATTCGTCATAATACAGTAATGATAAACAAAGGTGTGACGAGACCTATTTAGCATGTTACTTTGTTTATTACCGGATGACAGTTAAAAATTAATGTTTGTGTCGCGCCCTCGCACGAATCGTGCAAACGTTAAAAAGTAGAATATGGCTGTTATGTTTTACAAGTTTTGAGGGTTATTAATCGTATTGTTTTGATTGATTACGTGTAATTTTGAGGGTTTTGCTATGTAATATACAATGAACTCGAAATATCTAAAGATTGCAAAAACATATTGAAAAGGTAAATATAGAAAAAATGTATTTTTAATTGCAACAGTAGCAGCTGACAAAGTATTGTAAAAACGAGCTCAATTCCAGTATCATAAGTTATTTATATTTATACTTTAAACCTATGTAACATTAATCAGCATTACGTTTATACTGATTTTTCTGTTGAGTTAAAATAACCATTTATTAACAAAAAAACTAATAAAAGAAACCATATTACACTGTTGTTTAATTTTCATTTAAGAATAAAAACGAACATAACGCTTCACTATTGAGGACAGTTGTACTTTTGTCACGTCTATGACTTAGTTCACATTTGTAGTAATTAAAAAAAGATCTCTACAGAAAACCCAACTTTTGTTACAAAAACTAAAACAATAAATAGTTCTCTTGTAAACTTTCCTGTTGTGTAAAACGTTCTGTAAAACGTTCTGTATTTTTGTGCAACTGAGTTCTAAGTAATTAGCATGTACGGACAGGCCATCGACCAATTGTACATGTACTATGTGTATCTATATATGTGGAAATAAAATATGTGTTCATTACTTATGATGTATACATCATTTATCATTTATACAAGTATGAAGGAAGTCATCATAAAATGTCACCTTTGCACTAATTGGTCCTTTGAGCCGGATCGTTGTAAAGTTGTGTAATGAATATTTTTATTAACTATGCAGTCGCTATCATAAATAAAAAGTTGTTTGATTTTTATTTGTCAACCGCCTTCTATATCGACAGTAATAATATTGTGATTTGAAGGTAACTTTTTTAAATTGAAAGAATTTTTTTCAACAGCTATGTGAATGTGCAGATTAAACACAAAAAAAAAAGAAATTAATTTCTCTCTAGGCATGGAAAAATATTTTTATTTTGTGTGACTATTTAATATTAGAACGGCTAGTGACCCGAAATGGGCAAAGTGCGTGATCACAGCCCAAACAACAAATTAATTACGGCCGGTAGTTGGGTCACCCTTGTCACATTTTTGGTGCATTCACTTTATCAGATTATAAATAAATAACTGACAATGTTACTTCTATTAATTAATTAAAACGACTGTTTAGTAATTAAATGGCTACAATATTATAAATATGAGTAGTATCTATTAACTATATATGTTAAGATAGAAATTTATTTGAATCGCGACTATTATTAGATATTTAAGTGTGTTAGTAAAATTCGTTTTTATTTTAGAGGCTAGTTTTTATTAAAATTAATATTTTAGTTGGAAGATTTTTGCAGCCAGAGCATCCTGTACGCACCTTACCGTAACTCCCATGGTAGGAATACCATATGAACATAATATATGTAGACTACTGATAAGGTGATACGTTTTCATTTTCAACCCATTAAAAACTATTCAAACAAAATATAAAAGCATTATAAATTATAACGAATATTTACTTACATTCTATTATAATTTACCTTTTATTAGATTCATAAAAATTGTGACTCTGTGAATATATATATTTAAAGTGGCGAATGTAACATACCCGTAAGTTATCCTGCCCACGGCAATAACAGAATTAAATCGCACATTAACTTAGTTGACCTAGTTGCAGGTATAAATAATTATGCCAAGAGAACCTTCGAAGGCAGTTTAGCCATAACGTGGAGTCGGTGGGGCGTCGCGTGTCTACCACGACCCACAACACGACAAACAAACCAGTTGCATTCGTCCCACCGACTACAACACACCTGTCGTGTTCACCGATCGAGTAAATAAACAATAGTGAATGAACCACGCACGTTCGCTGTAGTAAATTGTGTAGTGACGTGAAAGTAAAAGTTATGGTAAAGTGAAACCGTATTGTATCGGCCCTAAGGAAGATAATACTGGATTTCGCTCGGCACTAGCGACCGCTACAAATTGTAAGGTGAATCTAGTAAATTGTTTTCGTTAAAGATTGCCGGTGTGGCTGGGTCGTATGAACAGGTTTAGATTCTAAGTAAAAATAACCACTTGGTTATCATATCAGATTAAAGATTTCAATTCTTATGCAGGTTTAGTATTAGGTTTTTTAATTATTTTCAGTATTTTTACTTTGAACAAATAAAAATAGGGATTTTTAACAACTTTCACTTATCTATAACATCAATAAGAGAAGGGATTAGTCGGACCTTGTATTATCCAGTGTTGCCTTGAAGCGAGTTGCGTCCGCACCTCACGTAACTTCTCTCTTGTACGTGTTACTACTCCGGTAATGCAAGATTCATATGAGTACTACACTACCTATATTCTCGACACACATACCTAAACAATGACACAAGTCACAAGTGTGCCATAAGAAATACCGTAAATTGATGTGTGGGCGTCGAAATAACGCCTGATCCTAAGTACTTATACATTATTATATAGGTGTGATCATAACTCAAGCTTGTATGTTAGATGCATACGTTATTTAGTAAGATTTCTTTTTATTGAAATATCAAAGACAAAAATGAAACGTTTAGAAGCTTTCATAATGCGCAGCTAATGATCGAATCATTAGCTGCGCATATGAAAGCTTCAAAATTTTTTCTTTCCGCTCTGAGAATTAACGATATTTTTTGTTATAGTAATAAATTTATTAAAATATTAGCTATAATTCAATTTTATCATAGAAATTTATAATTATTAGGTATGTCTGATGGTCATAGTTACGCACTATTGTTACATGACTTTGTATAAGTCGTTTATATCAGCAAATGTGTTTACTCTTTAGTACATGTTTTGGTTTAAAGTATGGGATTTAGCAAAATAAAAATAAGTAAAATACAATAAAATAAAAAAGAATCGACAGAAGCATAACACTTTAGTCTTCAATAAGTTTTTATTGCATAAATCATGGCATGGGGATGGCAGTTTATTTATCTTATGAAACCCATCGTGTACTACACTACACTGTTCTCTGTATGCAACCTTTGATAATACCATGATACGGCAAACCCTACAGGTCATATAATTGATCCAGTAAACATTCTCTTACCTCTTACCGTTACCTCTTATTATCCTATCAATTCAATTCAATTTTATTCTATAACAGTATTACATTGTGTTAAATATGAAAGGATTTTTAGTCTGTACAAATGCAAAATCATGAACATGCAACAATTTTACATATTAACAATGTCACATACAAATATGATAATAATAATTAGTCTAAATTAATGAATTAATAATAACAAAAAATTTCAGTGAAAAATCAAGTAACTATATACAATTCACAATTTATATATTTCTAAAATTCATTTATTGTGTAAATACATTTTTCCAAAAGAAGGGCATGGAGTTTGCTTTTTAATATTCTCCAATTTTGGATAGTTTTCAAAGCAATTGGTAATCTGTTATACAACTTCCTTCCCTGATATTGCGCTCCATGTAAAACTACGTTTAATCTTTCAAGTTAAAGCAAACGATACAAATTAACAAAATTTCATTAAAATTGGTTGAGCGGTTTCAAAGATGGATGTGAACAAACATCGTAACACGGGATTTTTATATAATATTATATGGGTGAGTAGTCTAGATTAGTGACGGGTAATATATAGCAATTTCTATATATTTTAATTAAAATGTCTATACACTGGTGTAATAACCGACCGTTATGAGCGATATCGAAATGGGTGATGACCTTTTTTCAATGTCCAGAGGAACTCAATATATAGATATCGGATCGGTATCCATATTACCCATATTTAGTCTAGATCATATGCTTATAGAGGTTTTATAACAATTATTATATACTAGTTTGTACCCACAACTTCGTCCGCGTAACCAGGATATGTCTATTAACTGGGATAAACAGTAGCCTCTATCCTTCTCTACCCCATATATTATATGTAACTATTTCAAACAAATTGGTTAATGTGATATAAAGTAACAAACAAACAAACTCACTTTCATATTTATAATATTAAAATTCTGTGGTAGCAAAATAAATAAGTAGGTACCTACTATTAGGTACAATGAAACAAATTTGGAAAGAGGGTAGAAATTTAAATTTGTTGATGTAAAATTCACGGATTGATGTGTAAATATTATAGTGTCGAAATTATTTGAATTATATAATTATCTTGAAAACAAATATCATGAAGCATAATCTGTATTTAGATTCGAAAAATATGTTTGTATCTGGCCAAAAGGAAAAGAAAAAAACCGAATCATATTGGAGGTGAGAGCGCGGGTGCATAGATTTAGTGATTGCGACGTTATTAACGTCTAAACTAAAATTATTAAAATGGTATTATATCCTAAATTATTATGAAATACTTAGCGTTTGATTACTTAGCTAATTTAATAAATATAATAATAGACAGCTTTATCAAATATCTACTATTTTTTAATATAGATAGTAAATGATTTCGATTTTAATTCATTGGTTTTAAGTTTTAAGATCAAGTAGAGAAACAATAAAGAAAAAATAGTATACAATTAGCTTCATATAAGTGCGTAGCCACATGTAGGTATATTGTTACCATACTTAGGATGTAAGGAAGCCTACCTCTATGCCAGTTGAATTTTGGATATTGAAAATATTTTTATTATTTAAAGATTCCTAATTAATTAATTACTTATTACTAAATTTCAACAACAATTGAACATTAAAAAGAAAAGTGTTTATCAATCCTACTCTTATTATAATTTTATTTTTTACGTCTCTTGGGGTCTAACTAATCAATTTGAAATTTTGCGTACGCGGAGTACCTAATTCAGATGTAAATTTATGTGGGCTACTTTTTATTTCGATCAGGAGGACAAATGGTATGACAATGGTAGTATTTTATACATCTAAAGCTGCGTGTATCCAACTTAGTTTTTATAACTTTTTAATACATAATTATTTTAGATGCTTATGTATTTATTCTTGCATTACTTATGGGTTACTTTGAAAATATTGTAGAATAAAAATTAGTTTTGTTGATACTTGCAAAATTTAGTAGTGTCATAATGAATAATATCATCATTGTTATATTTAATTACTATGATTAGGCACAAAATGGACCGATGAAAATACAACCCCAAGAAAATTGCATATCAAATAGATTTGAATATAAACAACGTAATTTTTAGTTACGTTCACCACAACGTAAGCACAAAACTCTATTACAATCGTGATTTTTATTATAATTGCAGAGTAGCAATGGGAATGGGAGGAGCAATGGATAGCTGTGGCCGTTGTATGAAGTTCTCTCTAATATGCATCAACGTCATCACTCTAGTAAGCCAATATTCCACCTTCGTGTTACATTTAAACGAGGTCAACCCATTTAGATCATTATCTGAAATTTCTACGAGAACTAACTACGTGACTGTTACGAGGGGTGAATAACGGTCAAGTATTTTACGCGCCATTTTTTGATGGGCGTTTAAATGAATTATTTAGTTGATGAACTTTTGCCACTAAACCAATTGCTTTCCATATATCTTTTTTGTGTTTACATAATTCAGTGACTTATTGGTTTGAATATATTATAAATAGAGTTCCAAATACTTTTTTGTATGTATACAGGGCAGAATCATCAAAATCGATTTAAAATTAAAGCCAATTATGTGAGATAAAAAAATAGTCATCCCTTATGGGCATGGACGTAACTTAGTTATTACATCGAAACGGAGAACCTTCTTGTACATACATTATAATATTTGTATTATTCCACAATTTTATTTTTCATTACCATAAAGTTCAGAATAGAGTTTTTATTAAAGATAAAAATTCAATATGTAATTATCAGAGTGCCAGTGACAGGAGGGTAATATTTATTTAGATTAAATACTACATCTAAGAGTGGGGTAAGAGTATGGGTCGAAGACTATAGAATACGTTTGTGTTACTAGGTCGGTGGCGCCCTAGCCCTAGGTATAGGACTATGGGTGTGGACGTCTCGCTCATTCTCTAGCACGTTGCTGAGCAACAACATGTTCATAGCGTCTGTGGCGGTCGTAGTGGCCATGGGCGCCGCCATGATGCTGCTCTCGCTGCTGGGCTGCTGCGGCGCTGCCAAGGAGGTCAAGTGTATGCTGCTTACGGTATGGATACTCTGCGAGTGCAATAGATTTATATGTGCATTTTTTGTATAGCTTAATTACTTCATAATCGACAATTACATAGTGTTTATAAGTAAAGTATTTGCGAATTTATAATGGGCGCAGATTCTAGTAATTTTATAATAACGATCACAAGCCCTATTATTAATTTGAATATGTAATTATCAATCTTTTTTTTAACTCTTTAAATGAAATTAATTATAGTTTTTTTTTTATTAATATTTAAAGAAAGCGTAAAGTACACGATACGACATTATTCATGTCTGTATATTCCCAAGTCAGTTGGTGTTTAACTAAAAATTACTACCTATTCATTATATGCCCATTTTTTTTTAATTAGGCACATCCATCAACTCGATACGATAATTAATATATATTTATTAAATTTCAGTACTATATATTGGTGTTCATCATATTCGTGGTGATGTTGGTGGGCGGGATCCTGCAGTTTGTGTTCCGCGAGAAGGTGCTTACGACTATCGACCGTGAGATGTACGCCGCCATACCGTACTACGGGGTGAAGCATGAGTACACTGTGGCATGGGACGACACGCAAATGTACCTACAGTGTTGCGGGGTTAAGAGCTACAAGGATTGGAATGACAATTTTCCGGAAAGTTGCTGTCGGGAGGTGTATCCTGGAAAGGTACATATATAACTTGTTAACCTATGTAAATCTCAAGCCATCATAATAGGCAGAAGCAGACTTAAAGCAAGCTTATGTCTCAGATGCTACCACTAGTATAGACGGTGTCCCTTTGGTATACACAAAGTAAAAAACCTAGGTATAATCATGGACAGCAACTTCTCTTGGTCCTCTTCATATATACTGCATTGAGTTAACTGAAAGAGATGTTTTACAGAGATAAGCCTATTCTTGCTAACAAGATGTTAAACTAATCACTGTTCTTTTTTTAAAAGTTTGTAAATATGAGAAGTGTGATAGTTAATTTTTGTTAAGTTCAGCACGTAAGTAACACATGCAAATTTTACAGAACTTGAAATGGTAAGCTAGTTGTCGATTTACTTAATAGCAATATTCATGCCCAATTTTGTTCTTTTATACTCGTTACAATTCGAGTTAACATGGTATATATATTAGATAATATCATTTCTGTTATGACAGTGAAATTACAAGGTACGGACGCAGGATTGGCAACGCTTGAGGGGTACCACGGATATCGAAGTACATCTGTATTATGAAATCAATGATGCTATTCTTGTGTATAGCCAATATTTACCACTTTCAATCACGTGGTTCAACAGTTTGATTACCATTCCAAATTGCGTAATAAAAAAATATTTTTTTTATATCTGTTAGTCTACTAAACATTTCACTTCACCATTATTATATACTTTTATTATATTATACGAATATACACGTACTTGAAATATTTGAAATCAAGTCAGAAAGGCCTCTATTGCGAAAGCTCCCCCGAAGAACTAAGTCAACAAGTACTAACATATTTAGTTGTACATACTAATAAAAATTCCATGATTTTAATTATCTAATAAAAATGAATAATTAAATGATTTTATTTCCCAGCGACTGGATTGCAAGGCTTCTCAGAATCCAACCACTATGTACGTGGACGGTTGCCTAAATAAAGTGGTGGATTTTCTCCGTGAAGATGCAGTGTATGTTGGGGCCGCCGCCATCGTAGTGGCGTTGATAATGGTGAGACCCAAAATATGTTTTTTTTTTTTTTACAACACAGGGGGCAAACGAGCATGCGGCTCACCTGATGGTAAGTGACTACCGCCGCTCATGGTCACCCACAACACCTACGGCATTGCAGGTGTGCTGCCGGCCTTATTATTATTATGTATATTTCGTGTACCATAATAACGTCTTTCTCATAATTTGCTTAAAATAATTTAACAATATAACTATTTATGTATAACTAACAAGTGTTATGTAAAAAATAAAAACCCCTACCATTTTTCGATAAGCTGGTAGAGTACATCTAATGCTGATTTTGTACATATGACTGTACTTAGATCTATTCGCTAAAACCACAAAGCAATTAATAGGAAAGCATCGGAGTAAACTATTAGGATCATTGTTTTTTTGATAAATCCCACCTAAAAAAAGATGTTATTTCATTCCAAACTAAGTTTAACTTTTAGATTCTTTTGACCCTTCAGTAGGCTCGACCAAGGTCCAAGTGGCACTAAAAGTCGTCAATAAAGAGTCATATCATATTCGCCATTAGAGGTTTAGACCGAACGAATGTCGTCACAAGAAATTGTCTCATTCTATGTATAAAACAAGAATCTAGAAACTTTTCCTATTGGTTTGTTTTTTAGGAAAAATTATCTAAAAACACCAAATAGACTCAGGCCGTGGAGGCTCAGGCCGCATTTCTGGATCTTTGGCCCATCATATCAGATAGAAATCTTAAGGTTTTGATGGAGTTTAAAATTTATATCTTAGATTCGTCTTAATTTTGTAGATTACTTAACAACAGTTGTAAATTAATATAATAAACCTAAACTTTTAAAAATGTTTCATGTGATTTTGTTATATATGTTTGTTTCAGCTATTGGCGTTAATATTATCATGTGGTTTGTTCGTGAAAATAGAGTGACTGCGATAAAGAAGACGATTTGTGACTTACATATTAATAATGATAATAATAACATTGACTGTTTTTGATTCTGAATGTTTCATTATAGATCGTCGCTTCGCATTATATTGGTGCATTACGATTTTTTCTAATTTATGTGTAATTTATAAATTAAATAATATTTAAATGTAATTTTTCTTTTATTCTTCAGAGTTATTGAGAGTTTTTATGTAAAATAAAATGAGATTGTTTAAAGGCAAAAGGACAACGGTTCTCAGAACAGTAATTTTTGGTGAAATTGTGACATGAATTTTTAGCATTTTCCAGTTAGTGAATAGTACAAAATCCAGGAGCAGGTTTTTAGTGAATGGTTTTATTTATATCACACTTCGTCAATTATAAACTGTTTCTGTCAATTATTTCTGCAATCGTATTGATTGATCCAACATTAGTATATTTCACGATTTTTTTTTCTTGGAATATTGTGTAATGTTGCAATGGAGTCATAAACAAGTTTATTTGACGAAAAAGTCTTAAATTACTAGATATATAGAATCCGTTTTATTTTGTATACAAAAATTTGAATTTATTAATTTTATTTTAAATGAGAACAATCTTTTTATATGCAAAGTATAATAATTATCGAAGAATAAACAAAAGCAAATTTACAACAATACGTTCTATCACTTCTGTGCCTTCCTCCGGGGCGGGAACTTAATAGTATTCTCATTGCCTGGCTTGAACTGTCCGGTGCGAGTGTACCATCCACATTGGCGGATAATGCAATCAGTGGTGGTAGTCCCGAGGGGCAGTCCCAGTGCGCTGATTCTTTCTAAGGCTTGTGCGGGGCCTCCAACTATCTATTATATGTTCGTTTATTGTACTATACCTCCAAATTAATCGTAAAAATAACCATTGTTAATAGTTGCCATGTAGGCGGGTTGGCAACCGCAGTTAAGCCCTGGATATGTTTTAAGATGGACGCAGCTACCTATCCCTCGACCGTTAGTTTCCCTTAGTTGCCGCATATGACTTCTACGGGAAAGGACGGGGTGGCTTATTCTATGCCGGAAGTACACGACGAAATTTGTTATCGATTAATTTGGATGAATATTTGTTACAGTCAAAATACTAATACTAAAAGTTAGTTTATATCATAAAAATTTACCGTATTTTTCTTTCCGAAAAGTTGGTTGTCCGAATCGTTTATCAATGGCTACCCCGATTACTACATTTTTCTTCAACTTGAAATAGAAAACAAGCTGATTGAAGTAGTAACCGTCACCTATAGACTTGAACAACCATATGAAAATTAAATAATATATTGTGACAATTGTAATACCTTATTTTATCTTAGTTTGTCTTTAATTGTACGGTTATTACCCTTATACAATCTACAGTTTTCTTTCAGCTTCTCAAAGGTTGACTGTAAGAGATCCCTTTATGGGATAAGTCCGCCATTGTATACTAAATCATTTATCAGTGTTCAGTTTGAATTATGTACAATAAAGATTTTACAATACAATACAATACCTTTTATGTTCTGCCATTCTTGAGTAGATACTAATTTGATGTAATGAAATTACAAAAAATAAAAATTATTAATACCTATACTACCTACCTATTCTATTTTTCAGTAACTCGGGTGAATCAACAAATACTAACTCTCCCAAAAACGACGTGTTTTCCATCGAACTGTGATAAAGGCTTGAAAATAATGTTGAATTGTCCGCACACTTCGTTGTCTGAACTCACCACCATGGACAGTACACCTGTAGCCGAATACATCATTTTAATGTTTAGGCTAATTTATTAAATTCAAATCATCTTTATTCAAGTAGATTTATATTATTGTCAGTATAAATAAAAAGATGTAGTTTTTGTTAATTGAAAAGACTTTTATGATTTGGTAGGTATCTAATATATGTATTTTCGCTGGGAATCAGCAGCGAGCGTATTTTTGTACAAGCTTATCTGTTTAAAGCTTGGAATAGATAAATTTAAAATATAATTATATTTTAAATTTTAAATAACGAAAATTTTCCCTTCACTGACCACTTACATTTACTATTAAAAAAAAAATGTGATATCTGATTGAATAAAAAACGTTTACCTTCTGAGTTGTCACTACTTATGATAATGTCATAAACGAGGGGGAAGGGATTGTTAGTAATGAGATCTAATAGTTTTATTGCTAACAATTTACACTAGCATGTCGATTTCCACGCGGTTCCTCCTTGAAACCTATGTGATTTATTTTAATGTATGAAAATGGAATGGTAACCCCACTTGCGCTAAATTCGTCACGATGGGCCAATTAATCTACTTCATTCTGACCTATTATCTCTCACTGGTAGCCCGCTAGCGTATACCGATATCGCAGTCAGGGTTACTATTCCATTTTTATCCATTAAAAATGTCATAAAAAAGAAGAGTTAAGAAAAGTTACCCACCAGGTACTGAATGTTTGAGGCAATAGCTTTCAGCGCCCATCGGCTCCACCTCGCCGTCGGGTAAGTAACACCCGAAACCGTTATTTTTCGTGACGTCTCCACCTCGGCAGTATAGGTTTGGAACGACTCTGGATTAATAATGAATACCAGGAGAAATGGACTTTTAATGATGGGGGCCAGCGATCCCATTAACAATAGTAATGAGATCATTGGTCTCCGTTGGTGGTTGGTTAGTAAAATAAATAGCCAGGTTGACTTCCACGTGGATTCCCTGGAAGCTATCGTGGTTAACTGTTAATAAATTTGTCACGATTACCAACTAACCTGTTTTCATTCAGATCTATCATTTCTCAGCGTATTCGTTTCATTAATATTTATTTAAAAAATATTGAATACTTTTGGAATAGATGTACGTGGTACCTAGACCAATTGAAATATATAGCTGTATGTGATTTTTTAAATTCCATTTATGTTTATTAAAAAAAAAATATTGTCATTGAACTTAGAAGGGATATATAAAGCCGCTGTTCGGTAAACAACACGTTGCATCTTTGTGTTCAACAAAAGAAATTCTTATTAGTTAGATGGCGCCATACTTGCACTACTAATAATAGGAGTAGTAGGTACCTAGCAGTAATTATGGAGCAAATTCTATTCTAAATAAAGTTCATTTAAATAAAGTATTTTTAATTTCACTAACCGAAAGAATCTGGTGCCAGTATACGCGTGTCCATGGGTATCGCCTTTGACGAGAGATAAGAATAGCTGACAGGTCTTTGGTACTATGTCATTGAACAATTCAATTGTAACTTTACCGATCCTTGATCCGCCCAACACACATATGTCCATTGATACCCTGATTCATAGATGGAGACAAAAAAAAATTTAGGTAGAAAACATAACTGCTATTAGTTAATATATTATTGATGATATAATTACGAATGAGAAGAGTTATAAAAGTGAATGAAGCAATTGATGTATGTAAGATTTAGTTCTCGGTTCTGCCAACCCCGTAAGGGACTTAGTTTGTAGATACGAGTAGATAATAAATTACCTAGTGCGATGGACGTTCGGTGGCTTGTCAAAAGCTGGATCTCTTATGTCACGATCAATTTTCTCAGTTTTAAATAAAATAAATGGCAAACTGAAAAATAATTTACTTGTATTAATATTGAAAAGAAAAAATATATGAATAACTTTATTTTTATGAAGCTTCTCCTTTGTGGGTTTTTCCAGTAGTTGGTTAGCTTGGCAGGCGGACTGGCAATCGCTGTTAGGCTTTAGAGATTTATTCAAAAGGGACGCTGCTGCCCATCCCTCGCCCTTCCTTAGCTCTTACGACATCCACGGAAATGGAAGGGGTGGCCTATTTTATGCCGGGACCACACGGCCATATATATTATATCTCTTCTACATATATATTAAATTTTCATAAATTTTACTGCAATTTGTCGGGATGAGAAACATACTCATTTCAATTTATAGTGTAATATTAGCACAAATAATGAAATACTAATGGGCTGGTCATGAGACATCTTGTCTGCTATCATTGTGAAGGGTGTAGCTCCCGACACACATTTCAACTAGCATATTGAGTACAAAGTCCCATGGAGTTAGCAGCCGTCACTTGGATTAATTTGGGATTATACTACACTATAATTGAAGACTTGATAACTGACTAGTAATAAATGAATAAAAAATAATTATTTATTATACTTACGAGGCCCCCAAAATTAATTTATGCTTTGTATCTTGCCAGAATGCATCTAATTCTTTGGTAAGCAATTGCTCCGATCGCTATAAATATTGACAATATTGTTAGAATACTTTATGTTTATGATATGATAGTTATACTCATACCATTTGTTTTGTAATATATGTAAAAATGACCTAATAATTTGTCTGAAAATGTCTCGTTTAGTGGCAAAACACGTGTCGCAAAACGAACGTGAACAAAATGGTAGTCAGAGATTAAAGGCTGACATGGATGGTAGTAACAGGTGGTCAGTCACAAATATACCTACTATGCTAGCGAAATTAAACAAAATCATTCTAATCAAACTATTAGAGAAGTATATATAATATAAATGTATAATAGAAAATAATCAGATAATACCTAGTTCAGCAAAATATACATAAAAGTTAAATTAATGTACTAACTGCAATTAGTAATCTTGAATAGAAATATAGATTTTTCACACGTATCTCGTCTAGAACTCGTTGTCTTTGCTTGCAAAGTAGTTTATTGTAAGTATTCGTTGGTTCTGTATTCCAACAGTCGACAAACCCCTGTAATTTTAATTAATAAATAAAATACGAATATAAGAATAATGTGACGTATATTGGAAATGTACTTAAGACGCGTACCACATTGGGATACATGTTTAAGTCCTGCAAAAAGATATTAACCTGTCAATATCCTCTATTCCGAAATTTCTTCTATTTTAAAGTCAGTTAAAAATATTATTCTTCAACCTTATCCTTTTGTGTTAAAAAAAAAATAGATAAATGAATTCAACACCCACAGCCTAGTGATACAGTTTCAAAACCTTCCAAAAGTTTGATGTTTTTAATTTAATTAAAGTATTGAAGATTCACAATAGCTTTGTTTATGAGAATAAATGGGATAAGGTTAGATAATTAAGAGAAACTTTTTGCTAACTAACCCCAGTTCTTTGAATTAAATTAATTCGTTTAAGCAACTCCTTGTTGACGTTCATATTTTCTTCTAATTGTCGCGCATAGTAGTCCAACCTGCGTGGCTTCAGGTAAAGCTCAGGAAACAATTCTGGAGGGCTGTCGTCTACTTTGTGTTTGCTCATTTGTAGCTTTAAAATATTAATACAAAAAATAATCATAACTACTTAATTTGTTAATTATATTACATCTATTTTATTATTATTTGCCGTGTGTTAGTGGCCGTGTGGTCCCGGCTTAGAATAGGCCACCCTTTCCTCTCCTGTGGGTGTCGACCACAGTGTTCCTTTTAAAACATCTTTAAAAGCCTAATTGTGGTTGTAAACCTGCCTGCTGAGCGGGGCAACTACTGGCAAAACATCCCTTATGGGGAAGGCTTATGTTCAGCAGTGGACAGATAACGGCTGATATGATAATGATGATGATTCTATTATTAACTAGCTATTTACCTGTTACTTTGTACACGTAAAAAAGAAATAGGAATACTGATGATAATTTCTATCGTATTAAGATAAAAAATGTACCAGATTTTATGTTAGACTTTCATGAACACAACTGTTAAAATCACATCCAATTTGATGTAGTAATTTTTGCGTGATGTTGGAACAAACAGACAAAACTTCTAAAAGCTTATAATTTTACAACTAAAAAACAAGAAGTAAGATTAGTTACCTCTTTTTGATGGTTACACCAATTGGCATAGAACTGCTTGGATAGCAATGGAAATCGCGGTGGCTAAATTAAACAAAAAGAAAATTATTTGAATAGTGCATTATGAATAGAAATGTTTATATTAAAAAATGTACAAATACAGCTAAACTTTTATTCATGATTATGGGTGGTGGAGAGTTCGGAAACTAGTCGAGTATTTTTGACAAAAAATACACGAATTTAATCTGATTATTTTTTTTTTCTACTAAAATTTACTTTATTCGGGTCGTTACTTTGCTCATTTTGCTGTAATATTAAATTGAAACTTTAAAGTTAGAAAATGGTGCTTAAGTATCGATTCTAATGTTGATATTAGTCTGCCTAAAGTTTTAAGTTTAATAAGTTTATTTCAAAATATTTATTTAATATATAATAATCTTTTTACCTGTAAAAAGCTACATTATCAGCGGATAAAATAGTCTATACATATATATTTATGTATATGTAATGGATGATAATGGAATAGAAATCCCTTTTTCGCTAACGGTATACGACTAAGTCGTACATTGGCGGAGCACCAGTGAGGGATGACAGGTAAGAATGTAAAAGTAGGTTAGTTAGCCTATCGCGATGAATACACGATGGTTTCCAGGGGGAGTATATTGCTAGAAATGGGACTGGTAGTTCGTTTTACTAACAATCCCTCCCCTTTCGTAATATATATTTGAAAATTATATCAACCCGTGCGAAATCGGGCCTGGTCATTAATAATTAAAATATAATAGGTGATTTACAACAAGTGGGATTGGTATACCTTTCGACTGTGCTTTCAACTTCGATTCTCAAGAAAGGCCTTAGAAATATAGAAGGAATCATTTTATAAAATGTTTTCTGGAAATATCAACTTTTCTGAAGACTTAAAATTAATCAAATTAACAGAGGTTACACTTGTTGAAAATCATCCTAATGTGCAATTTGTTAATAAAAAAAGGTTACTGACTAGTTTGAATTCTCTCGGTTTCCGTATACGAGGCGGCCGTGGTCGTTCCGGTTCCGGCGGTGGTGTGCGCAACGCCGGATTTTCCAGCAATTCATCGCACACTCGCTCGCGCAGCGGATGCATTTTTATATTGTAAGCTTTTATTTTTTATCAGACCAACAATGAGCAAAACATAGCTTTATTTTTGTTTCATATACAACAACTAATAAGTGCGTTTTAAAAAGAGAACTAAAAACAGTTCCTATTATTGCAACGAAGAATTAATTTTTTTAGAAAGACGTAATACTTAAATTTATATAGTTTTTCTCAAATTTCTATACAATAATAATATTTATAATAAAATAACTGTATTTAAACTTTAATTTTTAATTCTCTGAATATGTCAGTCTTGACATCATCTAGCAGTCATTTGCAACTGATTTAATAAATAGATTCAATTCTATGATATGATACTCTTTAAAATGATGATAAAAAATGTTGATTGGTTTGTTTATTTTTTAATAACCTCATAGTAGTTTAAAGGCTCAACCAATAGTTGTGAAGTAAGTAATTAAAATGGATAACATTTCATTCATTTTTTTTTTATGGAATCTGATTTTTCGGAATAGAGGAAAGAAATTTTTTCTTTCCATAATAAAAGGATAAATTAAATTTTATTAATGATTCAATAGATAAAAACTTAGGTCAAATTAGAACTAGAGCAACTCGGAATCGGTACAGCTTTAGCGGTGACTATGTACGTTGAGGTACTTATTTGGTGCCACCGGTATTTAATGGTGATTGTGTTGACATTGTAGTCCATGGCGACCACTGGGGGTGCGTGCTTGTTGTCTACTTCCACGCGTACATACGTTATCTTCATACAATAACCGACCTGTGGACAAAATGGCAATGTTTACATTTAAATTATTGACTATATCTACTATACATGACATAACGGAACGGGTGTAACAGATCGAAATCTAGTGTTGTTATTCATTAATTTCTATAATGTAAATAATGTATATCAGACGATAACTCAGATTTATGACTCAGATCAGTTAAAAAAAAAAAAAACTAATACAACCGGTACAAGGAAAGAGATTTAGAAAAAAGTCGATAGCTGTATGAACTCTATGGCGCAGTCGTAGGCACGATCGAAATAAGTTCACTTGTGTTATTACTTTTTTCTAACTTTTAACTGTATAACTGTAACTTTTTTATTTAGAATTATTTATAATTTATTTAGAATTAAGTACTAACTATACAAACTCACTGTTATAGGAATTCTGGTTAATTTATCCTGTTGCGAGTTACCAATAGTGCCCGCCACGTTGAATGAGATATGCCCCACATTAGTGCCTGTAATAGATAATATTTGTAGTTGATAAACCTATAATTTCGTCATGCGCCTATTAGGTGGACCTCCATACGGTTCCTCTTGGAAATTATCTTGATAAGTTCTTTATGAATTCATCACTATAGGCCAACTAACCTGCTTTCATCCTCATCTATTGTCACATCTGGTGGGGCGCCAGTGTATACTGATAACGAAGGCAAGGTTACCATTACATTGTAATCCTTTAATTGCGTCATGCAATTTATTTGAGCTGTGAACCATTGTGTCTGTGATAGAGATATGTTCTCTTTTATACATAATTATCACAAAGGTACCAACCATACACGATAGAAGTTATTATTTGCCTCATCATTTTTTTATTTTTCTATGCTACTACATTTATTTACTAAAATTTATATCTACGTAAATACGATTATTTTATTTTTTATTAAGATGTTTAATATCATAAAGCTGTTAATAAATGAAAAATCGTTAGTACATACTAAATTATTGAACATTTTGTTCAAGAAATAAATTATTTCTTGAACAAAATAATTCTTTTAGCGATAAATAGCCCATTGTTTTCTCCCTGTGGTTATTTCTTGTAATTGTTTGCATCTATAATAAGTTTACTATTATAATCTTTTGAAGGAACCTATAAAGTGTATCCACTTATCTATCTATTTCAATCTTAAATAGTACTGTTAATAATATAAATAAATAATGACCAAAATTGGTTGGATTAGTTACATATATTATAGTTATACAATATGTAATATAAAATTCACTGTAAAGTTGATTAAAGAATAAACTGATGGAAAGAAAAAGTAAATAGAGATAAAAAAGAGAATAAAAATTCTTACCAAATTCAAAGACATCCGTGGTGTCCGAACAAATGGCTGTGTAGACATTGTAAACGAACAGTAAGTATACAAGCGACCACTTCATCGCCACTGTATCTTTAGTAATATTACTTACTTGGAAAGAAATTTAATTTTTGTAATTTAAATTTAAATACATAAGGTGTACATATTCGGAGCGAATTGATTCTATACGAGAGTTCAATTATTTTATGCTCTCACATTACATTCATGTATTAATACAATTGTATTAATACATGAAATGACAAATTATTTTAGTAGATAAGGAAAAAAGTAGGAATTCTTCATAATTTATATTTTGTACGAGTTTCATACAATATGATTTATTTAGTGAAATCAAAATTCTTTTTTGCCGAACTGCAATTACTTATTATTATTTCTCCATAGCTCAATGATAAATGGTGGCGATAAAGCTTACGGTCTCTATATTTATAGTGTCTATACTATCATTTTAGATCAAAGCCGTAAGATCCCGGCATAGAATGGCCCTTTCCTCCCTTTTCCGTGGGTGTCGTAAGATAAAGTAAGGGAACTTAATGGTCGAGGGACAGATAGCAGTGTCTCTCTTAAAAGTCATCAAAACCTAACTGTGGTCGTCAATTTGCCCGCCAAGCGTCGCAACTATTGGCAAAACCACCCCAATAGGATATATTTAGCAGTGGATAGTTAACGGCTGATATTGTATACCATCAATTTTACTCTTCTTTTTTTACAATACAGGAGACAGACGAGCATGCGGCTCACCTGATGGTAAGTGACTACCGCTGCCCATGATCACCTACAACACCAACAGCATTGTAGGTGTGCTGCCAACCTTTTAAAAAGGAATATGCTCTTTTCTTGAAGGTTATGATGTCGTATTGATTCGGAAATATATATGGAAGTTGATTTCAAAGAGTGGTTGTGCATGGAAGAAAGCGCCTTGAAAAACGCACGGTGGAAGACTGCCACTCGTCCAGATGGTTGGGATGAAACTTTAGTTTATGGTGGGTTGTACGGTGGTGAAAATCAGCAGCAGGTATCAATCCGAACAATTCCTTAGAGTACTCTCCATGATAAAATCGGTAGAAGGTGCACAGAGATGCAACATCTTGACGCAGTTTCAGTGGTTCGAGTCGGACTGTTTATCATCTTTGGCGTCTTAACGATTCAAGCGATTGTTGTAACATACAGGTATTATTTTAGGATGAAGAAAGTCATAGATTTTATACAGTAGTAGTTTTACACAATCTTTTTTGTGGAACTCACCATTTTTCGTTAATATCCTCAGTACGAGATGTCTATTAAACTGGGATAGATATATGTAACGTATACATAACGTAACGTAACGAGGAGGGAGGGATTGTTAGTAATGGGGATTAGTAGCCCCATTGCTAGCAAAATATATCCCGTTAGGTCGAACTCCTCGTGCTTCCTCCTGGAAATCATCGTGATTGATTTATCTTTAGATTCGTCACGGTGGGCTAATTGACCTGCCGTTTCATTCTCACCTATCATCCCTCTCTGGTGCTTCGCCAGTGTATGTATACCGATAGCGCAGGCGGCGTTACCATTTCCTTATCATTCATTAAAAAACATCTAGAAAAAATAGGACTTATGCCTCCCATAAATTTCAAAATTTCCGATTACCAACAAATATACTCAAGGAGGGTTATGATTATCGAATGATCGATAATTGTGATAATTCACGATTATCGATTCACGAACGGCCTTGAAGAGGCGAATTTTAGCCAGAAGGGGTGGTGATGCGGCATTACAGATAAGCGAAAGTGAATAGGCCTACTAGTCCTTGCAGTTACAATAATATTAATATAATATGTAGTATATTTTATTATTTTTATTTAAAAATAAACACAGTAAGTTCATAAAATTCTTGTGGCGTATATTTATAGATATCTTTGTCTATTTATGTTATATCTACATAGTTACCTAATGAAATGAATGGATAAATAAACTTAGTATCTAAGTAAGGTTTATAAATTTTATATTTAGACTTATGCTCAATTTGTTCAATTATGTATTTATTGATTTATTTATTCATTGCAATTAGGTTGATATACACCCTTCACGGTGATCTTATAATATGAGGCGTTGGGCTGTTTGTCCCCGTAAGAGATCACCACGTCGTTGGCGTAACTATTGAAGGTCACTGTCGGTGGCAGCATGGGATAGTCCATCTCCACCATCACGTACTTATCTTTCCAATATATTGGAACCTGAATATTTTGAAAATAAAAACAACGGTACATTTCGTTACATTATTACACTTTTAATAAAGTATATTATAAAGTAAGAATAATATTTGTTCTATTGTGTCTAATTATTAATATTTGAATATACATATTGAATAGAAAAGATATACAAAATTAAATTATTTTTTTTATTTTTAAATAAGTTACAGTACTAATATTAATATTATAATTTTAAATGAATACAGAAATGGTCATACAAGAACTGGGCTCTTAAATAGATTAATATAATAACCAGTGTTAAGAAACCACAGCAGGTCCAAACCACAGCATTTGGTTCTAAACCAGCAGGTCAGTTAGCCCATCGTGGCGAATTCCACTAAAATTAACCATGATGGCTTCCAGGGGGAACCCCGGTTTAGAATTATAGAAACAGAAACATAAAAAAAAAATATATTTTTTGTTTCTACTTTTTATGCAATTAATACATACTCACAGAAAAGTAAACATGTTTAGTTTCTTCATATGAAAGTATTACGCCTTCATTAATTACTATCACAGAACTGTTAGGGACATTCTTGCCAAATTCCCATACATGTGTCCAAGCTAATGCGTCATTTTCTTGTACGTATATAAAAAATGTAGTAACAGTAAAAAATAATAACGAACATTGAACGGTGTGGACTGTCGTTCGGTGAGCGTGGACTGTAGGGGCGTTGGTTCAGGCTGGAGTGAAACACAGCGATTACTATTCTGAAGCCTCCGGTACCGTCTGAAGAGAGTATTTTTTCTTCTTGTCCTATTTCTTCTCGAGTGTAGTGCGTCGCTGCCCGGAAGCGAATGCCGCTCGACGGGAGGCGGCCTATCTTTATACCCGCCCGCTCGCACGATAACGTTTCCAACTCGCGTTAGCGAATCTGCGCGAGCGGGACGGGGCGAGAATGAACGAGACGCGTGTCTCTTCAGATCGGTACTCTATAGCGTTTATTTATTTATTGCAATTTACAATTTCTTAATTCTATTTATTGTTACAATTTCTATTTCTATTTGTAGGTAATAATGACAACACACAAAGGAATACTTTATTTAACTTACACTATAGGTATCTTAAATCTATGTAAATCTATATAAAATAACAGAATACAAAAAACGATTAAACTAGAAACTTAACAACTAACTATAAACATTGCTATAAATATCGCTATAATTACACATATACAAATAATGTCGCGAACAAACATTTTATCATATCGAAATCGATGAATGAAGTGACTAAATGGAAAGAAAAATAATTTTATCTTTCGACTGGATATACGAGTATGTAATTTCTAAATAGCCATTATATTACTAACATAGTATAAATTATTACGCTTGATAGACTATAAAATCGATTTACTTGTACTTAAATATATTTTCTTTGGAACCTTTGTATTTATTATTGTAAGTAAATATAGGGACATTTTAGGGACAAAGATCTGGGGATTATTCGATGACCATGGTTGTTTCATAATGTCAAGTTTAGGAACTTAATTTTAAGGTATTTTGTAAGTTGCGCCTTTTACTTTTTTTTTTTTTATTCGATTGGCTTATTGTTAAAAACATTTTTTTTTATTTAAGCGTTTAAAATATAGTAATTACTATATATATATATATATATATATATATATATATATATATATATATATATATATATATATATATATATATATATATATATATATATATATATATATATATATATATCATTATACATAACCATTATATAAAGTTTATGTCAATATGAATTAAATAAATCTAAACACGAGGTCGCTGGTTCAAAGCGTCGAGGTTACATAATCAAAGTTTCTCATCACAAAGTATATCAGCCCTATAATAGTCATCAAAATTGTACTACTTTGCAATAAAATAAAAGTAATGCATATATGTATGATAAACTTCTTGTAGTATCAAAACAGAAACAATATAAAAATATAGTGAAATAAAATTAGGTCTATATTCAAATCACTTTAAAATTAATCAAGTGACATTTAATGTTACAAATAACCTTAATTTTCCTTCAATTTCATATTTGAATAAATTTATTAAAAAAAAAATATGATGAAGAACAGCGGACTGGTTTTGTTTGCTTGCGCTGGTTTATTACTTGTAAGTAAGGCGTCGTTATTTATAAGAAGTTAGAAAAAGAGATGTGGTTTTACATTACATGAAATGAAATAGGTTGTCAAATTAAAAGTATCATACCAATAGTAAATACACAGTTTTACGAAGATTATGTTATTATTATGATATTATGTTAAACTATCTTAGAAATAACTGAAGATAATTTTGACAAAATTTGTATAAAAGTTAGGAGTAAAATTAGCGTGAAACAACAGTGTACAACTTTTTAGGTTAGAAAAAACATTCTCTTTTCTATTGACTGTATTCATGGACCATGTCGTCAATTGTCGACATGTGCCCCAATTCCCTAAGCGCACTAATTATGAAGATTTCGATATAAAATGTACGTAGAGTTTTGTTGCGCATATCACACTGCCTTAATTCTGTTTAGAGGTATAGTCACTATTTTTTTTGTTACAAAATGGGTTTACCATTGATCTTACCTTACCTGTTGGTAAGTAATGACACGATACTTAACTAGAAGATATTAGCGACAATATTTCTATCCCAATACAAAGGCTCCAATTAGAATGATTACTTATCTATATTGTGCACTTGTTAATTTTATAATTTAAGAGCGGGGGTGCCGTCCTCGGCGGTTCGACAGCATGGAGTCTCCTTCGCATGTCCTACTACTTCTGGACGTCGGATTTGGGTGTGGAGCTTGGCTCGAGCGTGCTATTCATTACCGGTGCCCTGCTCTGTTTGCCAACGTGCTGGCTCTCCACCTTGGTGCCTTACCATGTTAAATCGATGGCACTTATGGCAACCGTACGTTCAATTGGACTTTTAAATTGTTTGACATAATATTAAATATATTATGTCAAACAATTTAAAAGTGTAAGTAAAACTGGTTATATCCTGTGATTTTACCTGTGTGATTTAGTATATGAAGTATCATACGTGTTAAATTAGGAAATAGTTTAACCATGTACCACATCGAGTAACAAATGTCAAAACATCTTTACAGTCTTTCACATTTATAATATTAGTAGAGTTTGTATCGGTATTTTCTCTGAGCAAGAAATCAAAAATTTCCAGAAGCGGCGCGTATAAATGAGACGTATCTATCATGTAAGCCGTCAAAGCAAATGATGTCTTGTTCGTGAATAGAGAGATAGAGACTTTGTTTCTGGCCACCTTGAAATACTATAAATAATGTGAGATAAAATTGACCGAGCTACTAGTACGAGTACATTCGACGATCTATAATTATAGATAAATAGCTATTGTTGTTACTGCTATTTATTTATTTATTAAACAATATATATACAACATAAGTACATTGGACCCAGCACTAGGCGAACCTATATTACGGAAGATATTTGGATAAAATATATTATTTATTGGTCTCAGACAAAGCGGATCGATTGAGCAAATTCTTAATGAACCAGTTACTCGAAATGTCAGATAATTTACATATTAGTCTTTAACGGTTGTCCTTGATACTTTACAGCTGATGGGTTTAGTGACAGTTGCAATGCTGATGCTGTCCATGGGACTGTCCTCAATCACAGGATTGTCGCGCGCACTCCGAGAACCAAGCGGACTAAATAGCAGCATGCTAAGAGCGATGGCATTTAACAGCTTCGACCCTTCAGTCAAGAGTGCCTTTAGTGCTATGCAAATTGAAGTATATTTATGTTTACAGTTAGTTATGCAGAAAACAGTCACGTTATCTGGAATGTCTGTAAGATATGGCTGTTTTCTGCACAACCAGCTCCATTCTATCCTATAATATATAATATGTGTAATTTAAGTATAAATGTGTTTCTATATTAGGTTTACTAAAGGCTTTATTTATTATTTCCAAATATAAAATAGATATACGTACTGTCAAGTTAGCCTGATAATAATGTGGGGTTACCTAAGCCTTTATGTCTGTTACTGGGGTTACATTGCAAATAATTCAAACGGGGCATACATAGAATTACTTCTGAAATATGTTTATCTTTTATTTGATACTGATTATTGCAAAGAGCTTTTGACCTTGGGTCATTTAATGATTTGCAGTTAAGGTGCTGCGGAGTGCAATCGTACTTAGACTGGTATCAGCATCGCCGAACATTACCGCCTGCTTGCTGTGGCCGTATATGGAATGGAAAGGTAGGACTTTTTTAATTTGAAATTATCATTAAAATAATATAATACAATTTTTTTTCAAAATACTGCAAATACTACATAATTTTTGATAAAGAGCTTTTCAAAATCTGCAATGTGAACAGTTTTAGGAGTGCCTAGTTCATTGTAATGAAGTTTAGAAGGCTCCTTTATAGCAAAGAATACTTACTTTCATATTTTCATAATATTAGTCAGGACAAGCCAGTCAGTATGGTCCCGGCATAGAATGTGTCACTCCTTTTTTTCCTATGGGTGTTTTAAGTGGCGACTAAGGGAACTTAATGGTTAGGAGAAATATAGTCCCTTTTAAAACATCATCAAAAGCTACGGTTGCAACTTGCTTGCCAAGCGTGGCAACTATTGGTGAAAACCATCTTAAATAGGGGAGGTCTACGTTCAGCAGTGGACAGATAATGGCTGATATAATGAGTGTGGAAAGGATATACATAATAGGTATATTATGTATTTATTACGCGATAAGTACACAATGCCTTGCTATGTTACGTAGCGCGGCGAGCAGTGCGATGTACCTCTATATGGAACTGGATGTCTACGTCCTGCACTCGCTGAGCTACGCCGCTACACCAACGCACTCTCTGCTCTCGCTTCCGCCATTATTATCGTTATGGTAATCATATTAATAAGTAGTGTAAGTAATTTCTATCTCAAAGGAAAAAGCTGTAAAAATATGCTCATGCTTTCTGCTCTGCTCATCCCAGATGAGATAATCAGATATTTGTGGATTGCTCTTGATATTTTCTATATTTGGCTGAGCTTATCCACTAAACTACTGCAATTGAATCCATAAGTCTACTATGATAGTAGATAATGTTTTCCCTCTCTTATTATTAGAGTAATTTTTTGTACAAAGAAATGGCAAATAAACTGACTACCCATGTAATGGAAAGTGGACACATCACCTATAGACATGAACAGCAATGTGAACATAATGCACTGCGAACTAAGGTGTTCTAAGTTCATATCGTGTAATTTCATTGCTATCAGCTGCGGCACAGCTGCTTCATGGTAGAAATACGTTCGTACAAAGTCTCTTTTTAGTAATTCACGCATTTTCCACAATTTATTGAGCATATTTGAAAATAACGAACTTTCTGCATACAAAAGCGTTTATCTTCTTTACAGTTAATAGGGGATTTTAAATGATAAAGTTTATGGTGTCTGTCGCATACGTTAAATTATATTAACTTACAGGGTGTGACATTGTTTACAACTGCTTACATTTTGGTGACCAATGTGGTGGAGCGAAATGAGGCGCGTGTCTTTAAACCAATGCAGCCACTGCGCGTCGCCTGTGTCGCCGCGCACCCTCCCATGGTATCGCTGACGTCGCCTGCTGCACTCCCTAATCTAACCCCACAAATGTGAAATCACTTGGCCTACTTTATGTTCTGTAGTTATCATTGGTTATTTAAATGCGAGCATGTCTTTTATAATATCTATATGAAAATAGAATTCCCGTATCTTATTGATCTCTTTAATGTTAGGTATCATACTGTAATCTAATTTTGATTGTTATTTTTTTATTATTAAATTATTATAAAAACAAGATCTTATAAATCAGCTATATTCGATAGATCCAATGTAGTATACTTACTACTTATTTAATATTGAACTGCTGGACATATCTAAATGGTTAAAGGATTGTAATATTGGGCCGCATTAAAAAACATATTGAGGATATCTTTTTAATCATAATTTTTTGAACACAATACAACATGCAAGCATCATTATGCTTTATGAAAATTAAGAAACAATCATATCTTTTCTATATTTGGTACCTATTTTTGGTTATCATCAAATTATACAAGAAAACGATCTCTATATAAAGACAAACAAAAACTATAATATATTATGAAAAATTTCGTACAACAGGGCGCGATCGCGCGGGCGTGCGGCGGCTTGTCGACACTACGCTACTCATGTACAGGACTATCTCTAGTATTAAAATATTACGTAATATAATAATTGAAAAGCCGCCGGCGCCGGCGCAGCCCGCGCGCCGCGCCGCTCCCCGCGCGCCCTCCACGCAGCCCGTTCGCAGCGCTCGGCAGCGAAGGCGACACTATACATTATTCATATTCACAACAATAGCTAAATAGTTCCGTTACGACTCTAGGATAATAATTTGAAGCAATCGACGTACTGTAAAATTTAGAATTCGAAGATTATAAGTAGTGGCGGTGTGAACGCGCCGAGGTAGAGGACGCATACGGATTGCGGTCGATTTACCGCGACGCCTCGGGCCCGATACGGCTCTACATAGGCTACTTCAGTAGACTCATTCATTCGTCACTCGATATTGACATAATTATATTGGAAAGAAAAACTCATATTTATATTGTCGTGTCGGGCTCGAGGCGGATGTTTTGATTTCACGGGACATTTGTGTGCGTTTTATTATTAGGAACTCTATGAGGGCTTACAATAACCGTAACAATTCTACTGGAACGAGAAGTTTACTTCACTATTTTTTTTTTAAATAACTAGATATAATTTGTCTAGAAACGAGTTCTTAAAGAACATGTTTGTTCGGTAACCGGGTCCGATTAAATCTACGAACGCCACGCGAAATCAAAACACAGCTCGATATAACACGCTCGGTGCCGGAACCGCTCGGCGCTCCTCTCGGTTCGATAGGTCCCACCCGGGACGCTCGTGCGGCCAAAGCGAACCGTCACGGGGCGTCCGCCCGCGGTCCAGCTACGTTAACACTACAGTATCGCTACAACGAGGTGATCATCCCACCGCGACTCTCCAATATAATACAGTATCACAAGGCGGTTCCGGTCGCCGCGCGGGCGGGCGCCGTCGCCGCTCGCTAAGTTAAGGCCGTCGAGGGGGTCCCGCGCCCGCCGCAATTGGTTAAATTAGATCTATCTAGAATAAATAGGTGCGCGTGCGCAGCTCGGCGCTCAGGGCGGCTCTAGCGCCGCGCGCCGCGGTGCTTGCGGTGCGCCGCGCGGCCCCGGCCCCGCCCCCACCACGCCGCCAGCAGCGCCAGCGCCGTCGCCCAGCGCGCCGCGCCCCGCGCCCTGCACCGCACCGCCACGCATGTACCTCCGCCGGCCCCGGCCGCCCGGCGCTCGGCAGCGGCAGCGACCACTCACAACCTACCACTCGATACTGACGTGGAATTAGGCCAGGGGAATTCTCGTTCTTTCCCAAAGGTGGTGTTCCTTGTTCAACGTAAGAACATTCGAAGAACATTCTTGATTCTTTTGTTGCTCGATTGATTTCGCGAATAATTTCGTACAGAGTTCTTTTCTAAGAAAGTTTTCAGTATCATGCGAATTGCTTGGCATGTGCACATTTTTTTCACTTTCAATTCAATTCACTTTCGTTTCCCTGTACAAGGTCAAACTCAGTTATAGTGATAATATTCAAGAAACTCAACAAATTTCTCAATTTCAAAATAAAATTCTCTTAAGAAATTTTCGTATATTGACTCGGACATGATGAAGAAAATATTTTTTAATTCTCGCTATAAATCATAGTGGAAATTTTCGACTTTCTTAGGAAAAGTTGTTCAATCTATCACGTATTTTAATTCTAATGCTACGTTGTTATTTTAGTCTAATTCCACGTTTACAATGCTTTTGTGTTTAACTAAATAAAAGCAGCTATTTAGTGGTTGTGATTTATAATATATAAGTGGTTGGGAGCCGTTGTGAGTGATGACTGCGAGCTCCTGAGATAGGTAGTATATACGGGTGGGTATGTGTACTTCTACAGTTATTTACATTTTATAGAATGTATTATATGGGACTGCAACTAATATTAATTATTTAGGAACATTGTAAACACAATTTACTATCAAGTGCATATACTATGGATGCATTTTTGAATACCTAAAATGATGTATGATTTCTGTAATACTTCATACAAATGTTTAGTTTGTACATAGAATACAATTATACAATGGACATTTATGATGTAAAAAGAGAAAAATGGATTTGATGGGAAAACAAAAAAAAAAATACTTTATAACTTCTTAACATACTAGATCATTAACAAGTGCACGCAATTCTATAAAACAAAAAAATATAATTATAGAATAATCATGCAACCATGGATGAGTAAAAGAGAAAACATGCAACATAAAATGATATTTGAAATGATAGTCTTCAATTCTATGATTACAATAAATATTAATTGGTGCCCAGCGTGGATACAACTTTAGTGACCCACGTTGGGCGCCAATGATTTTTATAAGTGAACTAAATATAAATTTTTGGTTTTTATATAAATAACAAAATGTGAAAATTTTAATTGTTCAATTAAATAAAATTGAAGACTAAAGCACATAAATAAATGTTAATTGAGCAATGTATGAATGAATAAGAAAGTGGGGATGGTTACCGATGCACACAACACGCGAGATTGCTCACCAAAGTAGCACACTGCCCGCCCTGCAACAAGCGGAAACGACACTTTCACACGAGACAATTTTGTAAGCGATTCCAATTAGATGGCTGGAAGCTTTATGGAAATTGTTAGTTGCACACGTAAGCAGGAACTCGATCAGAATATGAAAACGATTAATTATAGCGATTTTACATACATGATTCGTATCTCACAATTTTGAATCATCACGATATTTATAGAGACAGGATCTTAACCGCTGCTTAATTAGACATTTTACTGAGTGATTCGTGCGCATAATAAGACGCAGAAAACACTACACAAACTACCCCAATGTGTCATGCAGTTTGCTCACACTTGTTGGTTAAAATTGTTTAAAATTATTTGAATAAATTTAATTATGGAACATCGATATCGATTAAGTAAGATCAAAATATTTAGTTTTGTGAGATTGATTATTATTCGAGAACAACAGCGTGACATGACGATTTTTTCCCGTCTTCACTTGCGTAATCTGTAAAATGGCCCTAAGTTTTAAAGCGCTGTTGTACACATCAGTGTCGTACCAATGATTATCAAAATTAAGTTGTCTCATACATTTTCTACAACGTATAAGTACGTAGATACTATGTAGTATCAATGATGTTCAGTGACGTAAGTACCACGTTGATATAACTAACAAAATGTGAATTTATGTGAGAGAATATTTTTCCAGTAAGAAATAATGAGATTCAAGATGGACGACGAGAAATTGATAGAAGAAGAAAAGTAAAGACGCAACTTAAAACTTAAACGGCTCGGCGGATTAATATTAATGAAATGTCGTTTACTCTTGACTGCTATTATATTATACAATAACAAATATAAAATAAATATAGTAGCAATAAACTGTCCAAACTTAATAGATCTATTGTATCTTGCTCATGCCCACGCGTATCGCAGCGACTGCTAAGTGAAGGGAGCGCATCAGCACTGAATATCACTGATGAGTGCGGATATATATACATATTACGATAGAGATGATATACGGGCTGCTGGCACTTAGCAGTGTGGCTAGACCCTTACGTACTCGTACATTCAGCGTATCTTCGGTCGCATTTATACATTCAACGCTGATCGTATGCTAAGTTTGGCGCGTCATAGAGGAGAATGTGCAATTTGGCGTTGTTGATCTTCCGCTAATGCGTTTCGTTGCTAAAGATACATGAGCAAAGATCGACCTAATGTGGTGCTAGTCTTAGCGACTGAATAGATCTCGGGTGTCAACATTCTACGGTGGTACGGCGAAATAATAACGGACCTTCAACGCATTGTGACTGAGAACAGCAAATTGTATGCAATTTGGAGTATATGACCACTTATATAACTACGTACTCCCAAACATGTCTCTGCGCATAGCTAAAAGCTCCGCGCACATCATGGAGTGAGCACCAGATAATACGGCCATGATGAGTGGTCAGCGGCATAGTTTCTGTGAGCAAAGATCCGTGTAATGTGGCGGTAGCGTTAGCTTTAGCGTATGGGGGAGAAGCGCGGCGGTACCTGGCAGGCGGGGCAGTGCGGCGGCGCGCAGCCCGCCAGCTGCAGGCGGCGCGCGCGGCCCTCGGGCCCGGCGCCGCGCCCCGCCCCGCCCGCCGCGCAGCACCCGCCGCCAGCCTCCTCGCACTCCGGCTCCCAGCAGTCCACCTCGCCCATCTGCAACACCACCAACGCTTGCTCGTTATACGTGAAGCTCGACAACCAGGCTCAAATTGTTGAAAACGGAACCAAAACGAGATTGCACTCTTGTCATCTGCGTGAGTAGCTCTCTTTTGTTTTTGTTCTCAGGCAGCTATGTTTGTATAAGTGTACATTTGAAATACACGATTTGTCAGTGAAACTATTAGTTATTGGCACAACAGTATATTCTATGATATCGATGTTATTATTTTTATCATTAATGTCAACTTATTTACAAATAATGTTAAAATTGTATGTTTTTTTTACAACTTAGAATGGCAAACAAGCTGACTTTCCATCAGGTAGGCCACCTGATGGAAAGTGGTAACCGTCGCCTATAGACATGAGCAGTACCATGGACATAACAAAGTATACTGTTTCGCTCATGATACGTTGCCATTCCTGAGGACTCAGGTGTTATTCCACTGTACTCTGTAAATTCACGCCATATCCCACCCTTCAAACTGAAACACAGCTATGCAAACACAATTGCTTCACGGTTGAAACACGAATGGGACAGAGGTACTAAAGCAAACGACTTTTGTACAAAGTCTCCCTCTGGACTACTTTGAGTGCTGAAAAATCTTCTTAAAAATCTACCAATAGAAATTAAGTTATTTAAAAAAAAGGTTAGGGTTGGTTGACTATGATAACGAGTAGAGACTGCAAAACAAGTAATATATGTAAAGCATATACTTAGGTTACTAACTAGACATTCGCAGATCTGGCATTGGTAGAGCCAACGTTCGCCACTTCGGAAAGTGACGTGATGCATTTCCTGATGACGGCAGTGGTAACGCGGTTCGCAGTGAGGACAGCAGGATTCTGGTGCAATCAGCGATGTCTCTGTGCTCTGAAACTATTTAAAATAACTCTTTAAGATACAATCAATAAGTAAAATGACCAATGTTAATGTGTAAATAGTTCTGTAATTAGGTATAGTACATTGAGGTTAGATCGAGAACAAACTGTGATCAGTATGGTATAGAGAACCGGACCTAATCTGGAGAACCAGAATTTTCGGTACCAACCCTTGCTGGAGTTTTGATTGAGATTTCATATTCACTCGAGAGTCTAACAAGGACGGTTTTTAGCAGATCATGAGTCAAGGTAAAAGCACAGGTCATTCATACTTGCATAGTTAAACGAACTTCTGGTCAAATTAATTCCATATCGACTATATGAAATGAATTTGACAAGAAGTTCGTGATAAACATTTTTGAAACTATATTAACATGTCAATACTTTAAATGCTAAAACTATCGAGTTGTTTCATTGTGATCGCGATAAGATTAATACATTCCTATTATTACTACTATTGTGATTTTAAAAGGTAACGTGACAATTCGGGGTGGCATGATAGTGAGACAAAGAAGCAGTGTGTAGAGATTCTCCTCGTCTTAAACTGTCTGTGAAGACAAAAAATAAATTCGCTAGACAGAAAGAAACTTACACTTAACTACAACTTGTTTTGAACTGTAATTATTATAACGAAAACTAAAATTCTATCCTAAATACAACTAATAAGGAAATGTGAAAACTTCTTGGCTTATATATTACTACTAATAACTAACAATTTACGTTACAGTAGTTGTCAGCATAGGATAGCGTAATGAACACGAAATAATAGTTTTATATCTCCTATGCTACTACCGCGCAACGTAGTGGGTTGTTAGTTTGTTTGCTATTTTAAGTACATATGTATATATAAAAAAACTTGCCGACTACGAATTACTTTAAAAGTATATAGGTCAATTATTACAATGCTAGCCATGTGGCATGTTATAGAAAAGCGCAGTGAAATTCGCAGTGTGGATATATTAAAAATAGTACGATACCGTGTCGGCGGTGGTGGAGTGGTTGTGCGGCGCGTCGCAGGCGCAGGCGGCGCGCACGCAGGCGGCCACGCCCGCCGCGCATGCGCACACGCGGCAGTCGCCGGCCTCACGCCACTGCGCCCCGTCTTCCATCACTTTGCCTTGCCACGAACAGCCTGCAACACCACCACCGGGTATATATATTCAACGGCAAAAAGTCGCAATATTTTGCATATAATTGACCATGTTAAAACCTGTGCCGGCACTGATATTGTATACCACTGATAAGCGCGTACTGATATTGATCTTTCATGGGCTGAAATAAAATGGTAGCCTCGCCTGTTTTTTTGATATAAGCTGGCTGGGTATCAGTGAATTATGATGGGTGACGATGAAGTTAGGTCAGTTGGGTACTTCGTGACGGATTCATTAGGTACTGACAGCAGGTAGTAGGGTAAAACAGCGCAGTATTTCAGCTGACAGTGACGGTATTGCTAGTACCTACTACTATTATAACAGTCCCTTATTCCCTTTACTGATATTGATTGTTAGGTGTCAGTATTTATCAGTACGTATTGGTCTTTATATATTCCTTGGTAATAATTTTTTTTATATTTACTGAGTTCACATGGTTGTGTATCGCATTCACATCTGAAGCCACCATCGGTGTTGACGCAGCGTGCGCTCGGGTGGCATGTATGAAATCCTTCCATGCATTCATCAATATCTGAAAATTACGATAATTTAAATTCTATTAGTTTTAAGTATTGGGGAAAACCCTCCCAAGAGAGTGGCCTATGTTCAGCAGTGGATTGTTAACAGCTGATGATATAATGAAGTATTGGGAAATTGAAGAAACCATCCATCAACCAATTATCATATTTTTTGGACATCACCACAATAAATTTTAATGACTAAAATGTAAGCTACAAATTTCTTCCTATAGGATAAGCTTACTACTTGATATAAGTTTAGTTTTCTTTCTCGTATACTAACGTATTGTGCTTTGTTTCCATAGTTTTGATATCCTAAAGATGAAGAAGTGGTATTACGTTATATATATACATATATCTATGCATACTATATCATCATACAGACATATATGTACATGTTGTATGTGTATTATGTAGAGGTACCTTCACAGTGATCTCCATGCGTGTCGCGGCGGTAGCCGTCGCCGCAGACGCAGTAGTAGGAGCCGGGCGTGTTGACGCACAGCGCCCGCGGCACGCACGGCGGCCGCGCGTGCTCGTCGAGCGCGGGGTGCGCGGGGTGCGCGGGGTGCGCGGCGCCGGCGGGCGGCGCGGTGCACTCGTCGACGTCTCGCTCGCAGCGCGAGCCCTCGAATCCGACCGGACACTCGCAGCGTTCGGGCGCCACGCACTCGCCGCCGTTGAGGCACCCGCCTGTGCAAATAGCTGCGAAAGACGATGCAATTATTTTTACGGCATACGCAGATAATCGTCAACACCATATCAGCTGTAAACTGTCTACTGCTGAATATAAGCTTTCCCATAAGAGGAGTTTTGCTAATAGTTGTCATTCTTGGCAGGCGGGTTGACAACCGTAGTTCGACTGTTAGTGATTTTTTTTCATACCACTAAAGTGGCAAACAAGCCTATAGATACCTGCAACATTAGGGGTGTCATGTACGCTTTGTTCACCCTGTTTAAAGAAGATAATTCAAGAGGGACGTTGCTGCCCATCCCTCTGCCATTAAGTATCTTCGTTTGTCGCCTCTTACGACACCCACGTGAAAGGAAGGGGTGGCCTATTTTATATCAGGACCACACGGCACGCAGATAGTAGATTCTCAATATTCCTAATGATTTCGGCCGGAACTTGACGCGGATTCGTATGAAGATACTTAAGTAAATAAATTCACATTCCTTTCCTTCTCCATTAAGTACAAACGTGTAAGGAGTACTTTAAAATCAAATTGTGATCAGTGTTTCTTGCATTATTTTATTTCGAGACTCGAACATATCTAGGGCTAAGTTTTATTTATTTGGTGTGTGTTTTTAAGTCGAATTATTTAAAATACAATTATATATCTGCTATACAGATAAGAAGATTTCTATGCTAAGTGTTAAAAAAATAGGTAATAATAGAAAGATAGAAAGGTATGTATGGTTGTGTATGTGTATGACTTACGCGTGCACGTGTGCCCGTCGCCGGCGTACCCGTCGCGGCACCGGCACGTGTACGAGCCGGGCGTGTTGCTGCACTCCGCCGCCGCGTCGCAGCCGTGCGAAGCACTCGCACATTCATCCACCTGGAAAGACATTGCCAATCGTTATCATCTAATTTACATTTTTGTGTGTCGTATGCTATATATTTTAAATACACATTCGGGACCTAACGCGAAAACCCTTTACAAGTAAATAGTTCCCACATACCTGCTTTTTTATTGTCAACGTTTCAACATGGATCGCACACGTCATGGTCATGATAATCCGGTTTTTTATCGTGTTAAATTCCGAATGTGAATTTAGAATATGTATAAACAACGCGAAATTTTAAAATTGACGGCCCTATTCTAATTGACCATTATATAGCTAGAAGAGTTGCCGTGTGGTTCCGGCATAGAATAGGCCTTACTTTCCCGTGGGTGTCGTATGAGGCGACTAAGGGAACTTAATAATGGAGGGATGGGCAGCAACTGCGGTTGTCAACCCGCCTGCCAAGTGTGGTAAATACTGGCAAAAAGGTTTATGTTCAGTAGTGAACAGTTAAAGGCTGATATGAGGATGATGATATGATGATAAACCTTTCTTTTCTTTCTTACTACCTCCCTTTTAACGATAACAAAGGTAGGATTGGTCTTCACTGTATAAAAAGATGACCTTAAATGTATGGAAGATACGAATAGTCCATTCTTTATAGCGATCTATGGGGGAGACTTATATTCGACACAATGTACAGTACAATTAATACGTGAAATGATGACAAACAAATCAAACAGTCATTAATTTATTTTCCAAATTGATTAGAAGTAGTTCGTACCTCAACACAGTTGAATTTGTCCCGGCGAGCGTACCCGGGCAGGCACTGGCATACGTAGCTTCCGACGACATTCACGCACCGGGTGTTCAGGTGGCAGTGGTGGCCACGCAACCCGCCCGCTTCCTGACATTCGTCCACGTCTGGAAATAACAACGTAACTTGTGTTAACTACTTTTCAATATATATAGCCAAAAAGAGAACTCTTCTGAATTAAATAGTAAATAAAATAATAGTAAAATAAATAAAATTTTATGTTAATTTTACAAAAATATAGACTACGGTACATTTATCGCACAGATTTTCTACATTAGTCTATATCTATTATAAAGAGCAAAATTTTGTTTGTTTGCAATGAATAAATTTAAAAATTACACAAAGTTTTAAAAATTAGTTTACCTATAAAACGTTACATTATCGACTAACATAAACTACATATTATTTTTGAAAATTCTATTTACTCGACCATAGCTGGGCAGGATTATTAGATTTACATTATGTAATTCTAACTTGTTAGTTTTCTTTCTAAATTTGCACGTGTTAGATATTTATTTTAAATTATATCAATTTTCTTAAACATCTTGTGGCAAAATGTGTACCTACATTTATTAATAAAAATCAGACTAATTACTTTAAATATAATGAAATATTAAAAACCAAATTTTGTAATGTATATAAAACATTAATTTATATTTTAATTGATTTTATAATTATTTATTATCATGATACTTAAATAAAAAGTAATGAAATTGTAAGAACACGTGGTCTCACTGACTTGTTCACTCGAATTCGGCCCTGTAGATATAAAATATTGTTATTTGGGTGCGGAGACGCTTCTTGTCCAACCGGTGAACAGAGCGGAGCTCCCTGCCGTATCAAGAGTGAACAAGTATAGTAGACCACGTGGTCATTATATAAAATATATCACAATTATTGTTGATGGAAGTCCTAAAGAAGCTTTAGTTAAATAAGTGTGAATGGATTAACAGAAGTTGGGTATTTATGTTATTATTTATTATATGTCATATACGAGTACAAAGTAAAATAGTAAATATATGATTTAATAGTATAATATCTAAATTAAAAGAACTGTGAGTAATTGTACTTTGTTTCTATTTATTATCAAGAGGCTTACAACCTTTATTTATATTACTAAAGAGTATATCATATACCATGTAAAGTTAGAATTACATAGTTAAATTATTATATAAACATATTACTGCACAGTAACATATTATATATATTAAATATTATAAATAATAATTCCCTTTTGAGACACGCATGTTCGACCGTGTGAGAAAAAAATGAAAGAATTCGACGATAAATACTCGCAGTAGGGGATAGGTCCTTATTAGAATGATTAAAGTGTTATTGTTTGAATGTTGAAACTTCTATATAGCTGAATATATTAACGGAAATTGTTGATGAGACTTCTCATCAGGCGCAAGTTTAGCACCAATATATACTTGATGTTTATTTCTGTTACCTTGACAAGTGAGGCCATCGCCTTGGAAGCCCTGGTTGCACGTACAGGTGTACTTGGTGTTGAGATTCATACACGTCGCGTTCTCGTCGCATGAATGACCCATGCTACAATAATCCACCCCTGTGAAATAATAATATTATTTTGATTAGAAATGACTTAAAGTTGATAATTTATGAACGGACACAGGCACGAAATGCAGACAGTAATTTTTCACATACATATGAGATGTAATGCAAAGGAAATTGGAAATCCATACCAGACGGAGACTTTGTACAAAAGTCGTTTGATTAGGCACTTCTGTCCCATTCATGTTTTTACCGTGAAGCAGTTGTGTTTGCATTGTGTTTCGGTTTCAAGGGTGGGATATGGCAGTGAATTTACAGGGTACAGAGGAATAACATCTGAGTCCCCAGGAATGGCAACGCATGGAGGGTATCGTGGGCGAAACAGTATACTCTGTTATGTCCATGGTACTGCTCATGTCTATAGGCGACGGTTACCACGTTTCATCAAGTGGGCTGTCAGCTTGTTTGCCATTCTAAGTTGCATAAAAAAATGAAAATCGAGCGATTACCTTGATACTGAACTGAACATCTTTATTCAAAATTTGTTTTGTAATCTTCACTTCGATTCCGTCTTTCACCATTATATATCAGAGTTGTTCAATTTATGAGGCGGATTATATAGAGAAATAATAAAGATTTGGGCAAAATTTGCAGCACTTTCCAGACACGGTGAACTCACCGGGCGGATCGCAGGGTAGCGACAGACACGCGGTGTTTGGTCCACGAGTGAACACTGTCTCTTGAGATGGGCTGTATAGAAGGTTAACAAGAGACCTGGGCAGAACTTGCAGCACTCGCCGGGCACTATAAACTAGTCGAGTGGATTGCAGAGCAGCGGCGGGCACGCAGTGTTGGGTCCACGCGTGAGCACTGGCTGTTGAGTTGGGCTGTATAGAGAGTTGACAAGAGACCTTGGCAGAACTTGCCGGATATTGTAAACTAGTCGGATGGATTGCAGAGTAGCGGCGGACACGCAGTGTTGGCTCCACGCGTGAGTACTGTCTGTTGAGTTGGGCTGTATAGAGAGTTGACAAGAGACCTGGGCAGAACTTGCAGCACTCGCCGGGCACGGTGAACTGGTCGGGCGGGTCGCAGGGCAGCGGCGGGCACGCGGTGTCGGGGTCGACGCGCGAGCACTGCATGTTCCCGTCGTGGCACACGCACTCCGCGCACTCCTTCGGCGCGAATCTGTCGCCGTGCTCGTATAGCGTGCCCTTTAATAGGCAATGTCCTGCAAATGGATCCAAAAGATTAATGTCAAATTATTCATTCGCCAAATGCAGGAGGTATCTAATCTGTCTGAACAACTGATTTAATTTATAAGTTTATTCTATTGCCATTATGTATATACTAATATTTTAATTTTTATGATCTGGTGTTGCTTAGTAGTTTGTATTAACACAAATTCATAATTTATAAAAATTATGTTTTTGGAAAATAATACAGTTGAGTTTCTTATCTGTTTTTCTTAGCTGAAATTGTATTCCAAATGGGTGGTAGAATCATAAAAAAAAATGAAAATTGCTTAATTGTAAGTTTACTTGAATATAAACAATTTTTTTCTTCTTTCTTTTTGCTCAATTTTTGACACTAAACGTTTCTATCGATTGTGATAAAAATTGAAACACAATTTTTTTACAACACAGGGGGCAAACGAGCATGCGGCTCACCTGATGGTAAGTGACTACCGCCGCCCATGGTCACCCACAACACCAACGGCATTGCAGGTGTGCTACGGCCTTTTAAAAAGGAATATGCTCTTTTCTTGAAGGTTATGTGAACTCTGTTATGTTGACAGTTATGTTACATGAACTTCAGAATGGATAACTTGGTCAAAAATGTCTAATTTAATATTTAATCTCAAGTACTTATATAATATAAGGTTTACACAAGTTAATTAGCGACCAAATGGACTTGTTTAGCGTTCAAGTACAGGCGAGAGGCGTATGAAAAATGATGCATACTTAAACATGTAGGACAGCATTCTCCTGGATGTAGTACTGGGTTCTTACACTCTGCTCTATCGCACTCGACTGGCCTGCACGTAATCTCACCGTGCTGGAAATATAAAATACACACAGTACTACACAGTATATGGTTAATCTCATACTAATTTTGAAAACCACAGCCTTTAAAAACACTTAAATCTTTTGAAGTATTCCATTCCAGTATAAATATGTAATAGGACATTACAATACCAATAATAAGTAAATTATGTTACTTAATCAAATCGTAGGACCATTATCTACGTCACAAAATATGCACTATTTAGTTGCTATAATCGACCGCTGCATCGACTAGAGAATTTTCCCGTTAGTAAGCTCACTGCAGAAACTGTCGCTAAAATGGTTTACGAAGGATGGTTTTGTCGTCTTCGATGTCTAGATTATGTTACTACTGACCAAGGACGTCAACTTGAATATGAAGTACGTAGAGGATTTGCAAAATTAATGAGAATAGAAAATAAAACATATCACACCAAATTCTCAATCGAATACCAAGGTTGAAAGATTACACAAAACGACGGTAACAGCATTGATTGCTCTGGTAACACGACAAATTGGACAAAAGAGTTACCATCAGTTCTCTTCGGACTACGCTCCAGTTTTTAACAAGAAACTGGTTGCTGTAGCGCAGAACTCGTTTATAGCATATGATAGATAGCAACATCAAGTTAACAGCAAATATATTCCTTGATGTGCCATGTGTAAGGTAATAAATATTTTTATAGATCGACTCAAACCAGCATTTGTGATTAGTGACAAAGAAATCATAAGTGAAACGGATTCCGTTTCACTTATGATTGGCTATTGCCAATCTTTAAAAGTCATATAGGCCGCATATCTCGTTCTACTGTGCATTTTCAAGTGTAAATAGCAGTTCATAAATTTGTGTATTTTAATTATTAGTTAATTTGATATGTATTTTTTCTTTTTCATATCTATATTTATGCCTGCAGTGCAGTAAGGCAATTGTTTGTTTATTAAGAGGTTTAATAATAATTAATGTACTGCACGTACTAGTCTAATGTGTCCCACCTTTTTTATATTAATTTTCTTTATTTGTATTTAGTATATAAGATCATTTTATATCTGTTAATATTGCCAATTCATGTTTTCAATTCAACTCGTAACAGTTACGAATACAATGTTTACTTACCACGCAGGAGCAACGATTGCAGTCTCGTTGCCAAGTTGCGCCATCAGCATGAACAGTACCATTAGAATAGCACGACTTTTGACAGTCGCATTGCTCTAACCGCGCTAATCTTGCCTCTGCGCCTACTAGCTGAAAATATATGATGTGCATAATTATAATTGGTAGAAATAAAATATGTAATCCTCATGCTTATTTATACATTAAAATTATTAATCACCTTGAGTGAAAGGTCATGGATATGCGTAGTCAGCTCCTGAACGGTAGCTTGTAGTAATGCGAACTGGCCGCATGTAGGACACTCGGAGTCCAGGCCAGGGCACTGTGCCAAGTAGCCATGTGGACCGCTTACTAGTCTAACTTCTTGTAGTGTTCCCTGTAATGGTCAACTGAAATTTGTATAAGTGTTCACCATGTTGTATAGTAACATAAGGTTTACATATAATGCTTAGAGCTTAGAGAATTTTATATAATTAAAACTAGAGGAAAAAAATATTTTGAGATTCAAGATAATTATATAAAAGAATTGGTAAAGATTATGGACTCACTTTAAATAAAGAGTGTTTGTTATTTCTCTGTCCAACCCAAAGAGATAGCTGAGGTTGGGTAAAGTTTCGATCTGGTGGTAGAATGAGACGACGGTACAGCGGGTGGCAGTCGACCAGGAGTGTGGCTTGTGCCCCAGACACGGCAAGTGCAAGCCGATGCCATGCTCCGTCTGCCAACCGGAACGGGAAGGTTTCAACCCGCGGCGTAGCCGTGCCGGCCGCAACGTAATGCAGTCGCACCTCGTCACGGCGGCCGCTGGACTGCACCTCCAGGTACCTGCGCACCGCCACACTGATGCATTACACATCGTACTGCGCTCTCGGAATGTCTCCGCCGCTCCCTCGCGAACTGTTCCGAGGTACACATAAACAAAGCAAACAACACATATATCTGCGAACGGGGCGGGACCGGCCGCGAGCGGACCTCGGCTCGCTCTATATCTCAATATCGCTCGGCCAGGATAGGGGACCATGTACCTCGGAACGAATCGCGTTCGGTCTCGACCGAGTTTCTAAGGTAACTGACAGATCTCAACAGAGAGGCATTGAGCATCTCGTAATGTGTCCGACATGGCATAAAATTTTTTTGGGAACATTTACAGCCATCGATGAGTGACTCCGCGGGCGACCCCTTCAACTGAAGCGAGGAGCGTGACGTGGTGTAGGCACGTTCGTCGAACATAAAACGAGACAGTATGGATTCCCATGTCGCTTGGAATGCAAGTGCGGACGAGCCCGGCGGTGTCCTCTGGGAGTAAAAGTGTACCCGCGGCCGAACGCGTCACGGCAAACATCAACATCCAGGTGAACATCAAGAGGCGGATCAATAAGGACGATTGAACAGATACAAACACAACACGTCAAGACACAGAACACAAGACGGACGGCATTATAGGAAACGCGGGCAGCGCATGCAAGCCGGCTCTCCCGCGTATACATATATCCATGCAGAGGTCACAGTGAGCGCAATAAGGTCAACGGATGGATCGAGGAGGACATTCCGAGGCACAGGACATTCCAAGATACATGATTCTCCCCTATGCGCGCGCACGCATGGGGTCGCGAGGCGAAATGCGTGCACGCGCAGCGATGTTGAGATCTAGAACTCACCGTGCGGTGCCGCCGCGCTCCGCGTGCCGCGCCGCCGCGCCTCGGTACCGCGTCTGCGGCTGCGTACACCTCGCTCCTCCCGCTGATTCTCATCCCAAACTTTCTACTCGACATCAAATTTATTGTATCAATAAATTTTAATCATATAACTCTTTTGTAATTAATGTGGATAATTATGTCGACATTGTTGACTACATATTAACCCAATCAATCCATTATGGCAAATTACAGGCTTTTATAATAATAGTAATTAAATTTTAACGATCTGATAGAGAGAGCGAGTATCAAAGAATAAAATTTCTGCGAATTTACACGCCATACATATGTATATTAAGATGAAATCCATTATTTTTATAAAAAAGTAGATGATAAGAAACTATTATCATAAGTTAAAAATATTTAAAGTGCGAATATTCTTTTCTTAAACTTCTCCCTCTCTCTTTCGTCCTCTATCTCAGTACATAATAATAATGATCTATGTTTACCACAGTGTTATTATTTATTCTACAATAACGCTGTGCTATTATTGTCCTATTGTATTATTGTCTTGTTAAATCCTAATTAAATTAACTGCAGTTTCTTAAGCGTTATGAAACATCGATATAAAAAGACTACCTGTTGTAGCCATGTGAGAATGATAATATAGTTCCGGAGTTGGCGGGTTCTTGCCGCAAAGCAGCCAATACTGTGAACTCCGGTGAACGTCTGAGCAACTCTGCGGCACGCTCGAAAGCGCTTCCCTCCACCTGCAGTGACCTCGACTCCCCTGCAATATTACATAATTGTACATTAACGTAATATTTTTAATATAAAAAATGCATATGACTGTAATCCTAGGGGCGACAATCGGTGATAGCCGATAGTAGCCATTGTGGCGAACGTAACTCTTCTGCATTTCACAGAACACTATTTTAACTCAATATAGCGGAGGACTAACCTAACATAATATTTTGAATTAATTAATGTGATACTTCGGCTAGATTAACATAGGTGCAATTTTTTAATTTAAGCTTTAAATGTATGGATTAAAGATAGTGCCTGGGTTTAAAGGCAATAAATTTTTTTGTTAGAGTAATAACGATTTTCTAATCTTTGCAAAAAATAAAATGTTAGTCTATTTTTCGTATAGTTGCCAAGTGGTTGGCAAGGTTATATTCTGATTTTTTTTTCTTTTGTATTGGTATTTTGTTCCGATATTTTTTTTGACATTCAGAGGATGAAAAAGAGCAGAGACACACTATATTTTTATATTGTCATTGCAAGGAGACTAAGTTTTGAATAAAATTTTCAGCAGCATTTTTAATTCTTAACTGTAATTTATTTAACAATATATATATATATATTTATATATATATTTATATATATATATAAATATATATATATAAATATATATATATATATATATAAAGTCAAATGCATTTTTAACTTCATTTGCAGTATTTAATTTGACCTTTCATAGAAATCACAGTGCAATATTTTGATAAAAATCTACCAATACAACCTACGTGATAATACTGCGTTCTAGAGTCCTTGGTTTCGTAACGATCGCTTTTGGCTGTAAGCCAAATACCTACTTGTTGTATTGGACTACAATTTCTCCATTTCCTTTCGTCGCATTAAATAAGCCTGAATTATAAAGACATTATAACTTAATAAGCGTAAATGTCATAACCGAAAATAAATTTGTTGAAAAGTAGGCTACTTTTGGTTGGTAAAAATTAAGTAGGTCGGTAAATTAGGTAACGAAGTTTGATGTTTTTCGGTATTTTAATTCCATCTACACTGGAAAAATAAAAACTTCACAGAAAGTAGGACAGAAAATCTTTTAAATACATTATACTTCGAGTACAACCCACCGAGATAACCGCAATGTACACAGGAATGTTTTTGTGTGTATAATAAGACATTAATTATATAATTATTTGCAATTAGTTTGTAATAAACTATAACAAGGATAATAGTTTATATAAATAGTACCTGAAATTTGGCACAAAAGTAGTTATGGTAGAGAGATTAATATACGAGTACATTCATTAATATACATTCATTAATATATATGCTTTTGTTCAATCGCTTATACACTATACATGTATGACTGATATCGTGCAGCCTAGTAATCTAAATTTCATAGATTTAATTTTTTTCACAAGTTTTTCAATAGATTTATCGAAATCTGCTATCCCCAAAATAATCCTTAAAACGAAATTAAAGTATCGTATGAGCATATTTTGTTTGTCTTCCTATCTACCCCACAGCCTGTATATGGCTCAAAGGGATTCTTCACTATAAAGGCAATAATATAGCCTACTGCATTGTTAATAAGACTTTCCCCTAAGTTATTCCAGCAAATGAAATATGAAGTAATTTGAAAAGATTTTTACCCTACCTCTCCACTAAGGGGAGCCAACGCCCAATATAATAAAATCCCGGCTCTAAAATTCACTCAAACGACAGTGGATCAAGTTATTATGGTTGATTTTTCAACTACAGACTGAATGTGCAAACTAATTGATATTAAATATCATTTTAGGTGAGGGGAGATGAAGAATGTACGGTAGACGAAATCTTTGTCTTATTCAAGGAAAGTTTAGATTTAAGAGTTATTTTTTCTCTTGAAGTATATTATTTAGTTAGTTTATTTATTTTTAACTACACTACCATATCAAGTTAAATTATTTACCTTGCTTGATTAATATTTCTGACATGTTAAAGTCATTAGTAGTCAAAGAAAACAATCGTGCAAATTATACCGAATCTTAGGAATAACTAATCAAGAAAATATATATCTATGCAAATAAAACTTGTCTTTGGTCAAATAATCGTTTTGTGGATAGATATGTTAAAGGTTTGATATTCTTCTAAACAATTAGAGCTATATACACACATCTATTTATTTATTCATATTAAATAACATATTTAATATCTTGAGAGTAGCTACAAGCGCTTAGCACTATTGACTACCATACATTGTAGTCGGGTATCTACTACAAATCGAGTGATTCCTGTACTATGTACCCAGACGGACGGTGGGCCAGATTACTGCGGCTTTAAAATATGATTGAATGTAATTGTGCCTTATTTATTCGTCATATTCGTGGACTGGTGCTATTTATAAGAGTATTCCACGACTGGTCTAGTTAGCTAAGACTGACCTATTTTAAATTAATGCTAATTTTATATGACTTAAATATCTTAAAATTTATAACAAAGCCTGTAATTAGTAGTCGTATTAATTTCGAAAACTTGTTAGTTTAATTTTTGTTTAAAAAGAGCAAGATTCCAGATTTTTGTCTTTTCTTTTTGACTGAGATACCTTTCCTAATAAGCTGGTAGTTAAAAAAATATATATACATTGTGAATCTTTTTATTCAGAAGTACTTAGTACAAAATAGTCTATACCGTACTATACCGTAGTAATATTGATAAACATTGTTAGACTACATTCAACCCAATCCACTTTGCAATTCCATTAGACAAAATACGTATTGTGTTTAAGTCTATTATATTAACTGTTATGGGTAAAGGATTACATAAATGTTAACGTTGTTCACTTTTCGAGAAACTGTCTGGAATTGGGTTGTTTTCCTTCAGTTGTATAGATAATAACTGTATATTACAATTCGGTAGGTGTGGGCGGGAGTCATCGAACTGTCGGGGTTGTTAGGAACTTTCTCGCCGTCCGTAGAAATTTACTCATACACACGTACTCTATTCGGTGTTATATGAATGTTATGTTTCTACATTTGCACGGAATAGATGTAGAATATAGTAATATTTTTTTCATTTTACATCTAGTACATATATATATATATATATATATATATATATATATATATATATATATATATATATATATATATATATATATATATATATATATATTTACAAGAAACATGGTAAGTAAGGTAAGTATAATATATTGTATTAAATATACAATATTATTATTATTAACTACTATAAAATTGACCTCTTATTGCAGAGCGCAGGTTTCTTTCCATAAGAGGAAGAAAAGATTTTGATACTTAAGAGTTTTACTTAATATACGCGTTGGTATGTTGTTTAAAAGACGAGACTAGGAAATAGACAAAACAGAAAAAATAAGCAAGCACAGAGACTGTTGGTTATTGACTTTAAGTTATTATTACTGACTTTTTTTATTATTTGTTATTGTTGGTATTTGGTTTGCTCTATCTGTCTCACTTTGGATGTAGGAAGGAAAACCAACCTACCTGTGTTGCTTGATGTATAGTGTGTATAATAGTAACTAAAAAATATATAAAAGAGTAACAGTCAAAATTCTTAATTTCTTTTTTAATTTAATAATAGACTTATGTAGACTCAACAAAAATAAAATAAAAAACTTGTAATTTGTTTCATCCAGTGGTAGTATAAGTTAGGATGTTGTGATTATTCATACATGTTAATAAAAAATAAAGTTGATTCTATAACTAACTGTTTTTGTATTTTTGTTTTTTTATTTGTGCTTTTTTTATTTTTATTCTTTTGTCTCTTTTGCTGTGTATTACGTGTATGTTTTTTTTTTATTGTAATTTGTGTGCTGTAAGTAATGCAAATAAATTGTCTATCTATCTATCTATCTATCTAAAGAAATCAACAACAGAGACAAGTATGTACTCGTATGTAAGGATCGTTGAGAATCTTAATAAATATATCAGGGTAGAAGCAAGTTGAATTTTGTAATACTCTTATTGGTATTCCTAAAAGCAATTTCTTATGCACTAGATTATTATTATCAAAAATGTTCACATATTTAGAATTTTTATTGCTTTTTTTTTAATAACATATGCTAAAAGAAAATGGAACCTAAACTGTAAATGATGAAATGGCTCGTCTCTAGGGAAATTCCATTAGTGTATTTACTATGCACCCCAAATGGAAATGTGCTTATTTCTTAAATAAAAATGATTGAGGTGAATCAGTGACCATATTTTTAAAGCTTGTCATGCTAAAATTGATAAAGTGAGGTATGTAAGAAACTTAAATGTTACAATAATAAAGAGATCACCATACTCATAGTTAGAGGTTCCAATGTTTAATGTCAACCTAGCTTAAAAACTATTTTTGTTCAATAGCAATTTAACACTAATATGATTTTATTATTTATTAACACATCAGCCTCATCGAATGGACTTTATCCTACTTATATAAGTATTTGACATCAATTTATATTGGTACTCGTATTAATTTAGTCCCAATTCGATTCGATCTAAAATCTCTGTTGATTTGACATTTTGTTTTACCAACTTGACACAAATAAATTAAAAAAAAAAGTAAAGAAATCGATGAGAGTTAAGGAATTGTGTTTTTCCGTGGTCATAGGACATCCCCTTTCGCTTGCTGTGATCCCCTTCTGCGCGATTTACCGCCGCCGCAGGGGGCCATTTCGTCATTCATGTGCGTTATTATTTCGTCATCCCCCGTCTACCCTCGCCAATTTAAATCTCACTGTATTGCGCACTTTATTACTCACTCGTTTGAACTGTAACTGGTCGTGTGCCCGTTATAGAACGATATGATATTTTCGAAAATTTTGCTAATATTCGTTTTCCGGACAAAGTCAAGGGTCGACTAGTTTTGATTTATTCATTTTACAAAATTCACTAGTGCCATTTTACAAAATAGAACACAATGAAAATTTTTATTTATAAATTTATTTGGTAACTAATTCTTAGTGATGAATCGCTGACCTATAATATGTAAAGGCCTCTTTCTCTTAACAAATTTCATGCTTCTAAACTCACTGTT